TTTCGTCCAGTGACTTTTTCCTGAAGAAGAAGAAACCACACTTGTACTTTGAAACTGGAAGCAATGAAATCTGTTCTTGGGACAGACCCCGGCTCTGAGTTCCAACTGTCTCGCCTAATTCAAGCAGTTCCTATAATAAGTAAAATGATATCAGTGTAGGGGAAAGATAAAGAATAAAACGAAATCAAAGAAGTCTATACTTCCAACTTCTACAAATACTGCTCTTCATCGAGATGGTTCACATAACTACAAGGAATTGGGATCACGTCATTAGTAACAACAGCCAAGCCTTTTTCCACAAGATGGCATACATTAGCAATAGATTCAAGAAAAAAATACACTGCCAAGAATATCTGCAGCAACTACCATGAAGAAGAGATTAAGAAACAGTATTTTACAAATTATCAAGTACCGATGAACTGTAATGAAGGAGAACAGGAAGGAAATTGAAAACCTCAAGACTACTGTAGTAATCGTGATTGCTCAGATCCACCCGCATATCACAACGTAGAATCCTATCAACAGTCCGTATATTCTGATAATTCAAGTTGAATGGCCCTATTGTTGTCAGTTACAATGGTTGTCTTTCACAGACTCATCCAGTGGTTTTGAACACTTAATAACTTCCACAGCCTTATTTTAACAGGGGAAGGTCACAACTAAGGGTTGTCGAGAGCATGCTTTCTTGCTTGTTTTAACCAAATAGAAGGGTATAGACTATTGAGGTTTTGCAGTGGCTTCCTTTCTCATGACTATAATGAGTGACAAGGTCTTAATTGCCAAGTCAATCAAACAAGAGTCACCTGGGAAGACTAATCTAAGAAATAGTTAAAACATAATCAGAAAAGAAATTTCTCAATTGAACACACCATTATACAGCTTTTAACATTATGCATGAAGAAAGGAAGGAGTAAGGCTTGTGTATGGGCAAAGCAGAAGACAATCAAAGGAAGGAATTACGGGTGTAAGTTCTCACAATCAAATAATTGTAAGACTAACTATTGTATACATCTATATTCTATACTGTATATGATAGTTGGTCCCTAAAGAAGAAATATATGTAGACTAGAAAAAGAAGGCCAAGATTTTCCAACCTCATAGGTCATGTTGTCGGGATCAACATTGTCTTGCCAAATGACCTGAAAAGTTTTGAAAAGAATAGCTTAGATTGTCTTTTATTATGCTTCTAATTGATGAATAGCCAAATGCAGTACAACTTCTTCGATGTTTAAAGAACTGCCATTTAATTATTTCATGCACCAGTAATTTTTAATGAAAATACCTGATAATCATTGGAATTATTCTGATTTCTTCGTGGATCTGAAAGAAAAGAGACGTATTTGCTTAAATTTGAGGATACATTTTATACACAGGTACCAAACTACAGATCTGCAAAGGAGGATTGGGTGGACAATATGTTTGAGGAAAATTATCTTCTAGGGAAACTCAATAACATACGGTTTCGTGTGGCATTGTTTACTACTTCTTCCCTTTCTATATGTACGGTTGCCATCTGTTCGTTGATTGTTGCTGAGTATTCTGAAGGTCTTGTATACTCATCCGTCAATGTTTCATGATGATTCACCTCATAACTATGACTGTCCCGATAATATGAGGCAGTCTCGGGTTCAAATATCCCAGATTTGTACAAACTTGTCGTTGACGGGTATGAACTCTCCTGTATATATATATGAACTATTTTTACTTGAATAGTATGCAACTTCAAAGTAGTGTCCCATTCATAGGGAAATAACATGAAAATATTGCTTATAAACTCTTTAACAGACATCTATTCTATATTTGATAATTTTGATTTGAAAAGTTCCACAATGTATATCAAACTAAGCAGAGTCATTCAAACAAATCTATATAGAGGAAACAAAAACAGAAGTGCAAAAATTCTATCAATAAACAGCATTTATCATAAAACAGAATCTAGATAATATCTCTGAAGGTACCTGAGCATGTGAGGGACCAGAAAAAATGAAGTTGACATGTTCGTAGGTAAGACCTTCAAAATATTCAATAAAGCTTCCTGATGTACTATAGGGATAGCTGATGTTATTGTAATGTACCTCCATGTGTGGGTCCCAACTCATAGTGAATCCTTTCTACCAGACAAGTAATCAACAGAGTGAATTCACAGAAAATAACAAGCAGCAGTGCAAAGAAAAAGAGGAACACAAACCACAAAATATAAAAAATTTCAGAACTAAAATCCCTACGCATAGAAATTCAACAATGCAAGTTCATCAACAACGCATGAAAAAAAATTAAAATTCTATTATATATAATTATTGCTTACAGAAGACATTATTGGTGCTTAATATAAATCAATGAATGTTTTATGCATTTCTTAGACAGGAACAAAGTTGCATGAAGCATTTTCACGCGAACTTGAGAGAACCAACTAACGAAGCCGAAAAAGAGACAGAGCTGAAAATTTTTGAGGCAGTTGATTATTCACTAGAGATCGCATAAAACAAGCAGTGAAATCTTCGATCTATCGTGAAGAAACAAAAATTCAATGACGAGTACCTGGTTTGATGCACGGAAGCGAAGAATTACAATAAGGGTCGCAGTTCGGTTGATTCTAGCAGCAGAGAGCAATGGGAGTTTAGTTACATAATGGATCAAAAACAGAAGAATTGTGATCAGTGAAGGGTGAATATAAACAACGATGAGATTCTAAAGAGTTGAATAGAAGAAATGAATTGGATGAAAGGAATATGAAGAAACGGACCTCAATCGCTTTTGTTGCTGACAATGAATGACCGAATGGCTTTGTAAGTTGTAACTGCCTCTCTTCACTCTCCTCTCTCCACCTTTACGCACTTATTTCACCAACACGCCAACTCAGTTAGATAGACCATGATCAGCTGCATCGCACCTGTTTTCCAACTATTACAGTTTTTTTTATTAATTTTGTCTTTTATTTAATTATCGTACTTCTTTTTGTATTCTTTTGGGGCTCCAGCAAAATTGGATTAAATTGGGGATTTCCACGTGAAGGATTGGATTCTCGATAGGGATTAGTGGTTGGTCAGTGCCTAGAAAATCAATCCCCTGAAATATAATTTTTGTTGAAGAGAGATCACCAAACACAATTGATCCAATCAAGTTGGTATCAGGCAGGTACAAACCTACGATCAATGATAAGTGTGTGTTTGTTTAATATTAATTTTAAAGGTTTTTTTAAGAATAAATTAGAAAAAGGAAAACGAGATATGGACATGAAAATACTTTTATGGCAGTCTTACAAAAATAAACTTTATATCGTTTTAAAAAATAAATCATATTATATTAATTTAGAGCATATTTTTATCCTTTTAAAATAATTAAGATAAACAAATTGTAAAATGATGCACTTCACTTCAAATCCATATTTTTCTGTTTTCATTACTCTGCAGCGTTGGTACCTGAGAGGAACACAAGGAAAAGATAGTGCGACGCATGTGAGAAAATGAAGCATAAAAGGAAGAAGGGGGAGTGAGGAGAATAAGCAAAATCCTGGCGTGCAAGTGAAGCGATGCACGAAAAGTATCATTATATTCACATATTCCGTTCACATTCCTTTTGTCTGCAATGCAAAAGCTTAAATAACACCCGCTGAGACATTCGCCATATCATTCAATTCCATATACTAAATTCAAAAGATTCGCTGCTTGTCATGAAAGGACAACTGATTATGTCGTGTACAAAGGGCATGGCGCATGCTAAATGACATTTTTTTAATGCCGTTATGAATAGTTCTAAGTTTTTATATTTTAAATTTTTTAATTACTAAATAAAAATTGTTCCTGTTAAAAAAACGTTGATTTTCAAATTATCATTTCAATATGAGATGAGATGATGTCTTCTTTTATTGTAAGTTTTCCTTTGTCTGATTTAACGTAGATAAAATTAAGCATTAGTTTAGATAATAAATATTATTTAATATTCATAAACTAACTATTTATTTATACTTTTTAACTTTTTTTTATAGATAATATTATAGGTTAACAAGTTTTGTGAATCGACTTTAATTTTAGTTATATAATTAAGTAAATAATAATTTAATTATTTATCTTAATTAATTTAATTATTCTTTAATTTAAACGACAGAATACTCGTCCTGCTGAAGGCGAAAGGATATTCAAATTCTTTCTTTTATTTTTAAGATCAACTGGTATCTTATCTAGTACAAAAATAAAGAAACAAGGAGAAAATAATTTGTGAAACTATATTTATGTTTTCAATCTCAACACTTAATATGAATTTTAAAAAAAGGAGAAATATTAAAAAATATATTTTTATAATTTCATTCCCATCTACTAATTTTTGAAAAAAAAATATATTTTTTTTTCCAATTTTATCATTAAATATAAACAATGTGATATGTGATATTTACGTTTATTTCAGATCAATTTATTATATCACTATGTACCGTTTCAAATCTATAACGATGCTCTAGATTAAGAAACTTATCAAGAATCTTCACAGCTTTATCATAAAATAAGAAATAAAACCATTTTTAACTAGGAGATAACTTAGACAATGTATTATAGGTGCTTTTGATATTAAATATAAATTAAAATTATAACTTCATTTCAGTGATCTATGAAATAAAAATCAACACATATTATTATGATAAAATTTTAATTAAAGAATAACACCAAAATAGTTATATTACTCTACTTAAGTTTTATTATTTTAAATGTGAATCAACATACCTTGACAAGCAAAAAAAAAAAAAAAGAAAGAAAGAAAATTGAGTATAAAAATATGCATAAAAATTTAGTATTTTTACTTTTTAAACATAATTTAGACAATCCATTAACCAAAAAAATTTAAAACTAAATATTCTCTAAATTATTTTTTTTTTTACAATTTTATTATATTATAAAATTTTAAAAAATGTATAAAAGCAATAAATGTATAGGCGTCTAAGACTTTTTCAAACATAACTTTATTATATTCTTTAAAACAAAAATATCCATGTAATACAAGCAAAATCTGCTAGAATCATTGCTAAATTGCTAAAAAGAAAATCTGCAAGAATATAACAATTATGAGAAATAAATGATAGATTTCTATGAGTATGTTTGTTTATATTTTTTTTAAAAATTAAAAATATATATAATTTTAATTTTTAAAAAGAGAATTTTTTTTTTTTTTAAATATAAACAAACATAGTCTTAAGACTTTTATTTTGCCGTTTTTCATCGTCATCTCGTGCTATTTGCCACTCATGTTGAAAGTCAATAATTTCCTTAGCCATATTTTTTCCCCAGCACAAGCACCTGAAGTTTGTCATAACCCGCAAGCACGCCGGCACCGGCAACTGCACGAAGAATGTTTGCACCAGCACCCTTGAAAAGAGATTTTGTACCCTCTTTCTTGATAATTTGCGAGAATGCATCAAAAGAGCTCTTGTATTTGATTGCTTCACCCGATGTCATCATCATTCTTCTGCGAACAGTGTCGAAGGGATAGGACGCAACGCTAGAACCAGTTGTAACAAGCCACCCCAAAGCAAAGCTAGCCAGGAAACTATCCTGAAACCAATGTTAGGTGACAAAAAGTATTAGAATCTTTAAGACCATTTCCTTCTAGCTCAGAATTAGACATTTGTAGATGACACACTTATAGTCGAAACCAAAGAAAAAGAAGTTGAACTTGATTCATCGTATTATCAAGAGGTTAACTTAAGAGTGCAATATCATAGTGTCTCACCTGCAATGTTCCCAATAAGACCACTGGTTTCAAAGAATCATATAATCCAAAATATAAACCGCGGTAGACAATGATTCCAACAATAGAAACGTTAAAGCCACGATAAAGGCCAGCAATACCATCAGATTGAAAAGTTTTCTTGTAGACGTCCACTAAACCATTGAATTGTCTCTCACCACCCTTCTTTCCAGTCTTGGCATCGCTGGCAAGGCGGGTTCGGGCATAATCCAGTGAATAAACAAAGACCGAAGATGAAGCTCCCGCTGCAGCACCGGATGCCAAGTTACCTCCAAGCCATTTCCAGTATCCATCTCTGTCTTTCTTGAAGTTAAACAGACTCTTGAAGTAGTCTTTAAACGCAAAGTTCAATGCCTGCAAAAGAATCACAGATAGGCCTAGTAAATACGAGACAAGAAAATAATGCATAATTCAGAGAAACTGTAGAAGTGACAATTAATTAAACCTGTGTTGGAAAGTAACGAATAACATTAGCAGTATTCCCTCTCCATAATGAAACAAATCCCTCGTCTTTTATTGTCCTGCCAAAACAATCTCCAATGCCCTTGTAAGGTTCGGAGAGACGACCAGCCTTAATCATCTCATCTTGATTTTGGATTAGGAGCTTCACACGCTCGATAGGAGCAGCTGCACTCTTGGACACTGCTGCTGAAACTCCACCCATGAGAAAATCAGTGGCAAAGCTTGCAAAGCTTTTCTCTGATGGGGATGGGACAAATACTGCTGAGCCTACACAATCCGGAGCTTTGAGTGCAGGCATGACAGGACGTTGCAACCCTGCATTTGAATAGTTTTCGAATGAAAACTGTTGCTGAAACAGAGCAGGCCCTTTTAAACCTCCATAATAAGTTGCAACATGTGGAGAAAGGTTGGATCCCAAGTGAAACTGGTGAGAAAACTTTGGTATAATTGATGGGTACTGTTGCTTATCAGCCATTGTTAATTCAGTAGTTGAGCGCTTATTATTACTATTAATCCACTATAACCTGCAGCAAGATATATTATGGTAAGCTATTTATGGACTTAAATGAAACCAAGACCTAGTTAATTGACTAATTGATTTGAATTTGGATCCTTTCATGTTAATAAGTAACATGATATGATTGTATTGGAAAGGAAAAGACACATTTTTTATCAAACAAGAATCTACCTTGTTTGGTAGTAAGTCCTACTAATTGAAATTAATAAAAATGTCTTTCTTTCCTTAACATGACTATATCATATTACTCAACAATATGAGAAGATGAAAATCTGTTCCTGTTTATTTCTAAGGAGAAAAGGGGAAGAATGTTTATTGTCACTCCAAAATGTCTATTACTACACCTCATTTAGATATTTTTTATTTAAACATTATTATTATTAATTTAACTAACCAATAGATAAAGTATTTTATATAAAAATTATTTAAAAAGGTGTAGCAATAGACATTTGGAGCGGTACCAATCATAGTATCATACAAGCAGTAACTTCTGTACTCCTATGAAGCCATTTCTTTTGTTATAAAATAATAAGTAACCATTTTTTTTTTATTTGTTCAAATGAGCAATTTGCCCTCTAAGATAACTCATTCACCTAACATGCAGAACTTGTAAAGAGACCTTATGATTCCTTCGCAACATATATATCATAAGACATGACCTTGACCTAACTGTGCAGATATACATGGTGATTGGTGAAGGTTGGTTTTTACCAATTGATCATCATTTGTTTCTTTAATCAGCCATAAGTAAAGGCATGTCCAAAACCGTCACCAGAAACGCCACCAACATGAGCAATATTTTTCAATTTTCAAGTTAAAAATATTAGTTACAACCCTCGAGCGAAAGAATAGCAGCATTAAATAAAAATCCAGCTTGATCCTTGTTAAGCAAACTAAGAGAAATGTTAGCAACACATTCCCTATCACACTCTTATTTATTAGTTAAAATTTATTAAAAATTACTAAAATTATGTAGATTTCACTCTTTTTCATTCCTAATTTACTATTTTTCTTTCATACTTTTGTAGTTTTCAATAAATTTAATCAATAATTAAGAATATATTAAAAAGTGTTATTAGCTAGCATTTCTAAACAAACTAAACCACCCACCCAAGACCAAAATCAAGATAACTGCCAAGATCACCTCTCTGGCTTTTCTAATACATAATAGCTCAGGACTATTACTAAGTCTAGACATGAGGCATACCGCATAGAAACATAACACCTTTGCCTTGTCTTCAGTAATTACCTTACCATATCTTAAGTTAATCACTGGAGCATTACTTTATCATAGAAATCCATCCATAAAGATCATCTGATTCTAATAAAACTTACATGTCAATATCTCTATGCAGATAAAACCACATTTCAATAGGAAACAGATAAAAATCAATTAGCTAGAGATTCCAGTAAACAAAGGGTCTTTAAACATAAATGAAACAAAATAAGCAAACCAGCTTAAACCATAACCAAAGAGTTAGGACAAAACAAGCCACAGAAACTAACATGTAAATCAACACAAACATGATTACAAAGAGAAACGAAAATAGAGACCAAACCAAAGGCTGTCAGCGAGATTGTATCGTTGGTTTTGGCTTCTGGAATGTGGACAAAGGCTAAGACTATTGATAACGAGGCGTTTGAATAAAAATGTCCAACGCTCATGAACACAGGGAGACTTGTAACCATTACGATAACGAGGCAAAGTGGTATACTTATATTGTTTTTCCTTAGTTTAGATGAACTCACAAATCTTAGGGCGTTAAAGCATGGTAGGCACAAATCCTACGGTAATGAAGCAACAGGTTGAATTTACATTTTATAATAGAATAGTTAATGCTACAAAATTAGTTTCCACTCCTTGAAAAGTGGAAACGGAAGTTTCATGGAAAATTCTGACATTCTCTTATTCACGCAAGTTTTTCAAGTTGGACTGTTTTTTACAATAAATTAAATCGTGGGGACACTGGGACCTTGGGATTGAAGTCCGTAATTTTCAAATTCTGATTCAATTTGGAAAGGTCCACGACCAAAAAAACATGGAAAATTCTTTTCTAGAATTTTGAATGAAATGGTTGCTTTTGGTCAAAGTCTTACCACATAAATTTCATCAAAATAACTAAATGTTCACATTGTATCAGTCAGTCAATATATTAAAAGGTTTATATAAAAGAAGCAAAAATATATGAACTTTTAAATCGATGAATTAAGACCTAATGCTTAGATGAATTAAGATCACAAGACATTCAAGAGTAACATAAAATATTTACTTAAATCCATTTGACTTAAGATCCAAAAATAATATTAGATTATTTTGTATTTAAAATATTATAATTAAAAAAACTTTTAAGAAATATTATTTCTTTTAGAATAATCGAAGTCAAACACGCCGTCCTGTTTACCGCTTAATAGGAAATAAATAAAATAACAAAGGAAGGAACAAATAACAATTCCACGTTGACGACAAAAACGTAGACCGAAACAGAGGAAGGAACAAATAACAATTCCATGTTGACGACAAAAACGTAGACCGAAACAGGGGAAGGAAATGGCGTACTTGATTGTTCAATCATAAAAAAGGAAACAAATGAAGTTTTCAAAGATTAAGTGAAAGCTTTCATGATGGTGCTTTGGATAATATATAGCTAAAAATGAACCACGACTGCTTCATGTTGCTACATAATCTAACAAGTTACAACAAAATCGATGAAATACACCCACAACCAGGGATGTTGCCAACCTTTTTTCCCCCGAGTTCGCATAATTATTTGCGTATAGTATACAGTTATAAAGCCAAAAATTATATCACGCATGTGGTATGTGGCTACCACTGTAACACAGTTACCATTTTGGCAAAAGAGAAGTTAAACCCCCATCAAGGTTGACCAATAAAGGCTCAAGTGCTTTAGAGCAATATCCTTCCATTTCTGTGTCACCAACAAAATCCTACATACCAATATTATAAGGATTAAATGAGGTAAAGAGCACAACTAGTTCAGCAAAACGTTTGTTTCTTCACATTCCAAATGAATTTATGCTTTGCAGCCCAGTTGCTAATGTCACACCACTGCAAAAGGTAAAAAGAAAGTCTAGTGAACTCACTTCTCAACCATACAATGGAATGCTCAAGAACAAATTTATATGTTATTCATTCAAGGTCAATACAATTCTATACATATCAACCTACTATGTAGTCATTGAGTCTAACTATAACAAGAAATAATGTAACATTAAATGAAAAGCTATCATTTCATACGTCGATTAAGCAATGACGACAGATCATTTCTGAGTAGGAGCTACTGCTGTCTGCCTAAGTTGATATGTTCCCTTCCTTGTGGCTGGTTCCCAAGAGGGGCAGGATCTAATGACATATCAGATGTACTGAAATCTGTCTCAAGTTCTTTCTGTTTCAGTTTCAAGATCCAGCGCTCATTTTCTAATTTCATCCTCTTGTTCTCCAACCTCAGCCTTTCCAGCTCCCTGTCCTTCTTGCTGCAGTATCTTAACCACTTAAACCGTTGTTTCTCAAGTTCAAGAGCTTGGGCTTGGTAGCCGATATTTTGCTCTTGAAGCTGCAACATCTGTATCTTAATCCACTCTCTTCGTTCATATGATGACTTTGTGGGGTCTTGAAAAACCCTTGCCATTTCAACCTCAAATTTATCCATTCGAACAGATTGTGGGCCAAAATGGCCATCCTCCTCACTTAATTTATTTCTATCACAGAGCTCCTCCATCCTCCCTCCATCCTCATGTGCATTAATATTAATTTCATCTTCCAACTCATCATCCTCGCTTTCATTGTTATCCTCGTCTTCGTCCTCAGAGCCATTATTCTCTCTTGAGTCCCTCCCATGCTCCATAGAATAGCCCTGTAAGTCCAGATCATGACAATTTGGTATCCTTTGCCCATTATGGTAGGCACACATCTCCTTGTAGAACAAGTGTTTTGAGCTCAATATCTTTCTAACATCATCCTTAGCTTTCGCTGACAGGTTAGGCATTGAATCCATAAGTGCAGGATTCTCAACCACTTGACAACAAGTTCCCCTTCCAAGTATGTCATTTAACCTCTTGTACCTCTTATTTAAGTCATTGAACTTGTCCTCACACTGCTGCGGAGACACGTGGCAACCCTTGCCTATCATTATCTTGGAGACTGTTTTCCATTTGCCCTTCTTTTGTAGAAACCCAGATTTCCTTTTAAGACCATCCATGCCACCAATTGTGCCATCATCACCCACACAACTCACCACCGCTATAAGAAGCCTAACCATATTGTCTGTCCACTTCATTCGCTGCCAAGGAGACCCCTTTTTGCCCTTCCCACCATCCAAGTTCTCGCAATTCCCATCTTCCGTATAGCTCGGCTCATCATCTTCACTCAAATCATTACTATTGGCAGGATTAGAAGGAGCAATTGCCTTTCCTTTTCCAAAATTCAATGATGCATTCAAACTTTTCACTTCAATTAGGCCAATGGGATGATCCTTTTCGAGACCACTCATAATATTCATGTGCTGTTGACCAGTCACTGAAGGATGACCCAACTGGGTCTGTTGGTGTCTATGAAATGGAGATTCCAAGTCCAAAATTCCCCCACTGGGACCAGACAAAAAACCACCACCTAAACCTGAACTGTTCATTCTTGGAACGCAGTCTCAAAACCCTAACCCTCAAATTAGGGGTGGTGATAGAAGGCAAGCTAGAACAGAAACTGAAATCTCAACTGGGTCGTATTCATAACAGTATATATCACCAGTTGACTAAGCCTGACACCACGAGAAAACCGAAAAGCCAATTTTTCGTTCACACATCATCTTAAAAACAAATTAAAGCACAGAAACCGCAAAGTGGTAATATGCGAACGCATTAACCAGTAACGATCATCACAAGGTGGATCTGTCGTTTGTGTGATAAGCTAATATTCACTGGGATTAGAAGCAAGGTTGATGACAACACCTCAGATAGATTAGAGATATTGTTTGAGCTTACCTGTTGTCTGTTGGTGGCCGATTATGATCAGTAGCAGTAGCAACAGCATAAGAAAAAGTCAAGAATGAAGAAGCTTTTGCTCTGTTCTGCTAGGGGGGGGACCAACTTCATGACTTCTTTTATCTTCCTCCACGTTTACAGTTGATGGGATGATTCTTTCTTCCCCGCAGTCGTAACAATCGCCTTACCTTACCAGGTGGATTCTGTGTACAACTAGGTATATATACCTAGTATTCGTGAAATAAAAAGTTTCATCACTTTTCTTAATACAATAATTACACTGTTTAATAAACAAATTCATTAGAATAATCTAAAAAATATATATTTTTATAAACTTTTTTAAAAAACTTGATTTTTTTTCTAATAATTATTTGATAAACTTGTAGAAATAACCTTTTTTTTAAGCTTCATAGATAAAAAACAAAAGTTATCCTATACTTCTTATGAGAAAAAAAAGTTAAAAGAAATACTATAATAATAAACAAAGATAAATTCTAAAATCACGTGTTTCTCTAACACAGAGGAGTTTCAATTTTTTTTAACACTTGACAACAATTTTTAAAAAAATTTTAAATATTTTTTTAAAAGTTATCATCTACAGTAATTACAAATTATAATAAAAAATTTTAAATATAATTCAAAAATAATAGATATAAATTAAATATAAATTTAATTTATAAATTATAAAAAATATTATAATTAATTTTTTTAATTAAATAATTTTTATCTAATACAATTTATAATAAATTTGTTTATAAATTTTATTATAAGTATATTATTTAATATAAAAGTGACTTTAAACATTCTAAATTTTAATAAACATAAATTTTATTATAATTACATAGAATAATAAACATGTGTAATTTATAAAGTAATAAATATGTGTAAAATATAAAAGTGTCTTTATAATTTTTAAATTTTAATAATTATAAATTTCATAAATTTTTTATAAATGCACATAATAATAAATAGGTGTACTCAATTTTATATTTATAAATTTTATAAATATTGTTATAAATGCACGCAACAATAAATAGGCTTAGTTAATTTTATGAATTATATATATATATATATATTATAAATTTTATTATAAATATACGTAATAATAAATAGGTGTAGTCAATTTTATGTATATATAGATAAAGTAGATGTCAATTTTATATAGATAAATTTTATAAATTTTATTATAAATACACATAATAATAAATAAATGTTGTTAATTTTATGTATAGTTTTATGTATGTGTAAATAAAGTAAATGTAGTCAATTTTATATAGATAAATTTTATAAATTTTGTTATAAATACACATAGTAATAAGTAAGTGTACGTATAAATAAAAGATAAATAAATTTTGATATAAATGCACATAGTAATAAGTAGATGTAGTTAATTTTATATATAAAGTAATAAGTATGTATAAAATATAAAAATAACTTTATAACTTTTAAATTTTAACAATCATAAATTTTATTATAGATATATATAATAATAAATAGGTGTAGTCAATTTTATATATATAAATTTTGTTATAAATATAAATAGTAATAAGTTTTATCTATAGAAAATAGATAAATAAATGAAGATATAAATATAAATATTGTAATTTACTTCTTTAATAACGGTTACAAATGAAAAAGAATTATGTACCGGACATCAAATGACTATAACCATTCCTTTGTCACCCGATTGCATCCAACCGTTTTTGTCCTTAAACTTAGTTGGTTCCAGTTCAGTTGTTGGGTGATTTTCCTCTCCATTTAACTTGTCATCAAAGCATAGCATAAACCACCACTTTCTTTTGTGTTCTACACACGTGCGATTAAATAGGGTTAATATGGGCCAAGAAAAGCCCAGCCCATGATAATAAAAAAAAGCGTAGGACCGGCCCAGCCTTGTACAAATCGAAAAGCTTCTTAGAAAAAGAATCGCTTCTCCGGAAGTTCAGTGGCGTGACTACTGAAGGAAAGGGAGCTTTAGCAGTGGGAACTGGCAAGGCAAGGATTGAGCTCACTCACTCATTCACTCAATCACTTGAGATTCAAATTGCGTCTACGAAAACAAACACGGAGGGCACAATGTTTCGAAACGAAGACATCCGCGTGATTTCTTCTTCCATTAAAATTCCTCTCTCTAACAAACGCCCAAACTCTCCTTTCGAAACCGCGCGTACTCACATTGCCAACGCCACAAACTCGATTTCGCAACTCATTCACTCCTTCACCGCTCACTCTACTGAGTTAACTCGCTCTGTGCTCCGAAAATCGTCCATTCTGTCCTCGCCGAAGTTAACATTACCGATTCTGTGTTCGGCGTCATTGTCCTTGGCGGAGGAAGCTCAACAGAAGGCTCGGCAGAATGAGGAGAGAGTGCTGATCAGCGAAGTGCTGGTTCGAAACAAAGACGGCGAGGAACTAGAAAGGAAGGACCTGGAGGCGGAGGCGGTGCAGGCTCTCAAAGCTTGTCGACCTAACTCGGCTCTCACAGTGCGCGAGGTACAAGAGGATGTGCATCGCATAATCAATAGTGGATATTTTTCTTCCTGCATGCCGGTTGCCGTTGATACGCGTGACGGTATCCGATTAGTATTTCAGGTATGTTCGGTTTTGTTGAACAGTCACAGTTAAGCATTGGAATTGAGCTCTTCGTTTTTTTCCCCAATAGAATTTTGCATTCTAGTGCTGTTTATTTAAGCCTGCAATATTGAATTCTGTTGTCTGACTACTGGTTTCTTGTGGCATAAGGTAGAACCAAATCAAGAGTTCCAGGGGTTGGTATGTGAAGGAGCTAATGTACTTCCGGCTAGGTTTTTAGAAGACTCGTTTAGAGATGGATATGGTAACTAAGTCTTCTTTCTCCTTATGCGTGCAGTTGTATCGTTGGCATGTTGCTTGTGTTTGACCTTCGCTTTATTCAAATTTACATGTTAAGTTGTGCAGGGAAAATTATCAATTTGAGGCGTTTGGATGAAGCTATATCTTCCATTAATGGCTGGTACATGGAGCGTGGTCTTTTTGCCATGGTAAATTTCCCTTATATTCTGTTTAAACTTCACAATGTAGTAATATAATCTTCCTGCTCGGTGGAAATCCAGAATTTGTATCCATTTTTTATTTACAGAAAGCACCATAATATTATATCATTCAACTTTGGTTACATTGCTCTAACCAGTATTACAATTAGAACTGTCTTTTCTTCCCCTGCCTTGACCACCTTAGGTTTCAGCTGTTGAGATTCTCTCTGGGGGTATTCTGAGATTACAAGTTTCGGAGGCTGAGGTTAATAATATTTCCATACGGTTTCTTGACAGGAAAACGTAAGCACCTTCTTTCAAATTTATTGACACATATAAGTACTCTCATGCAGAGACAAACATACCTGCAAAATATTTGCTATGTTTTTTGCTGAGAAGTTTTGTTTACCAACTTGATTTTCTATCTGCAGAGGAGAGACGACAATAGGGAAGACAAAGCCTGAAACAATACTTCGGCAAATTACAACCAAGAAGGGACACGTAATTCCTTGACCTAGTGCTGGACTGCTGACCACTCCAACTGATTATGGTTCATAATTGCTAGTTAGCTTTTGAAAGTTTTATCAAGAACTAATGTATGTTTAATTTTTGTGTGAAATTGTGAAGCAAGATAAAACAAGAGGATTTAATATTTGTCTAATTTAAGTTTTAAAGCTGATTGTAAAATTATTTTATCAAATTTGATTGATAATATTCTCTGGTCTGTTTGATGGAAATTAGATGTAGGTATTGTTTTTAGTTCACTCAAGGGAAAGTTTCAAATATATCTTTTCTCTTTTGCGAAACATGCCTTCTTTTCTTACTAAGAAGGAATTTGGCATCTTCCATACTTCTATTTCCAGGTCTACAGCATGCTTCAGGGAAAAAGAGATGTAGAAACTGTATTAACTATGGGGATCATGGAAGATGTTAGCATTATTCCCCAACCAGCGGGTAATGTATACACTGAAACTGGGCTTTAAGTTAAGGCAAATATCTGTCAAAAAGAAACATTTCAGTTCTAAATTTTAACCAGTAACTACACTTGCCAAGCCCTATATATAGTATATAAGTATAATTTTCTTTTATTCAGCATTTCATTGTCCTACCAAAAATGACTGTTGAATTTTTTTTTTATTTTTGTAAAATAAAGCGGAGAAAGTGCTGAACTAACTTAGGGAGAAACTAGAAATTAAAGCTCACAAAAAATACAAGAAGACCAAAAAGAATGAAATGAAGAAAGAAACTAGGATGTTATTTGCTAGCATCAAATATGTGTTTTTCTCTTATAAAGTTAGCTAGTGCTAAACAGGACTTAAAAAAGTTGTAGTGCTCTATAAATGACCCATTTTTTTCTCAATAATTTTTTTTTTTTGTGCATGACAGCCTGTAAGGTGTTATATATTATGTTTTACCTCTACTCATGCTGTCAAAAAGAAAATTAAGTATATTCTTGACAAATGGACATAAATTGATTTTTTGGTCTTTCCTTGTATTCACACATTAGATCCATGGTATTCTCTAAAGTTTAAATTTCTTTATTTTGTTTCTTTGGTATGCTATAGATACAGGGAAGGTTGATTTGGTGATGAATGTGGTGGAACGTCCCAGTGGAGGATTTTCTGCAGGTGGTGGGATATCAAGTGGGTAAGTGATTCTAGTCTAAAGCATTACATAAATGAAGCTTAAATTTTCTCAGTAGGTGAATTACACTTACCTCCTTTTGGTTCGATGAAATTCCCTAGTCTACCATAATTCTGGAAATTACTGTAATCTAACCTGTTAATTTTCAGAAGACAAATACCCATTGGATTTTTATATTTTAGACCCCCTCCATACTGCGTGTGATAAATACACATTACATTGGGCAGGAGGTGGATTTTATTTCCAATATTAGTTGGTTGCTGTATAATCTGAGTATCTGACTAGGTATTTACATTTGCAGGATTACAAGTGGTCCACTGAGAGGGCTCATTGGAAGGTTAGCTTATTTTTTAATCATGTGATGGGTGATGTTATGAGTTGATGCATTGTCTTTAGGCATCCTATTCTCCCTTGTTTAACAGCTAAGTTCACTTCATTGCAATTGAAACCATTTTAAAGGTTATTTGTCTCAAGTTTTCTGGTGCTGGATTTATACACTGCTTAAGCAGTGTTTATGACATTGGTACATGTGTGAATATGCCACTTGTAGCTGTGACTCTGTAAGCACACTACTCTCCAGTACATAATGTTTCAGAAGATAGAACTGAGCCATATTGAAATTTTATTTGATATTAATATTGGATAATTTACCTCTGCTTATCTAGGCTTATGCATGTTTCCCCCTTATCAACAGTTGTTTTTTCTTTAATATTTGTTTTCACATGGCATGTAACTTATGGTCCAACTGCAACTGGTTTACTCATTGCTGATCCACTGAATTCTATTTTTATTCCGTTGCAGCTTTGCCTATTCCCATAGGAATGTTTTCGGTAAAAACCAGAAGCTCAATATTTCCTTAGAGAGGGGCCAGATTGATTCAATCTTTCGTATAAACTACACAGACCCTTGGATTCAAGGAGATGATAAACGAACATCTAGAACAATTATGATTCAGGTAATTTCTGAATGTTTATTTGTCCAAACCCATTGACTACTTTTGATGGTAGAAAGTTAAAAACTGCAGTTGCTGATATTTAATCAATTTTTCTTTAGAATTCAAGAACGCCAGGAACAATTGTTCATGGTAATGCAGATGGTAGTGGTGGCCTGACCATTGGCCGTATCACAGGTGGTATAGAGTTCAGTCGACCAATCAGGCCAAAGTGGAGCGGAACAGCAGGACTTGTTTTTCAGGTACTTCATTGACAATTCTGATGACTGTTCTTGTGTATTGTAATATCTTTTTATTTCTAATTTTTGTGTTGACACTCCAGCTACAAATATTAAATACCACTTGCAAATTGATGATTTGCTTAGCTTAGTTAAACTATTCAATCATAATATAGTTTCTATGTCTATTTATGTTACTGATTCCCTTTTTTTCTCTTTTAAAATTTCTCTATCATTTCAGCATGCCGGAGTCCATGATGAACAAGGTGCTCCTATCATTAAGGATTGTTACAGCAGTCCTCTTACTGCAAGGTTGTAATCTTATGTAATCCTACATCTTACATGTTGTGGCAGTATGGTTGTTTCTAACTTATGTCAAATTTTCCTTGTAGTGGCAATACCCATGATGATATGTTGCTTGCTAAGATTGAGACTGTATACACTGGTTCTGGCGACCACGGATCTTCCATGGTTTGTTATGAATTGGATGAAGTCTTTCAGTTTAGCCTTAATTTTATGTTTCTTATTATTTGCTTGGTTTTGCAGTTTGTCCTTAATGTGGAACAGGGACTTCCTCTTTTGTCTGAATGGTTGTCCTTCACTAGGGTGAATGCACGTGCTAGGAGGGGCGTTGAGATAGGTCCTGCTCGACTTCATTTGAGGTAAGAGATACATGTCATCAAGTCAACCCCCTTTTCATGCAAAGGAAAAGGAGTGGATTGTTGTTTACAATTTACATTAGAGCAAAATAGACAATCTTATGTTTTACCAACTTTAATTGGTTCACTGGTAGTCTCTCTGGTGGCCATGTGGTGGGAAAATTCTCTCCCTATGAAGCTTTTGCCATTGGAGGAACAAACAGTGTGAGAGGCTATGAAGAAGGTAGTGTGGGCTCTGGTCGATCATATGTTGTTGGCTCTGGAGAAATTTCTTTCCCCATGGTACTTGAATTTTATCAAGTTTTTTCCTGCTCAATCTAGTTATGCTTCTTGTGCATATTATGGTCAACTGTTATGAATTTGAAAGGGTTAAAAAAAGGTATAAACATAGAAGGATGATACTTTCTAGTGTTAAGAACAGGTAAGAAAGCAAAACAGAAGAATGTGTAGAATACGAAAACTGATAAAAACTTATATAGAAACTCATTCCTATGTTTCTGCAAGTTGAATATGACTTGTCATTTGAGCATGGAAAATCATAGCAATTAAGTTTTTTTTTTTTTTTTTCTTTTCTGATCTGATCTTGTCATCTCCAATGATTCCCCCAAATGTAAGAGTGGTGTATTTAACCAGACATGCTCAAGAATAAGGAGAAGAGAAATTGATGTAGGATTTAACATGGTTCAACTTAGCATGAACCAAAGGCCTCACTGTAGGGAGCAAGTGCTTAAGGAAAATTCACTATGATCAATGAAGGTTACAAGAAGTAACTCTTTCAATTCTCACCCGAATCAGCTAGTCCCTATTTACCAAATGTTCACTGTAAAGGTATTATGTGATGACCAAACTACTAAATTAACTCTCTCTCTCTGTGTAATACCCCATCCAAAAACCAAATCCCCTTATTAGGTCACCCCACAACTTTGTCAGGTGCGAAAAACTAAATATATGGCCACTTATAACTGTAGTGATGGTTGGTTTTTTAGTCAAAGAATTATAGAATGCTGGGTTTCTAAAAATTTATCCTGTAAGTGGGTTGTGCATATTTATCTAAATGGATGATAAAAAAATCTGTTTCATTTGTCCCTGTGCCTTCCGGTGCAAGCATTTGATTCAATTTAAGCTAGAGAGAAATTGACTCATTGATCTTACTGTTTGCAGTTGGGACCAGTAGAAGGTGTTATATTTTCTGACTATGGAACTGATATTGCATCAGGCACAACTGTCCCTGGTAGGTCTTTATTTGGTTGGTTTGATTTTTTAAATTTGGTTTCTTCTTTTTGTAACTCATTAGAATGATTAATTTTCCCGATTCCTCCTAATGGCTTATGCTGATGAATGGTATCATAGCTATGATACTGAAATTTTTTTCTCAAAAACATCACACTGATATTGATAAAATGGTGGACTTTTTCTTTGCTATGAAGCTTGGAAGCTGTTAAAACTTGCAGTTAAGGAGACAACCAAGCACACACTACAATCATAGATTAGTCATTTTCCTAGCAGAACCAGCCTTTATTGGCTTATCCTTGTGCTTAGGCTCCTTTGAGCAACAATAACCGCAATGTCATTTTTTTTTAATAGTTTCTGACTTGTCAACCGGTTCATCTCAATTGGTGGTAGTTCTCTAGATATTTGTCAATATTGTTCATGCTGTCCTTCATGAAGCACTTAGTGAACGTGTTTTTGGTTTTTCATTAGGTGACCCTGCTGGAGCAAGGGGCAAGCCTGGAAGTGGATATGGGTATGGGTTTGGCATCCGTGTGGATTCACCTTTGGGTCCTTTGCGTCTTGAATATGCCTTTAACGACAGGAAAAAGAAGAGGTTTCACTTTGGAGTTGGCCATAGAAACTAAACGCCCTCTTGGAAGACAATTCTTACTAGGTGCTTCTTGATTGTTTCATATAATCCAAATTCTTTTAGCCTGCATGGCCCTTTCCTTATTTAGGAAATTTGTATATCATTTTTCTAAAAGAAATCAAATTAGCTACCTTGATGCCTTTTTAAAGTGTTTCCTATAGGTATGCTGAAATGGCTCATTTTGGTTTTCATCTTTTCCCATTGAGAGAACTTAAACAGGATGTGTGGGTGCTAGTTAGTGTGGAATGGATCCTGTGAATTTTTCAAACGATAGGAAAGAGAGACCCTAAATCTCTGTTTACTTCAGAGAAAAGAAAATGAGTGGAGAAGGAAATTAAAAAATTTGCACTAAAATAAAAATGGGGAGAGAAAAAAATTAAAGTCAAAATTTCTCTTTATTTCTCTTCATGAAAAACATCTCAGTTTATTTTTCTTTTTCAAAAATATCTTAAATTTTCTGCCTCAAAATTATCTCAAAAACATGAAAACATAACATATTAGGTGGGAAAGGGTGATGGATAACAGTGAGTATTTTGTTGAAACAGATAAAGCCATGCTATTTTTCTTTCTTAGTTCTTGGTCTTGCTTGTTCTTCTTTCTTGGTTAAGGTTCCCGCTTCTTTTTCTTCTTTGTTCTTGGGTCTTGGGTCTTGCTCTTCTTTTTCTTCTTGTGTCTTAATCTCGGTCTTGCTTCTTCTTATTGCTTCTTGGTTCCATTTGTTTCTTCTTCTTGTAGTTCTTCGCCTCCAACAATCTCCATTTTTCTTTCTTGGTTCTTGGTCTTGTTCTTGTTGTGTCTTAATCGCGGTCTTGTTTCTTGTTGCTTCTTGGCTCTTCTTTCATGGTTCTTTTTGTTTCTTCATGTAGTTCATTGCCTCCAGCAATCTCCAATTTTCTTTCTTGGTTCTTGATCTTGCTTCTTGGTCTTGGTCTTGTTCTTCTTTCTCAGTTCTGCTTCTTTTTTGGGTCTTGCTCCTGTTCTTCTTTTTCTTCTTGTGTCTTAATCTCTGCCTTGTTTTTTCTTGTTGCTTCTTGGCTTTTCTTTCTTGGTTCTTTTTGTTTCTTCTTCATGTAGTTCTTTGCCTCTAGCAATCTCCATTTTCTTTCTTGGTTCTTGGTCTTGCTTCTTGGTTTTGTTCTTTCTCAGTTCTGCTTCTTTCTTGGGTCTTTTTATTGTTCTTCTTTTTCTTCTTGTGTCTTAATCTCAGTCTTGCTTCTTCTTGTTGCTTCTTGACTCTTCTTTTTTGGTTCTTTTTGTTTTTTCTCCATGTATTTCATCGCCTCCAGCAATCTCCATTTTTCTTTCTTGGTTCTTGGTCTTGCTTCTTGTTCTTGTTCTTGTTCTTGTTCTTCTTTCTCAGTTTTGCTTCTTTCTTGGGTCTTGCTCCTGTTCTTCTTTTTCTTCTTGAGCCTTAATCTCAGTCTTGCTTCTTCTTGTTGCTTCTTCATGTAGTTCTTCCCCTCCAGCAATCTCTTTTTTCTTTCTTGGCTCTTCTTCTTTCTTGGTCTTATTCTTCTTTCTCAGTTCTGCTTGTTTCTTGGGTCTTGTTCTTGTTCTTCTTTTTCTTTTTCTTGTGTCTTAATCTTGGTTCTTGGTCTTGTTTCTTCTTCTTGCACTTGTTAGTTCTTGGTTTTGGTTCTCGGTGTTGTTGCTTCTTGGTTATTTTTCTTTCTTCTTCATGTAGTTTTTCACCCCCAGCAATCTCCTTCATGTAATTCTCCAACTCCAGCAATCTGTGTCTTCATCTTTCTTGGTTCTTGGCTTTTTCATTTGTCTCCAACTCCAGCAATCTGCTTCATGTAGTTCTTCACCTCCAACAATCCTATTTTTCCTTCTTGGTTCTTCTGCAGTAGTTCTCCACCTCCAGCAATCACTGCCGTCTTCTTTTTCTTGGTCGTCTTTTTCTTTTTGGTTCTTGCCCTGATTTATATAGTTTCTCTTATCAAGCACTCTCCTTCATGTAGTTCTTCACCTCCAGCAATCTCCTTTTTCTTTCTTGGTTCTTCTTCATGCAGTTCTCCACGTTCGGCAATCTGTCTTCTTCTCCCTGTAGTTGACTTTTTCTGCATATCTACATAAATTTGCAGCTCTGCTTTGTTTCATGTGTAGCATGGTGTTGATATTTACATTAAAAAACATCTCAATGTTTTGTCAGAGGTTGAAAACCCGAGAGGAGGTTGATATTTATATTCTGTATACACCGGGCTTATGTATTATGAACAACAATAAAGCTTTATTCCATTTGGTGGTGAGATCGGCTACTATATTTTGTATACATGTATTTTAATTAAAGTCCAAATACTCTTGGAAGTCAATATTGTTCCATTTTAATCACGCTGGATCAATTAAAATAGACGAACACGAAACTATGATGTATTACTTGTTTGATGATAATCAGAAGTTTAATTACGTTGAATGAATATATCCTTGGCTTACATCTTGTTATCTTGAAGCCACGATTCCATTATTTTAGAATAATAGGAATTTCACACCATTGACTAATATAGACCCATCCATGTTTAATTGAAGTGAAAGTAGAAATAAAATCTTATATTTTGATTCCTTCAATGGAAAGAAAAGAAAGGAGAAATAAAATAAAATAGACAAAAAAATGAATTTTTATAGAAAAGTATATCTTTTTTTTATTTTTCTATTTTCATCTAATCTCTAAATAAATTCTAGACTTTTAAAATTAGAATTATATATAACATTTATAAAAATAAATGAAATATTAAGATATTAAATTTATATTAATTTAAAATTTATTGATTAAAAATAAAAATTATTTTTTAAATAAAAATTAATTTTTTTAAATAAAAAATTCATTTCGTAAAGATATCCTAAAGAAGCATAATTTTTTTTTCGGTCCAAATCCTAGAGAAACTAAGCCCCGCTGAATTTAACAGGAGCCTACCAATAGGCTCATGTTGGTAGTGAAGTATTCTAAACTTGTCCAGACGCAAGTGAAATGCTATTAATGGATGGTGGCCCAATTGAAGACAAGTTATTAGTATTCTATGGGCTTTATTCATGCCGACAAGTTTGTAATTTATTTGAAAACTTTAGTAGATTTAAGTTTTTTTACCAAAATAAGATTAGAATAAAAATTTGTTTGATCAAAGACTGTATTTTATTTGTAACTAAAAAAAAATTATTCCATTAATTTGTATCATTTTTTTAAAGTTTCACTTCATTTAGCTTTGAGTTTATAAGCTTTAACTCTTTTTTTTTTTTTTCAAATTTTCATCTTCGCCACCTTATTACAAATCTCACTCCACTTTTTTTTACATTAGAAAAATTCTTAACACACCCTTTTACTTTAAAAGCATAAAAAATATAATAGGACTTTCATCTGAATTATCTTTTCTTATTGAATAAAAAGTATTTAAAAGGAAAATTAAATTAAACTCACAAAATGACAAATTTTGGTATAATAGTCTCAAGTGTGTGTGTGTGTGTGTGTGTAACACTATTTGGTCAAACTAAAAAAAAGAAGTAATATGTTGAATTATTGAATTGTGCTTTTCTTGTTTTGCTGTGTTGTAAGAATACTATTTAGAATATATTTATTATATGTTATATGATGTTTTACTTTATGTCTAACAGGGAATATCTAATCTTCATAATTTATACAGCATCGCTCTTGGCCAAGCAAGCAATCATGGGGTTGGGAACAATGAAACGAAATATTTACCATATTTTCTGAACCTAAACAATGGAACAAAAAAAAGAATACACTAATTTCTCATTATATATATATATATATTATCTTTCATTAGACTTTTAAAGAATTTTATAAATCCTTCACATAAGATTTTTTATAAAATTTTAAAAGTATTTATGGTTCTTTATATTTATTCGTTATAAATATTAAACGTTTCAACAATTAATACAACAATAGAGTTGGCTTTAAATAACTAATTTAAATATTATAATTAATACATTAACTAATTATAATAATTTTTTTAATCTATGTGATTAAGGATGTTATAAATAAAACCAAAGAGAATATTAAACGTGGGACTGGTTCTCTTTTCTAAATTTTAAAATACTAGATCACATTTATTATCAGCAAAATAATTTGGTTAAGTATTGTTATAAAAGGCAATTATTTAAAAATTAATAATTCAAATATTATAATATAAATACATTGATAAGATTATACATATAAAATAATTTATCATTTTCAACAGGATAATGATTAGCAAAATCATGAATAAATTATATATTGAATGAATTAAGAGTTGGCAGAAATGAGACGGGATCAAGAAGTTGGTAAAAGGATATGGATTGATGACAAACACCGACAAAAGAAGGACAGAGTGAATGACATGGGAAATGTTGTATCAATATCATGCTTAAAGATTCAACCCGACAAGGAGGCAAATCCAAAAAGTCTCAGCTCAGTAAACTGCACTAGTTAAAACGTTTTACTCGACCAAATATATTTCTTTACACTCATTTTTCATTTGCATCTTTTTTTTTATGATACAATTAATTTAAAATTTACAATTCATGTTCCGTTTATAATATAAAACTAAAATATCCCAAATATTATTTTAAAGTGGATATTGAAGTATAAATAATATTGAATTTTATAAGTTATATTAACAAATCGTATCTCATCTATTATCAATTTTAGTGAAGTTAAGCTAAATTCAAATAGCTATCCCTGTCAAAATTTCACATGTGTATATATATATAGCAAGTTAAATATGTTTCATTGTATCCTATCAATACCCCAACTTTTTACCATGTCTATTATGAGTTGGATAACATAAGCCCAAACTAAAGTTTTTTGAGACAACAATGATAATTGACAAGCCCTACATTGTCCTTGTCCATCGTGCATTATTCACAAAACTCAAGCTTGTAACTCTGCACCATTAACTAGTACTACATGCCAAACACAATGACGCATCGTCGCTCATATGGCCAACGCATCTCTGTTACATCTACATGAACATGATGTCCATTTCTGTTAACTCCATGGAGCAAGATAATTAAAATTACACTCAGACACTCCTTGCAATTGGGCTGATATAAAAGAACAAACCTAATATCATGTTAATGTATAGAAAAATGTGAAAAACATAAGACATCTAAAGTTATTATAATCCAAATATAATAGAGAAGTTTAGATAAATTATGATCATTTGTCAATTTCCAAAACATGAAATCCTAATATGATCAAATTAATTAAGAAATGGTATTATGACAATATTTTTTAAGAAAATGTAATAAGAGATAGAGTTTGATTTTAATACACTTTCAGTGTAAATTTTGCATCCTGTCAATTATTTTGTATCATGCAAGAGACATAAAGTCTTTCCATAGTGATTGACTAAATACAAGCCACGTATTAACAGTTTCTTCATTTATCATTGTGGTCTAGGCCAAAAAAAGTTCTCCCAACTAAATGATGCTCATTTTAAGGGGAATTTGCTTATATGTGAAACCAATTTTGAGCCTGTAGTACCTGGTTGGTTCCTCATCATCTTTGACTAGTTATCCTTTTGCAGCGATTGGATCAATAGTATATCCTTTTCTCACTCTAGAAAGAACATGGGAAGAGGATAAGCACATCGAAAGACCAACACCTAGATAGATCAATTTAGAGAGGGAGGATCGAACTAGTTAAATCTTCCATAAATAGTAATAAATTCTAGATTTGATAAAAAAAAAATTGTTGAGGCGGGCACTAGAGGGGTAGCTACGGACATTGCAAAGAAACTAGGAATGGTCAAGCAAAGGAGAGGCGAGTAGAGGGAGAGATCATTGCAAAAAGTTAACCATAGAATAAAAAGGAGATCCATTGGTTAAGTTAAAAGAAGAAAGACAAAAAGATTCTTTAAGGAAAAATATGAACGATTCATTCCTAGTTACGTTTTTATTTTTTCCTTAAAGAGATTTTTAAGGGAACACAATCATCCTAATAGTACTGTGCATGTTAATTTGCTGCTGAAATCAATATTTGGCATCTTAAATTTTAATAGATTTGTTAAGGGTGTTTATAGGATTCTAGGCTGGGATAGTTTTATTTTAGCCCACGAGGGAACAAAAACTTGATTAGGTTATTTGTTTGAATTCGAATTCGTCCCAATTAAGATTAGACACTGTATAAAATAATATGAAATCAATCTGATTCATTAACATAGTAAATTAATTTTTACGTTATCTATAATTATAAATCATTTCATAAAATATAAATTAATTACATTAAATTTCAGTACTAAAAATGTAATTTAAAAGACACTAATAATAAAAACATTTTTTACATTCAATAATGAATTACTATATAATTAAAAATTAATATCTTTGTAATAATTATTTTAAAAAATAGATTTAAAGTAATTTATAACTTGTTGACAATATGAAAATTTCTATGCTAATAATATAATAATATATCAAAATCAAACTCTAATATTATTACATTAATACGTAAAAATTTAAAATATATAAAATTGAAAAAATATGAAATATTAAACTAGATTAAACTAACCCTAATTGTTTAAAGTGATATATATTTAATTTTCTTTAAGTAATATCCCATATTCAAACTTTATAAATAATAAAAAAAAGTCAATTTCACTTTATAAATTATGAATATTTTCAACTCAAATATGATTATCTTCAATTAAAAAATATATGCGATTTAAAAAAAATAAATTCAAAGTATGACTTAGATTAATTTTCCAACCTACATCACGTGTAATTTTGAAATTCAAATTCGTCTAAATTAACTTTAAGACAAGTCGAGTTAACAAGATGGGACAGTTGTTGAGCATTCTGTCATAATTTCCCCTTTCTTTTGGTGAACTTTTTGTTGGTAAAGTTATATATACTTAGATGCAGTGCGATTCCCCTATACTTTGTAGTTATCCTGCTATATCAATGCGGTTGCTTTTCTTCCGTGGAAAAAACGTGGTTACTTTACGTAAACAAATAATTTTAATTATACATTCTCCAAAATAATGTTATAATTATACTCTCACCCAGAAAGTAATTAAAAATGAGGAACTGGCCAAAATTGTCATTCTTCCTAAATCATGCTATATATATATAAACACACTTTTTGTATCTTTGAAGACACCCAGACACACGCCCACAAATTCAAATTATTATAACTAGGTGGGAATTGAAGAGTATGATCGACGTGGGTGATGGAAAAAACAGATACCAAAAGTGTGTTGATGATGTGGGTGGCAATATTGGTCAGTGTTTATGGTTAACTACTATTACTACTGTTTAGCATTATTTATGTGAAGGGGTGGTAGTGTTTTGTTTGTAGTGTGACACCCGAATTCCGAAATGTTAGTGGTTCTAATCTTGGATGTGTCTTAACTACTGAAAAATGGGGCACTGATGAAGAAAACCGCTAAAGAAAAGACAGGGTGGATGGAACAGTGAAGGGTTTGCATGTAACAGGTGAAAGCAGTAGCGGAGACACGGACTGAGTCTTCTGCTCCTAAGAGGTGCCAATGCCGACCAGAGCGTGCAACCCAAAGCACTTGCTGGTTTAAATGCTAACTATTTGTTTCCCGAGGAAGACAAGATCACAACCCATCGTCTCAAACTAACACATTAATTCCCTCCCAACAATTAAATTAAGCAACTCTTAATTCTTAATTCAATTTTTCTTCACTCATTTTTTATCTCCGAGTTTAAGTATTTATAAATAATTTATTTTTATATAAAATATATTTATTACATTAAATTATTTATATTGATTTTTTATTAGTTTGCTAAACCTATTTTATAAATCGTGCTTTTCTTTTTCCTTTACTCATTTCGCTGTTGATTGGACAGTTTGAAATGATTGATGCCTAATCGTGTTAAATTTCATATACTAATATTAGTTAATTAAATTTGATTTAATAAGATACAGTCTGGTTCAAAAATTAAATAGAGTAGCAAGAGTGTCTTCATCTGTTTAAAATCTATTACACGAGTTATGGAAAGAAAAAAGAGTGAAAAGAACATTTTCTTTTTTGCGTATACTGGGAACAATTGAAAAGAATAATACTGTAAGATAAGTACGGTAAGAAAGATGGGTGTGAAATGGGAACGGGATTGTAGTAATGAATGAACAGATAGTCTTCAAGGTTTCAACTTCGTTGACTGACTTTGTATTGGATCTAATTTCCTACCACAATGGGTAGGTAGAATTGTGACAACTTATATTTTTAAAAACATATAAGAATATTATATATATTTAATCTGTGCAACCTTTTGTCCACACTGTTCTTACAAACCTTCTTTCAAGTCCCAAGATAATCTCATCATCTCCTTCTCTACTACATGACTTTTTCCCTCTCTCTCTACCTCTTTGCTTTAGGGATATATATATTTTTCTCATTGTTAAGTCACAATTGGCAAGTGATTTCTTGTCTCCCCTTTTTTACTTTATTGGGTTTGCTTTACCAACATTGGATTTCTACACATCTTTTAACTCTTCATCCTGACTCTTCCATTATGGTTATTTTCTTAAATCTAAAACTTATCTTTTCCTCACCTTTATCTCTCCCTCCACTACCCTTCCCTTTATATCTCTACTCTATAATAACCTAATCCTTTCTACGCGATCATATATCCCTTCCTTTCTCATCTTTCATCATGACTCATCCCTACTGCTCCAATGACTTCAATGCTTGGTTTGACCTCAATTCTCCATGTCTCATCTCTTCTTCTTCATCATCACCTTGCTCCAGCCCACCATTTTATCTCCCTTCTAGTTATCATCATAACTGCACAAGTGATATCTCTTTCTCTCAGCATCAATCTTCTCCTCCCTCTCCTCCTCTAAAAGAAGCCCTTCCTCTCCTTAACTTAAGCCCAGAAAAAGGTGAAGATCTTGAATCTTCCTTCAGTGCCATGAAAGTGAACAAGGAGAAAGAGAGAGAACTAAGCATATCATCTAACCGGTCTTTGAATGATGATACTGTGACGGTGGCTTTGCACTTAGGGCTTCCAAGCACAACTTCAGCTGATTTAACTTCAAACGTATACTCCACGGAGATTTCAGACAAAGAGAAAGTCACGGTTGCTTCTGAGTATTCACCAACGACAATTAACAGGGGTCAGTATTGGATCCCTACCCCAGCTCAGATTCTGATTGGTCCAACACAGTTTTCATGCCCCCTTTGTTTCAAGACGTTCAACAGATACAACAACATGCAGGTATTCAAAACAATGAAAACATTAGTTGAAGATGGATGATAGGAAGAAATAAAGAAAAAGAATGTTTTTCTTTTCCCTTTTTTTTCTCCTACTATCCTACCCCCTACTTTCCCAGATCTTACTTTTGTGGATATTTACTGAAAAAGAAAATGTCCGTTTCTATATATCCTGTAGATAACTCTTCTTTTGTAGTGTCACTTTAATTTTTCACCTACAATCTTGTCTTCAATTCATGAAAGTACGGGATTTGTGTATGTGCATAATTTAGGGTTTTTCCCTGCATCAACTATTGCATGTCCTTTACTTTATCTTGAGCTGATCTTAACTGTTCCACCGTGCCCCCCTTTACCGTGAGGAGATGAAAGTGGAAAATTTCCAGTCCAATTAAAGGCTTTTGGACCTTCAACGTTCAAAGTTTTTGTATTGGATAATAGAAAACGGAAGGGACTGATCACAATTGATCTCTAGGGTTAATGATAAATCTTAGTAGTTTATATTCTAGAACCAACTTGAGGAGTCACAAAATGAAACAAAGTCATCAATTAATTTTTCAAAACTATAGTACAGCACGCATGGAAGGAAATTTTCTTTTCGTCTCCATAAAAATAAACATAAATAGCTGTCCAATATTCCCTTATTGGGCTTCCGAACTACTTCTTTATTAGTATGCCCTACATTGTCACCTTTTTCTTTAGTCCTAGACCATAGGTGACTAAGAAGTATAGAAACATGTAGAAAAAGACGCGGATCCTTGGTTATCCTCTTAGGCTTCTGACTCAAAATCTTGGCCGGCATGGAAAAATAATTCGTAATCTTAAACAAATTACATGCAATGCAACAAAGATAGAGTTAGTAGTAAATGCGGTTTCACAGTGAGATTTTTGGACCTATCGATAGTGCCAAAGATTTACTTCAGTATGTGAGTGAGTGACTTTCATTCTTCCCCACTTCCCTTTTCAAACTATTTATTTGCTCCTATATGATATTTCTTCCAAAATCTACAGATGCATATGTGGGGGCATGGATCTCAATATAGAAAGGGGCCAGAATCGCTAAGGGGAACGCAACCAACAGCTATGCTTAGACTACCTTGCTATTGCTGTGCACCAGGGTGCAAGAACAACATTGATCATCCACGAGCAAAGCCACTCAAAGACTTTAGAACCCTTCAAACCCATTACAAGAGAAAGCACGGAATCAAGCCTTTCATGTGCAGAAAATGTTGCAAAGCATTTGCTGTGAGAGGTGATTGGAGAACTCACGAGAAGAACTGTGGGAAGCTTTGGTATTGCTCTTGTGGGTCCGATTTTAAGCACAAAAGATCTCTTAAAGATCATATCAAGGCTTTTGGGAATGGACATAAAGCTTATGGAATCGACTGTCTTGATCAAGATGATGAAGCGGGCTCTGAAATTGAGCAAGAAAATGAATCTTTAATTTCAAGTCATAATTGATATGTTTTCAACTTTGAAGACAACACAATTGAGGATTCTCATGTTTTGAACTAATTATATCATTGACTAAGACTACCATCACTAACGAGTTCTCTAGCCCCGATCCTTCAATTTTTTCCTCCTTTATTGATTTCGTTGTGTCTTGGTATTTTGCATACTTCGAATGCGGAAAATTTTCCTTTTCTCGTTTTGGTTTTGTTTGGTTTCTCCCAACTCCTCTCTCACTGTCTTGTAAATATGGCACTTGAACAAGGTCATGGTGGTGAAATTTTATGTCTATTTTTTAAAATAAACATTTACTAGATTCCACCAAAATTTACATATTTAATATTTATAAGGAGAGAAACAAATATAAAAACTAAACGTTATCTTTCTAAAGGATTCATTTCCACACACACATATATATATATAAAGATTTCAATATTGTTTGCTAGGATTTTCAAATGATCAACGCTATGAGAATCTTTATGTCGAAAAGGTGTGGAGAGCCATGCAACATAAGTCTAAATTAGCCTTGTGATCGCTCATTCTTTCTAATATATGACACTAACAACACCGAATTGGATGCCACCAAGAATCTAGATACATTATTAATTAAGGCACACTATGGTAGCGGAGATATCGTACTTAATTAGGATTTCATGTCTCAAAGTAACACGCCAATGTTCAAATTAGAAACAAAGTTATGGTTCGTGTAAATTACTGAGAAATTTCGAAAGTTTGTCAACATATCCTTGTAACGAGTTCGAGTAACACTCGTACATTTATTAAAATTACAAGCGAGAATGCGCAGTAATTTTTTTTCAAAAGAAAAGGGGAATATAACTAGCTAGACAAAGGTGGAAATGCAGTTGGGGGAAGCTTTTGAGCCTGTCATTGATCAGCTTTATGACTCTTATGATGCTACTATTTCCCTTTTGCTATGTCCAGCATGATGGACCGATCAAATACTATGTTTAGACTCACCATAATGATTTGGATGAAAATGATTAGCTTCTGAAGAAAAATGGGCTGTTTTCCTTTCTTCTAAAAAATTTCTTATTTCTTTTAAATATTTTAAAATAATTAAAAAAAGGAAAGATGATAGAAAAGCAATCATAACATTCAGAAGCATTTATTTACATATTTTAATATGCGAATTCAAGGTTGGAACTTGAATGGTATGCAATGGATCTTGATGGCAGCTTTGTGGTTTCAGATCAGTTCTGAGAGTAATAGGGTCAGAACTTCTTGAAATGTCATTTCAAAGTACAAAACTTTCAGAGTATGAATTGTAGCGTGGCTTCACTCTTCAGTCTATTTCCCTGATAAACCCAACCAACAAAAACGGGACTCCACGTTCCCTGTCTCCGTCTCTCTCTCTCTCTTTCTCTCTCACACACGCCCTTTTTTTTCTTTAATTTGTTGGGTAAATTCTCTTTCTTTGAATAATCTTTTTTTCAGTTGGACTTGAAGAGATGCAGAGTATTGTGGCAGCCTACTATGACTGTTAGTAGCAGGGTTTCTACTTCTATTTGGCTATTTTACTTTACAATATTAAAGATTTAACAAAACAGTAAAAAAGGGTGATGAAAACGATAACTAATAATTATGTGATTCTTTTCTTGTTATCCATGGTATCCAGTGTAACGTCAATCTGTCACAACATACCCAATGAGCACAAACCTGTCAGCTTAACATGGACAGATGTGATGGAACCTTGTAGACGTTAACTAGTTCTTCTATATTTCATAAAACAATTGTGGTTCTATCATACAAAATGTTGCCGCAAAAACACCAAATGCATATTTTCGGAAAATGCTTGGTAAACATGTACAGCAATAGAAGAAGAGCAAAATAATTAATACATTACATGTTCAGAAACCCGTTGTGTAAACATCAATTTGACACAAAAATATAACTAATGATGTTAAAATAAATGGAAATTAGTCATGATTTTAAATATACATTTAAACAAACATAATCTATAATGAGAAGTAATTCAATAAATTAAAAATAAAACAATTCGTGCTAACGCTTTCAATATTAATAATTAAAGTTAATTAATGTTTTATACGCTGATAAATGAGATTATATGTACACGTATATATTTTGGATTTGACTTTTTACTGCAACCTTTCTCCTTGTTCATTGGTGTAAAATCGTAGAGAATATTACGAACTTGGGGACCATTGCAAAATCAATATAATGGAATAAAGTTCTTGTACATGATATATCCAAAGGTACCCATCTAGCTGCAAAGACCAATGGGGCATGCATGTAGGGCTCAAGATTACTGTTAAGTTATTGGTGTCATTATTACAAAGCGATAGGATAGAGAGAACATGAAATTAATACTCGGAGAAAAATGCGTTATGCTCGATTTTTTGTCTGTGTGGGACAATTTTGTCTCCTTAATAGCTCAGATCAATGAAAGCTCGTATATATAGAATACAAATACAAATATATTTAAGGGTAAATTGACGTTTCATCCGAGAGTGCTGTTTTACATTATACTACATATGTGCAAACGACTAATAATTTTTCAAAAATATATATGGTCACTTTATGACAGCACGTTTAACTCTCTTTTTTTTTTTAATGTAAAAATGTTATGAAATCTAAGTGCATACGTCAAATTTTGATTATTGTAAAAGAAAGTAAAACTATATCAAAGTAAAATCTGATACGGCCATAAAACTAATTATAAAAATGATTAATGTTTTGGTTTAGATCGTATAATGTATTGTCTAAGCCAACAATTTGTGTTTGAGAGATCACTATAACTTAAACTCAAGATAATAAGTTATGGTGAAATAACCTTATGCTAGTTAATTTACATGTTGAGTGATTTAAAGAGTGTTTGAAAGAAATTATAAATGAGAAATTTTTAAAATTAGTTTATTATTTTGTTTGTTAAATTATTATAATAAATTTTTATATAATTAATTTATTAAAATAAATTATTTTAAATTTATTTTAATAAAATTCATAATTAAATATATAATTCACTCTTGAAGAAAATAGCACGATACTGTGAAATATTCGTTAGAAAAATTCGGGTCGATCGGTGCATTTGGATTGGATGTAATAGAGGTATCAGAACATAAAAGCTACTACTTAAGAAGAACAATAATGAAACTGACGTTATTTGGCTGTTTGCATGGGTTCGGACAAAGATTTTAATGATGGATTATAATTTATAATATTTAGTAAATAAGAACCAACTTATATTTATAGATTATGTTTCTGTGGGCATGTGAACCTTATTTCACCATAAAATATTAGACCTGTCATTTGAAGTTGATCTTCATATCTAATATTTTTGTTTTATTATTAATATTATTATATGCTTTCAAATGTGAATTCAAAAAGAGGGAAATAATTTGTTAACTTGTTAATTTAGTTATTCACTTAATTAACAAGCACCTCCTATTTCCGCTAAGGGTCTCCCAAGAAGAGGTTGGTTCTAATAGATATGTCCAAGCTAAAAACATCAAAATACATTCTCTTATTAGAATAATATATTGGATTTGAAGCCTAAATGCACATACGATTGAACTTAGTTAAGAGACGAGTTGATATTTTGCCACAGAGAGAGAGTAGCCTATATTAGTGTTAAAGGGTTTTTTGAATGTAATGCATGTCAAAGTTTTTTTTTTTTTTTTAATTTTGACTTTTTTATGGAGGTCAAAAGATATTTTATTTTCTTCTTAAAATAAGACTATAAGAGCAACAAGAGTTCAGATATCACGCATACTTAAACAACGAACTTTGAGTATGACCTATAAAAAGTTAGAAAGGGTGGTAAGAAAATTTTAGTTAACAAAACCTGATAAACTGAAGCAAAACATTAGACAATAGAAAAGCCGCGAGCATGGTTCGTTGATGTACAACGTCAAAATTCATGTATCAAACATTGCTATCCTACGCAGTTATGTTCTTTTTAACATGTACTCTACGCATATATACTATAAGTATTCTTCAAGCAAAGTCATTTTACTCGAATCCAAAAATTTCGCAACATAATTAAGTTAAAAGCTTTTTATATGCACAATATTTAAATTTGAGATTTTCTATAAAAAAAAATTGTATCACTTGCATTAATCAACTGTCCATTGATGTTAATTACACACCTTTAAATAAGTTGGCGTGAAAGTAAGCTAATTAGAATATCCCATTTGCAGTGTAATTTATACAGGGGAAACACTCGAAGCTGAAACAATTTATTTGTCAAGTTGAGATTCACTTTTGGTTAACATTAATATCTAATTATCTATGTTAAATGACAAAGTTTTTTAGGTTCTATCTATCTACACACATATAATGTTATTTTTTTGGTGAGTTTTTGTTTTTTTTGTCAAATATATACATGTCGCATCTAATATTTGCAGGCTGTGAGATTATATAGTAATCTTAAGGGATCAAAAGACAAAGTAAGTGACGAACAATTGGTGACTTAAATTGTCAGAAATTAATTATTAATTCCTGATATTTTAGATTATTTATTAACTGGTGATTAAATTGAACTAGTTACGAATAAAATAAGTTTTTTACCTCCTTTATTTATTAAGATATTTAATTTCAATTGAGAGTCTCTGACAATCTGATTTATAAAATTGTAAGGTTTGTATAGAAGGTTTAAAAACATGCAACAATAACAAGAAGACTATAAAGACAGGTTGATAGAAATTTTTTAAAAAGCAATAAACTGGATAGTAATGAAAAGAAAGCACAATCCACATAAAAGCACACCTACTGGTAGTTCAACGAAGAAAGTAAGGAGAAAGAAGACGAATTAGAGTTGATACTTGATTATCACTCCAAGTGCAACAAACGGAGAAACAAACAACAGAAAAGCAAAAAAAATGGAAATGGAAGCTGGAAATTGCTTAAAAATTATAAAATAATACAGAAAATGTAGAGAGGATTAAAAATTAACAGATTAATTTAGCCATAAAAACATTTATACCAAAAAAAAAATTTAGACTTTATATTACAAAAAAGAAAAAAACAAATTGGACCTGTTAAGAATAAGACTTGACTTACCCCTCCTCCCTTCCCATCCACAACTCTCCTCCTTAGGTTAAGGGTATGACGAATCCAAAGTGATATAATTGGATATAGCTTTATAGAAGAAGAAAAAAAAAAAACCATGCCCACTGATAATTGACTTAAAAATGGAAAATGGTTAATCGGAACAATATCATAACTAAAGAAAATAACACATCATTGTTGCTTTACTATTTTCATGCTGCCCCATCTAAGAGATTGTCGGTGTGTTTAGTTAAGTCGTATAAAGTACAATATGCACAGCATTTGTAAAAGGACGATGATTTCACTATTTAAAAGTGGAATCATAATCAAAAGGACAATTAGTTATAGCAAATTGTTGTTAATATTGTGATTGTTTATATTTTCTAAGTACTTGAACAATATTGACAATGATCAGTATGAAATTATACTCTACAAGATACATTTTATAGGATACTGATACAGGAGAAAAGCTGCGGAGGTAGCATTATTAAAAAGAAATTTGAGTTCCTTATCATGATTCTTTTGCTTTGATTAGATTCTCCTTTCAGTTGATTGAAAACTTCTGTCCCCTTATTTTGGATGTAGGTGTCTTTACTCTCTCCCAGTCATCTTTCATAGAATTTTGACACATCCAATCCAAAAGCTTCGTTAAAAAGAAAAGGGTCATCTATCATTAATCAGTAAATTACACCATTGACCTTACCAGTACTACCTACTAATCTCCTAATAAAATTTATTTTCTATTATCCAACACATTAAATTAGGATTAGGGATGCCAGTAAGTTTTGAGTACCTCCCCGCTTCTCCTCTCGAGTCTCAATTGTTGATCTTAATTAACGATTTTTTTCTCATTTTTTCATTTTTAATTTTCCGCGTGCTCGTAGGAATCCAAATTTGAAAAGATAATAAAAAAGAATCATAAAAATTAAATTAATATATCGAATCATAAAAATAACTAAAATACCACATGCATGCTTTGGCAGATATTTGGTTCTATTTCTGCAGGAAAAAAAATAGTAAATTGAACCCTGAAACTTACCCCCCACCCCCCCAAAAAAAGTAGCTTTTGATAATGAAGAAAATGGTCATTCCTAATTAAAATCATCCAAATTCGTTTTAAGTTGTTCACAGCACAAATTTTATACAGATTGTGTAGTAATTAAAATAATCCAATGGCACGTTAATGAAATATAGTAACATAAAGCATAGACTTCAATGAATTTTCGGCCGTTACACACCATTAGTTTTTGTCATTTTGAACAAAAGTTACACCATTCTAACACCTAACACGAACCATGTAAATTGTATGACGTACCTAATTTTAACCCTAATTTAATGACACCAATTTACCTGAATATCTTTTTTTCCCATTTGTTAAGTAACAAAATATTTTGATATGTGAATAAACTAGGATTTAATTTCTAGTCATGTATATAGCAAAGATTTTATTAGTGAAATAAAATCTACTTTAGTAATATCTACATCTTCAAACAAAGTAACCTCTTAAATACAAGAAAATATGTTCAGTACACAATAAAACAATTGAATTAAATTTTCCAAAAGTTTAACATAAACACTTTTTTAGGTCAAACCATAAAGTAAACATTTTAATCACGAGAGAATTTATGGTTTAAAAACATGGTTTGATGAGCATAGAGAATTACATTGGTGAATTTCAAAGCGCATGGTATTTTCACATGACCCATTCCTTGGAGTACTTTTTAAAATTTTAGCTTAATATCGTAGATTTGAGAACGAAACTGGGTGCCAAAGCAGGCAAATGGTTGGTACCCGATTACCCCATACCCACTGGGATGCCGGAGCCTTGAGAATGGAATCAAAGTCCAGTGTATAAGTATACTAACATAATTACGTTGACCAGTCGATAAAAAAAATTGCGTTGACCAAAAAATTACATAACACATCGATAAATTATGCAATTTAAAAAGTCTGGTCTTCATTGATGATACAGGATACAAAGGTTGGTAGTCCGATAACGAATTAAGAGACATAGTGAAATACAATTATTCTTTCATTTTCTTTTGTACATTTTGTCTACAGGGGGGAAACCACAATCAGAGGTGAAATGCATCTCTCTATATTGATTTTCTAATTGCAATCCTCAACAGATGGCCTGGCATTATTGTCGTTGAACAGTTTGTGAGACCCCCTTTGAAGGAATTTTGCTGCTACTGAAAATAGAATCAGAAGACACACCATAATGATACCGCGGAATTCATGACATTCAGAAAAGAAAAGACGCGTTGTTCCCATCTACAAGCTTTTTTTTTTGTCGGGTCCAATTTACAAGCTCAAGTCCTCTGGCAAGCTTATACTTAGAAAATACAGGCTGCACATCCAGCAATAAAAATGAGACAACTTACTAGCAAAAAATGTGAAAAGATAATTATTTTTTTCTTTCTTTCTTGATCTGAAAAGGATATGGAGATATCTTCACTGAAGAGACGAAAACAAAGCCAAACACAAGCCAAAGATTTTGATGTTATGATATTCCCCTGAAATTGGGGGATACACAATTTTTAACATTTTTTTAATTTGAAACTCATATAACTTTAAATTTCATTTTTAAGGACCCAATCGACAAACGAGAAGGTAGCACTAAACTCCTAGTTATTTTCTCTGTTGAAAATTTGCGTATTTTGCATATTCACAAATAATGTTGACCATGTTTGTGCCGAATCTGGGTACACAGACATTTTCAGAAAGGAAGATACTGAAGAGCCAATATTCTTTTGTCAGAATAAGTTGATATTATTATTGACTCCTGGATAAATAAGTAGTAGGCCCGTCTGTCCGTCTGCACTTTCTGTCTCCACAATAACATTTACATTTCCTCTTTTTTCAGCGAGCAACATTCATTATTACTAGTTACTAGTTAACATGCAAAATAATTTACTCCAATATATATGGATGTGAAACAAGACACTCAAATGCATAAAATATGTTACCAGAGTAACAATAAAAAGCAAACAATATCATTATCTCTGGAAACAATATTTCATTAGCAATGAGATTATCACCTTGCAGACATGAAAGCCATCCCAAAAAAGACAGCCTTAACAGATTGCTTCTGTCCCGCATAATCAAAAGCCAATGGCAGCATTTCATGAAGGGTCAGAAAAGCCATAACTCCACCAACTGTAATCATCATAGAACAAATCTGCATGATAACATAAATACTAAAAATCCCATTGTAATTTGTAGAAGCTGTATAATTGCAAACCTGATCCAAGTAAACCTTCTAGAATCTCAGGACTTAAGCTGCTAGGGAATAGATAGGCTACAGTGAGAGAAATGACATCATCAAAGTAAGTTTAACTTTGTAATTCACACATATCTAAGAATTCTGTGTAAAAAAATAATGAATCTACCTAATTAAACCTTAAAACCCTACTCTGGAGTAGAGATATAGAAATTCAGTGGACAAGACATCATTGAACCAACCACGCATACCTAACTTGACCTTAAAATTGAAGCATGCGATATGCTTCATCTTGTTATAATACCACATTACCACTAATTCTTGCTTTCTTCTTCTTTGAAATGAAAAGCAGACTATTGGGCAAAGCAACATAAAGCAGATGATATACCTACAATTATAACTCCCAGGGGTTCAGCAAAGCCAGATAGTGATGCCAATTTGAATGCCTGCCATTTACTAAGACACATCCAAAAACCCAAAAAAAAGTGTTATGCTTGGTCTTTGTTGTATAATTCAAATGCATAATTATTTACTCAACTTCATTTAATATAGCAAAAGAAATCAAGATTTAAGATTAATTAATAATTCCAGGAGGTATTATGCAACAAAAGAATGATGTTGACAACAACAAAAATTGCAAATTAATGCATCATGGCATCCTGTAACTAGAATTTTATAAGCATCTATTTTCATTTGTAAAGGCACTGGCATTCAAATCCAAAAACAGGCTCAATTTTCTTTTCTTTTGTTAATCTTTTTTCTGTAGAAGCAGAAGTTAAAAAAAAAAAGCGCACATAGTGAAACAATAGCATTATGGCCGTAAATTTAAAGGTTTTGCATCACATGATAACCATCATTGCATCCTACTACCAATACTAGAATTAAAAAATTATAAACCATAAAATGGTAATAATATACATCAGCAACCCTCTACACCACACACTATTTAGATAACATTTCCAATATCACCTTCTCAGAGCCACTGAGAATATATTTCCCACAATCTGCCCACTTTTCATATATATCATTGCTGAGCTCACACTATTTCATGTACATATTTTAGCCCGTGCAGCAATCAACCATAAACTCTTTGAACTTGAATATCTATTATAAGTCACTTGTTGATTGTAAGTGCTACAAAAACTTGAATCAACAGGAGTCCTTAAAGTTATTACCTTTGTGTCGCAAAATAAACAGGAAGTGCAACAGCAACACCCTAGAAAGTAGAAGATCATTAAAATTACAATAGATCTATAAAACATTTTTAAAATGATTTTTTTCAGAAAATAAGGTGTGTAGAAAAAAAAATGTCAAACTCAAAAATTGAACAAAAAAGATAAAATAAAATATTGACCCAAGAAAGCGTCAAGGTCTATAAGGAACAGCAGGTTTCCTTCATTATTAATTTTACCACTTAAATATAACTATTGTATCCAAAGTAAGGAGGTTGCACCATAAGATGAAAATTTATACCTCTGGAATATTGTGCAGAGCAATGGCCAATGCTAAGTTGAGCCCAACACGGAGGCCCTATTGAGAAAATAATGTTACCAATATCAAATTGAAGTCGCATTAACAAGCATAATAGTGTGGATATAAGCAATCCTTCAAAAACTAATGATGATGTGGCAGATCTATATGCATATCAACAGGTTCTAGGGTACCTTCATGGATCCAAGGAACACCGCCATTCCTTCTGGAAAATTGTGTAAACTTATGCCTAGAAAATGAATCAAAAGGAGAAAAATAAATAAAATTCAACGTAAAATGATAAGAAAAATGAAAATGAGAATTGAAGTTCTTAAGAATGCACAAGTCTTTGATTAACATGGATATTTAACTGTAGAATACCCAAACTCCTAGAAAATTCAAAAGAAATTTAATTTCCAAGACCCTTTAATATTCTTATAATCTTTCCAAAAAGAACTACTTGTAAGAAAATATTAGGTTTGAAAGTACCCAGACAATCATACCTATGGCTGTAATAATTCCACTAAATAAAACTTGCCGGCGATGCTTTTTCATAATATCCTTGCCTCCTTCATCCCCATTTTTCTAATTTGAAGCATGCGATAACATTTATCAAAATTTTTTATCTTTGTAGATTTTACATAACATAGCAGCTCCAATGCCACTTTGCAAATTCAACAAGACAGAGTTAACAGTTAGTTGTAAGAAACAAGCTCATGAAAACCTTTCTACTCTTCACATCTGAAGTGGGAGTAAGTGTTGGCTCCGGGATAAAGCTGGCAACAACAGCAAAGAATATTACACCAGCAAAAAACTACATGAACGAGAAGATCAAACATTTTGGTCAGAACTAGCATGAGAGAAGACAATGGTGAAGAAAAAATATCGCTGTTAGATGACTTTACAATAGGTGAAGTGCACTGCCTACCCAAAGGTTGCCTTTCAAGAAGCCCAGTGAGTTCAAAGCATTATGAGCCAAATCAAAGAATGATATGCTGAGCATCAAACCAGCAGCAAAACCCTTCATGTAATGAAATTTTTTTCAAAATCACACTTGGATAAGCAAGCCAACAAATACAATACAATTCATCACACTTATCAAAACAGAGACAGAATGATTATAAATGAATCAACGCATTCTCATTAAAAAATGCAAAAACAAAGAGTGAGGTGTTGACAAAAAAAAACCACCTGTAATAGCCCAAGCATTTTCAAATTGGGAGCTTGATTAATAATTACAAAGAGTGCACCTGTTTCAAATTGACAGCATATAGTCCAGTTACAAGCACATAAAAGCTTAAAGGATACATAACTCCAAAAAAAATTAATGAGAATATTTCTAATGTTAATATTTTGGGAACCAATCAAATATATCAATTTCTTTCCACAAGAGCTGCAGCTAGTCTGAGTGAATAATAAATTAAAATAATAATTAGTATTCTGAGAATCTCGGCGAGAGGTTTAAAACAATCTACAACATGCTTTGCCACAGAAAGGAAAAAACATGAACAAAGTTCCCAAAGTTAAGCAGGGTAAATTAAAAAAAAAAAAATTGAAATTGAAAATGCATGAAAATTAAAGTTGACGGTAAGTGAAAGAGCACATAGTGTTACCGATAGAAGTGCTGACACCACCAACAAGAGAAAGAGCAAGAGCTACGGCCACCTGAGAATCCATGCCTCCACAATCTTAGGTTAGGGTTCTCTCTCGTCGATACCAACGATTCTTGTGATTCAATTTCCAGAAGCAGAACCAATTGCTAGCAGACCAACGCTCAGTGAACTACCCCCCTTACCCAACAACCATGGATATATATTTCTATTTATATTTTAGATAAACATTTTTATATATCCTAGATAATTAAATACGATATATAGTAATTAAAATATTTCTATATTTATGATGTTATGTTAATAATAGGTATTTTTAGGGTATTAATTAAGAAGTCACTTTGATTACCATTTATCATATTTAATTAACAAAAATGTCGTTGTCTTTGAAAATTTTAAAATCATGACTAATTTCTAAAGTGCAAGGAACATGCAGCTCTATTTAAAAGCGAGAGAGAACATTTTCAATCAAATAAAAATAAAAGAAAAAGTGGTTTTTTAAAATTTATTTTTTCTTAATTTAGCTATTTATTAAGTTTTTATTTATGATTTTTTTTCGTGGAACGTTAATTTAAAATTTTTGATAATTTTTATTATAAAATATTTTATAACTTTTGTGATAGCTTAATTTTATTATTTTGTGAATACAAATAATTTTATATCATTAACTAATTAAAATTATACTACATATATTTTTAAAGTAGTTAATAATGAATTAATTGTTATTAATGATATATTAATTCATAATTAAATAATAACACAACAAACTATGTAATGTATTTTAATTTATTTTTATGAAAAAAAATTGTTATTTAACCTTAACAACTAGAATCAGTTTACTTTTGGAACATCAAATTAGAAATTAGAAATTATTGTAGAGTGGTGTTTTTTATTTGAAGCATGAATTGGTAAACCTCTTAGTAAACGTTGGCCGCCCTATTTAAACGTCGAGTTAAGAGGAAAGAGATAACATTTAATACCATTAACTAAAATTTAGATCACTTTATGATAATTGAATATTTATTACCCCTTTTCCAAGACTAATTTTTTGTATACATCATTTCTAAGACTAATTTTGAAATTAGAGTTACCAATAACACTTTTAGTCTTATTTATATAAAATATTTATAATTTTTATAAATATAAACAATATATTATTTTGTAATATGTAGTCATTGTTAATTTTTTTTACTTTTATATTTGTTGTAATATTTATTTTAACAAGATGTTCAACTCTTTATACATGACAATGTATTTATTCATTTAACATACAACATACTAAATTAATTATATTTTGAAAATAAAGTATACATTTATAATATATAATTATTTTTTATTATTCTGAATCAACTACGTATTTATTTTTTATAAATAAAATTTTAAAATAATGTAAGATAATACAATAACTAATCATAATTATTTTGAGAAATTAAATAATACTAGTCTAATTTTATTTAAATTCTTAAGATTAAAAGTGGTAATTTTAAATATATAATTACATTAAATATTTATAACGAGAGATTTGTTATTAATATAATTTGTGATCCAATATTTTATATAAAAATTTCATATAATTAAAATAAAAATATGTATAATGTTAAAATATTCATATAAATATTAATTAATCTCTAATTTAAAGGCTATACGGTTAAGATTTTTCTTACCTCAGTATAGTAAAAATTTATAATTCATATGTTCTTAAAATAATAAATTTTTTTTTAACGTGTGTTTGTTTTATACATACATACTTTATAATTATTAAAGTTTGCCTGACATTCACAGTAATATAATTTCTGATAATATCTCTAAGTATTTTTTAAAGTTGTTTATAGATTATTTATTTCATTTAATAATAATTCTATTTATTTAATATTTACTATTAAACTTACATAGATATTACTTTCGATCTAACTTAGTAAGAAGTTTCATTTTCTGATTATTGTGAACTTTAGTATGACATCATTGAATATTATACTTTAATATTGATTTTGTAATGAATTATAAGCTAATGTTACATTTAAACTTTAAATGTATAATAGAACATTTTATATTTACTTAATGTGTTAAATTTATTTGGACCTTCAAACTTTATATGTAAAATCCACACGTTTCTGGGTTATGGAGCATAGTGTCAATATTTTGATATTTCTGGAAATGCCCTAGCACAGCAATACTATCATATTCACATAACTACACGAGCATATAACATTTGTGGCACACATCATAGGTAAATGTATTAAGATTTTTCTTCTGATATTCTGAGAACTGAAAAGACACTGTGCAAGACACATCTTAACATACACTCTGCTACTAAAAGCTCAATATTTTTGCTTTACCAAAATGCTAAAGCTAAGCACGATTTTGTATCATTAATTGATTAAGTGAAATAGAAACTGGGGGTTTTGATTAGACAAAAGCAAGGTTAGATATTGTTTTAAAAGATACAATACTGAAATAACCACCGCCACATGCGGCTGAACACTGTTAGTATCGTCCTATAATGCTAATTGAGAAACGCAACATTGCTGTAGAATTTATAACTACTTTTTTCAAAATTTTAGTGACATAGAAGCAAAGAATTGTACTTAGTCTTGTTTGTCGCTCAAAGTTGTTGGAGATGCATCTTTCCCTAAAAAAATACGTGTAAATGGACGATGACACATATATGTTATTCACAACCATGTATGCTGCAGAGACACTCGAGCAAAAAAGTAAAAACAATAAATAATAATGACAAAATTAAGGGTTCATTTTCTAATGCTAAATTGACCCCTTTGTTTGTTTTTATTCCATAAATATACAAATTATAGCCAATTGAAAGTAAAGATATATTTATATAATATATAAAAAATTAATTTATTAAAAAAATAGATAAAATTACTAGGTAGTCGAAGATTAAATAATTTCAACCACTAATGTTACGCTGTATATCAATTTTTTTTACAATTTATGAAAAAAAAATATAATTCTGAGGTCATAAATAAATATAAAAGTGTTTAATAATTGAAAGAAAAAAAAATCTTCATATAAATTTATAATTTTAATTATTCAACTTAGATATTGTCCAAACCCAACTGGGCAGTAAGCGTGCCCTAGACGGCTAACTTGGGGCTTTTCTTAGGTTATGCTGAGTTGAACACTGTCGGGTGCCTATCGCTCAACGTTCTGTGACGCCGTCGTTCATCGCGCTGAACATTCATCGCTACGTGTCGTCGATTCCTTTGCCCTTATTTTCTCACTGAAGGTAAATTGCCCTGTCCGCTCTTGAAACGCTTCTTTGTTAAATTTGATCTTTGGGTTTCGACATGTCAGATATTGTCTCTTTCTCGGCAAGTGAGCAAGTCTCACTCCTCGCCTTTCTCATTTGAGAGCAGCAAAGCCACTGTGCCGTCGCCGATCATCTCAGTAAGAGTTTGTTTTCAATGGAAGAGGGAAATTCTCATTCAAACAATTTGGTAGAAGAAAATGGAGCTTCAGAGCTCCAAAGTCATGTGGAAGGGACAGGTGACCTTTCTCCACCATCACAAAAAGAGGGAGATGACATTAAAGGTAATAATGTTATATATGGCCTTTGTGGCTTAACGCAATGTATTATGTGCAAATGCAAATGAATTTATCCACTATAGATATTAAATTGCCATTTGATTCCTTATTCATTCCTTCTGTGAGTGAATTCTATTTTTCTTTTCTTTCTATGTTTCATTTTCACTTGTACTTTTTCTTCATCTTCTAACTGAAATGTAATATCCAATAATAAAATATTCTCTTTTGCATGTTAAGAGTGAATGCGTTTGTGTCCTGTACTAGGATTTATTTTTCATAAGCACCTGGGATGTAGTTCATTTTATATAAAAAACCATTTTTGTGGAAGTGCAATTGAAAGCTTTGTTTCTGGATGGTCATTGATATTGTGATGTACAGAACCTAATGTTTTGTAAGTATAAGAAAATGCGCAAAATAATAATTTTAAGCCTAATTTAATGCATTTTAGTAATGCTGTTGCAACCGAAGTCTGTGTAGATGCGATGTTTTACTTTTGAATTATTTTGAGCATGTATCATTATGTACCTGTCGTTTCTTATGTTGTTGATGTTTAATTTGAATGTATTTTTCTCTTCTGACAGAAGTTTCAAAGAAGAAAAAGAAGAAAGCTAAAAGCAAGTGAGGATTTGACCTCTTCTGTTATTAGTGATTATTCTCTTAATTGTGAAGTTTATCTGAAGCTTTGACTTTATTCATGTGATTAGGAAAAAGAAAGAACCTCTACAGCAGACTGATCCACCATCAATTTCTGTTGTCGACCTTTTTCCATCTGGAGAATTCCCTGAAGGTGAAATTCAGCAGTACAAAGACGAGTAAGTTGCTGTTGAATACACTTAAGCAATACCTGGAATTTTCCTTGTAAATTTGATGTGGATTTGATTGACGTGAATTATGGTCCTGTTTTTTCTTTTTCTCTGAATTTGTTTTATATTTGAAAAGAAAAAGAAAGAAGTTCCATAACAGAGGAAGCATGTTGGCTAACCAAGGCTTTCCTGTTAAATAAACCCCTCTGAAATAGCAAATAGCTAACCTTTGCACAGTAAAAAATTGTAAGAAAACTACTTGAGTCTCGTGTTTTTAAAATTCCTGTGTAAAATTTAAAATATCCCTGTATTTTTATTTGGAATTTTTATGCCAGTAATCTATGGAGAACCACATCAGAGGAGAAGAGAGAACTTGAGCGCCTTCAGAAACCATTATATAATTCGGTTCGTCGAGCAGCAGAAGTTCATCGTCAGGTTGTAATTTTGGTTGTTACTTTCTACCATTAACCCTTTGTTTTGATGAAAAAAAATTTGGACACGGTTGTTACTGTTTATTGTTTGGATCGGGTGAAGGAAATAAAGAGTGGGAAGTGGAGGAAGAATTAATGTGGGCCTGACCCCTATTGTTTTTTCTCCATGAATTTGGGGAAAATATTCAGAGAAAGTTGATTCTAAAACATACGATGGGAAAGTTGGGTTTGGTGTAAATCAAATCACCTATTTTACAAAGTGATGAAAAAAAAAATTACAAGAATATATTAGTAATAAATTAATAATACTAAAATATTAAATTGTGCCCTCCGTTTTATTATGCGAACAAACAATTTTTTTTATTTCTGCTTTCTCATTCCTTGAACTTCCCATTAGATTTTAAGACCAGGAAAAAATCTAACTTTCCATTTGTCTAATTTTTTTAATTTTCTCTTACCTTCAAATGAAGGTGTTGTTGGGAAGTATATTGATTCTTTGATATAGTTTGGTGTTATAACAATAGGTCTGTATAATGACTTTCTTTATTTCTAAGTAGGTTCGCAAATATATGAAAAACATTATAAAGCCTGGAATGCTAATGATTGACTTATGCGAAACATTGGAGAACACAGTTCGTAAGCTAATATCAGAGGATGGTCTTCAAGCAGGCATTGCATTCCCCACGGGATGCTCTTTAAATTGGTAATGCTTTATGAAAAAGTTCACTATTTTTATCTTGTGTTTTGTGGTTTCTTGCTACATGGCATTGAATGATGGGCAATGAAGGGCTAGCCAAAGCATAAATGTTGTGAAGATGAGAATTTTATGTTGAATGAGTGATCATCATAGAATTAAGATCAGGAATGAATGCACTTGAGAAAATGTAGGAACCGCACTTATTAAGAAAAAAGTTGGTGGAATCACACATAAAATATTTTGGAGATGTGTGAAAGACCAATAGAGATCTCAATTACAAAAGTTGACCAAATTATTCCCAAAATATTGAGTAAATCCCCAGACTAGTCCTTGAGATTTTATGAGTTGGGCATTTAGTCTCTAAGATTTTAAAAACATTAGACTTTAAAGGGACAACATGGGAAAAATGAGTTGCATAATGAAAATGCTAAGTTAGATGAATGATCTCATGGGAAAGAATAACATAAAAGTAATGATTGTATAAAAGAAAATATTGGAAAAATATTTACTAAGAAGACAATAGAAAATCGATTGAAGTAGTTTAGAGTTAAGACACATACAAAAAATGTCATTAGAGGCACTAGTGAAAAAAGTGAATGATATGACTTTTAATTAGTGAAAAGAGGTAGAGGGGAGATCTAGAACTTTAAATGAAGTTATTAAAAGAGATCTCACGGTAATATCTTGGAAAAATTAATTTTTAACTGAGTTTAATGAAGTTGTGTGATCCATGTAGTTGACTTATCTAATAGGACAAAGCTTTATGGTTGTTATTAATATCTGATTTTGCAAAGTGACATTCACTGTAGTATTTTTTTTTTTTTAAGGAAAAATATAGTGAAAAAATGACTAAAATGAATGACATTTTGCAAAGTCATTGAAAGTAAAAAGTTTTTAAAATTTTAAGAACTAAAATGATTGACTTATACAATTTTGAGGATTGACTTGAGGGTTTGCTCTTCGATTGGTAGAGGTAGACCAAGAAAAACTCTTAAGTGATACCATTAAAAAGGATTTAGATGTAAGTGGCTTTTACAAAGAGTTAGCTTTTCTTATGTAAAACAATTGTTTTGTATACTGTTTGTAGCTGACCTCTATACTGAGAGAAGGCTTTAATTGTTGTTTTGTGGTTTCTTCCTAGAATTGTTTTCTTAATAAGACTCTTACTCCTCCAGGGTTGCTGCTCACTGGACCCCAAATTCAGGGGATAAGACTATACTTCAGTATGATGATGTGATGAAGTTGGATTTTGGCACCCATGTAGATGGTAATAAACAGGAAAATTTTATTTGATCTTTTGTTTTTGGTATAATGCTAGTAATTGGTGTGCGTATTTTAGTATTATTCTGTTCAACACCTTGTCATGAATTTTGTTTGTAGGATACATAGTTGACTGTGCTTTTACTGTGGCATTCAACCCAATGTTCGATCCACTGCTTGAAGCCTCTCGTGAAGCAACTAATACGGGTATTAAGGTACTTTCAAGAAAAAAGCATAACCCACTGTTAAAAGAGGGGTGTTATATCATGTTTTTGACACTACTTGGTTAATTAATAATGTCAACTTGCTCAGCCCAAAACTACCAATTTAAACAATGCCACACATTTATGATGTTCGATCAACAAGTGTTGATGTAGCTTTATGCTTCATTTGTCTAAAACAACAAACAATGCCATTTATTTATGAAACTTTCTTACTTTGACTCTTAATCCATGTCCACACTTGGTGAAGGAGCTTTCCCTTTTTCAGTTCATTTTCTTTTTCACTTTTTGAATCTGTGCATATTCATTTTTCATTTCATTTATTTCATGCATTGGTAAACTCTTTTCTCCTTAATTTGGTTGGTAGTTGAGTGCAGCTTATAGTTTCTCCTGGTCCTAAAGGGCTTCTCTTCATTAGTTGCACCTCAATGATAGTAGAATAGTAGAAATTTATCTATTATGCCCAGCAGCGAAAATGTTTTGGATTTAACTTCTGTTGAATTGAATTTGAGAAAGAGAGAACTGAATAGCTTAAGTAAAAAGAGAGGGGGGGGGGGGAGGATCCCAAGATTGCCCCCCTTAAAATGCATTGAAGCTTTTGGAAAGGGATGACAAACTTGCCCTATTGCCCCTGCTTGATATAGTGGTTGAGATGGCTGAAAGTTTGACCTTTTGCGGCCACGATTTGTGGCGCGATAGTCACTACAAAAAACAGCAATGCGATGACCCTAGAATTGCAGCAGGGAGCTGCTCTGCTCCACTCTGCCACGATTGCACCTGCTTTTGCTGCTATTCACTACTATGGTTGCAATAATCCAATATAATTGGTACCATGACAATAGCAATGAGAATTAGAGGGCCTTTGACATGTAACTAAAGTCTTTCTATCTTTATGTTAATAATAGCAATGATTCCTCTGTTAAATCATCTTGTTCACAACATAGCACCTGTGTCTGTATATTTGGTTTTTGATGTGAACATAATTGTTTATGACTATGTATGTCTGGGTTTATCATAGAATTTTTATTAATGTAAAATAATGAAAAAATTTTTGTTTGATCTGTGTGGTGTCATGTTTTGGGAATGGACCAATTACGTCATGTAATATGCTGACTTCTCCAACATGTTGTGGATACCATATAGGAAGCTGGAATTGATGTGCGCCTTTGTGATGTTGGTGCCGCAATTCAAGAGGTCATGGAGTCCTATGAAGTTGAGATTAACGGGAAGGTGTATCAAGGTATGATGCTTGTAGGGATGGTTGTACTCATTGTTTGCCTTCATTTTATTTGGATCTTTTATTTCTCAATCTATTTTCCATGCCTTGAAATTTAGGAGTGGAGACCAATATAAAATTTGCATTTTATTATCATTACATGAAATGTTGAGGGTTTCATGCTTGACATGCCCTAACATCATAAACATGCATGAGAAATCATCTACTAGATGATGTTTCATTGCAATATATTGATTTTTTAACCTAGGGATCTTGTTTGCAAATTGCTTTAGTTTTTATATTTTTTATAAAAGGGGATGACCGAAAATGTGACAGATGATCATGAATTTTTAATGACGTTTTTTTGTGGCTTACATACCTTCATTAACCCCCCTTAAACAATGATCATGAAGTTTGTTAGATGTATACTTCTTCCTAAAAGATCACAAGGCAAGAAAATATTCTTACTATCAAGTTGGTGAGAGAAGCAATCAGCAATTATGAAAGCCAGCAAGAGTGACTAAATAACAGAAGCAAGTTTAGCCAAGGGCCCAAGGCTAAGGCACGACCTTTGACAACCAAAAAAAAGCTTCTAATCAAGCAACAGAACCATCAGTGTGCCCTTCACTTCAAAATTTTAGTTCCTGTAAAATTTTGTTTAGTGGTCATATTGTTACCAACTGAAATTTTAAGATATATTGATTGACAGAACAATATTAAATGCCAACTTGTTAGTTTCTTATTCTGTGATGGATCTTATATGAATATTTACCAGTATTATGTGTCATACAGAGTGATATATTGCAATTGAATGTAATTGCAGTTAAGAGTATACGGAATTTGAATGGACATAGCATTGGCCGCTACCAAATTCATGCTGGAAAATCTGTTCCCATTGTGAAAGGAGGGGAGCAGACAAAGATGGAAGAGGGTGAATTTTTTGCCATTGAAACCTTTGCTTCAACTGGTAATAGTAGTTTCTTCGGGTGTTACATTGTTATTTTGGCTTGTGATAATACGTGATAGAATTGGTCTTTAAATGTGTTATGTTTAGGGAAGGGATACGTGCGAGAAGACCTGGAGTGCAGCCACTACATGAAAAATTTTGATGTGGGTCATATCCCACTGAGATTGCCTAGAGCGAAGCAACTGTTGGCAACTATAAACAAGAATTTCTCTACATTGGCTTTTTGTAGGCGGTATTTAGATCGCCTAGGAGAGACCAAATACTTAATGGCACTAAAGAATCTGTGTGATTCTGGCATTGTTCAGGTACGCATCTGGAGTTACAAACATCAAGAAATTTTGGGACATAAAGATTTTTGAAGACATTAAGTTGAACGCATTGTTGCAATGAAAAAAAGAGGGTGTCGAGGGGTATTTGGTAACTGTGAACCCGAGAGTGTATATTGCTAATAATTTGAAAAGCTTTCATTGACTTAGTTTAGTTGTAATCCAATATTTTAACACCAAATCTGCTAGCAGATTACTTTTAACTCTTTGAAATTATGTTTGTGAAAGATTAATTTTATTACCTTTTTTTCAATGCAGCCTTATCCTCCTCTGTGTGACGTTAAAGGAAGCTATGTATCACAATTTGAACATACAATCTTACTCCGACCAACATGCAAAGAAGTTATATCGAGGGGTGATGATTACTAATGCGGAGTTGAAGTGTTTTTTTCCCTCTAATGTGATACTCATTGTACCATTATTTTTATCAACTGTTTTCACTATACCATCAACGTCTTAGTTTTATAACTGCAGATGTGCCTGCTGAGTTTGACATTACTCGTTTAATAATTGGGACATATCTTCAGTCGCTATAATATCATATTAGAAAGTCCTCCCTAACAATGTCATCTTACTGCTAAGTGTTATCAAATTTATAAAACATCACCCGTTTAACCTACTTGCTTGTATAATGCAATATCATGTGAGATATGCATTGGTGCTAGTATATTTGGAAAGCTATTTCAATTGTTTTTCTCTCAACATGTGCTTTCTTTTCTTCAAATCTTGTGTCGCACCATAATTTTTACCCCGATTTATGCCTGTTTTGTTACAAAAAGCTCCTTTGTAGTGAGCTAAGAAAATCACAGGTAAAACGTTGTCTTCAAGAATTGCTATAAAGTTGGAATTGGATATCTTCCCTTTATTCAAATTTTGTCACAAGTTTTTCATAATTAAGCCCTTAAAAGGAAATTTTTAAGAGTCCTTTGCTATAATTTATTAAATAAATTTGGATAGTCTAAAACTTCAAATTTGTCTATGAAAGTCAGATTTAATGTAATTTTTAAAAGTTGAAGACAATTTTTTATTTTAAAAATATTTTTAAAAAATAAAATAAAATGATATATTAATATGAATTTAACATATTAATCACACATTTATCAATATTTTTCTCTCAAATAGAATTTTAAAATTAGTTTGTATGAATGTTTTGTCATTTTTGTTCTTTGTTAGAATTTGTTTATTGACTAAACTAGAGATGGTCATGTGACATTTCAAATACAACGTATTCTGTTTATGTATCTCTAATATATTAAATAAGAATGTTACACTACAAGGTGACCGAAAGAAACATTCTATTTTTTTTTTTTATATTTTCAATAAAGTGCAAGGTAAGAAATAAAAAATAAATAAATTCTTTTAGTTGGCGTGCTGTAAAATTATTAGTTGAACATCACTATTTTATAAAGAATTAGCAAATATATTTTAATAAAAAGGATTAAAATTAACTATATATCACACATTTTGATACTGATCGGTAGTTATGCTATCTATATACCATTTTTATAAAATATTTTATAATCTCTTATTTTTTTTCATTGCATTATTTTTTTTATTTATATTTCTCTCTTTTTTCTTCCCTAACTTTCATGAATGTATAAACGTATGTATAATATTGTCGTACAAAAATAATAATTATTTTTTACTTGATATGTGAATACAAATTTAAGGATACTCTAATATGATAATTGTTTAAAGAGTGATAATACAAACATGATTATCATGATTACACCACAATATAAAAAAGATAGACAAAACATAAAAGGGAATCTTACCTAATTTTGTGAAAAAACTTCATTAAGTATGAGAATTAAAATACTGCAAGTCAAAATTACTGTGTAATGATACTTTTGAAAATTTGTGGTTACATTCAAAACTGGCGGCAACTGAGTCAAAGGGATGCTCATGTTTACTGCAACGAGACCTCTAAAGCTTAAAGCTTAAACAACAAACACGAAACCCCAAACTTCGAACGTACCTTCAGTTGGGATGGTACAACCGAGTTCTTTTAAGCTACGGGAAAAGGATCGTTGATCGTTGATCGGTGTTGGCGGGGTCGTGGATAGTTGTGGTTACTTCGGGTTCTATAAATTTTTTTATTTTAATCATTCAAAATAAATATTCAAACTCAAAAAATTCACAACGCAAATTTTGTCCTAAGCCACCTGAGCAGACCGCGTCCTTGCTCTCATCCTTTTCCAGGACTTCTTCAATGGCAGAGGGAAATTCTCATTCAAACAATTTGGTAGAAGAAAATGGAGCTTCAGAGCTCCAAAGTCATGTGGAAGGGGTAGTTGACCTTTCTCCACCATCACACACACAGGGAGATGACATTAAAGGTAATAATGTTATATATGGCCTTTGTGGCTTAACGGAATGTATTATTTGATGTTTTACTTTTGAATTATTAATGCATTTTTCTCTTCTGACACAAGCTTCAAAGAAGAAAAAGAAGAAAGCTAAAAGCAAGTGAGGATTTGACCTCTTCTGTTATTAGAGATTATTCTCTTAACTGTGAAGTTTATCTGAAGCTTTGACTTTATCCGTGTGATTAGGAAAAAGAAAGAACCTCTACAGCAGACTGATCCACCATCAATTTCTGTTGTCGACCTTTTTCCATCTGGAGAATTCCCTGAAGGTGAAATTCAGCAGTACAAAGACGAGTAAGTTGATGATGAATAAATTTAAGCAGTACCTGAAATTTTCCTTGTAAATTTGATGTGGATTTGATTAAAGTGAATTGTGGTTCTGTTTTTTATTTTTCTTTGAATTTATTTTATATTTATAAAAAAAAAAAAGTTCCATCACAGAGGAAGCATGTTGGCTAACCAAAGCTTTCCTGTTAAATAAAACCCTCTGAAATAGTAAACAACTTAGCTATGCACAATAAAAAAATTGTAAGAAAACTACTTTCGAATGAGGTAGATGCGTTGTTTGGTAAGTTGAGATTATGGCCAATTATGGTGGTTTGACTTTCAAAATGGCCTATTTGAACTTTTTAACAGTTCACCTTCAGGCTGTGGGCGTTGATCCCTATTTTGGAGAATGAGATCCACTGATCAAAGACAAGTTAATAGCAGCTTGAACAGCTTATTTGTTAAGATGTGCCTAGAAATAGGGCCCAATGCTTGTAACACCCTAATTACAAAAATTCCGTGGGTCTTGCTCTTTTTTAAATTAATCTTTTTCTCTTATATTTTTTAAGTTTTCAATAAATTTTAATAAGTAAGAAAGAGTACGTACCTAAATTTTAACTATAAAAACCCACAATGTTTGTGCATTCTCATCCCAATTTCCAATTATGCTGCCAAGTCTGTAAACCCAACATCGCTGGGTTAAGAGTTTTGGCTACTATATAGTGTCTCGAGACTCTCCACAACAAGTATCTTGAATCAGATTCCAATAGCAAAGATGGGTATATTGTGGATTCAGACTCCACCTTAATGTTCATGGAAAGGTCTGTGAACTTTTGCAAGAGAGGAGGGAAAGAAGATGAGTGAAGGAGAGGAGATGTGACAATGATCGTGGGTGATGTGAGCTGCATGGCAAATTTTAGCTGGCAGTGCATTTCACAAGTCAAGACTTACCAAATCTATGATAACAGGGATTGAAAGGGTTCACTTTTAACAAATGACCAACATATCCAATACCCAAATTTTAGAGGACTATAACCAAAAATTGGTATTTTAGTGCGGATCAAAATTACATTTAAGCCTAATTTGGAATTGTAGTTATATATTTTTTTATGTACTTGTATTTGTATGTTGGCAGTTCATTTGACGAGTCAAAACTTAAGCAATTTATGACAACAGGGACTCAAATACTTCAAATTTAACAAATGACCAACCCAACCAATATCCTAATTTTTAACATTTTTGGATGTGGCTGTTCCACACTACATACCACCATTAACTGCTTTGACTGGAAATAGGTTGTACTCCAAGAGATTATGGTTCCAAAGCTTGTGTTTCGTTAGGAAAAGATACTGGAAAATTGTAGAAAAGATATAAATCCTGATTTGCTCACCCGTGAATCCTTATAAAATCTAGAGTCGCACCTCAAATCTGAACAAACCCAAATGAAGGAATAGAGCATACTATTGGTAAATTAATTTCATGGCCAACTTTGTTTTACACAAGTGAGGAGTGCATAAATGAGATACTTGCAGCGATGAACAACATTAACAACAACTAGATTCTGAATGTTTTTAAAATATCTTGTGTAAATTTTAAAAAATATCTGTATATTTTTAATTGGAATTTTTGTGCTAGTAATCTATGGAGAACCACATCAGAGGAGAAGAGAGAACTGGAGCGCCTTCAGAAACCATTATATAATTCGGTTCGTCGAGCAGCAGAAGTTCATCGCCAGGTTGTAATTTTTATTGTTACTTTCTAGCATTAACCCTTTGTTTTGATGGCTAGTTTTGATTAAAAGGAAAATTGGACAAGGTTGTTCTATGTTAATAAAGAGTGGAAAGTGGAGGAAGAATTAATGTGGGCCTGACCGTTTTTATCTCTGCTTTCTCGTTCCTTGAACTTCCCATTAGATTTTAAGACCAAGAAAAAATCCAACTTTCCTTTTGTCTAAATTTTTTTAATCTGATTTTCCCTTACATTCAAGTGAAGAGTTCTTGGAAAGTATATTTATTCTTCGATATAAATTGGTGCTATAACAATAGATCTGTATAATGACTTTCTTTATAATGACTTTCTTTATTTCTAAGTAGGTTCGCAAATATATGAAAAACATTATAAAACCTGGAATGCTAATGATTGACTTATGCGAAACATTGGAGAACACAGTTCGTAAGCTAATATCAGAGGATGGCCTTCAAGCAGGCATTGCTTTCCCCACAGGATGCTCTTTAAATTGGTACTGCTGTATAAAAAAGTTTACAATTTTTATCTTGTGTTTTGTGGTTTCTTGCTTTATGGTATTAAATGTTGGGCAATGAAGGGCCAGCCAGAGCATAAATGTTGTGAAGATGAGAATTTTGTGTTGAATGAGTGATCTTACTAGAAAAGTTAAGATCAGGAATGAATGTATTTGAGAAAATGTAGGAACCGCACATATTAAGAAAAAAGTTGGCGGAATCACATCTCAAATGTTTTGGAGATGTGAGAAAGACAGATAGAAATCATAATTAAAAAACTTGACCAATATAATTTCTAAAATATCCAGTAAATTAGTCATTGAGATCGAATGGGTTGAGAATTTAATTTCTGAAGTTTTAAAAATATTAAATTTTAAAAGGACAACAAAAAAAAAAGAGAATTGCATAAATAAAAAATACGAAGATAGAAAAATAATCACAGTGAAAAAAAAAATGATTGTACAAAAGAAAATGTTGAAAAAACTAAACTAAGAAGTTGATAGAAAATCGATTGAAGTAGTTTAGACACATACAAAAAATGTCATTAGAGGCACTAGTGAAAAAAGTGAATGATATGACTTTTAATTAATAAAGAGAGGTAGAGGGGAGATCTAGAACTTTAAATGAAGTTATTAAAAGAGATCTCACGGTAATATCTTGGAAAATTTAATTTTTAACCGAGTTTAATGAAGTTGTGTAATCATGTAGTTAACTTTATCTAATAGGACAAAGCTTTATGGTTGTTATTAATATCTGATTTTGCAAAGTGACATTCACTGTAGTATTTTTTTTTAAAGGAAAAAGATAGTGAAAAAATGACTAAAATGAATGACATTTTGCAAAGTCATTGAAAAAGTAAAAAGTTTTTAAAATTTTAAGAACTAAAATGATCCTCTTATACAATTTTGAGGATTGACTTGAGAGTTTACTCTTGGATTGGTAGAGGTAGACCAAGAAAAACTCTAAGTGATACCCTTAAAAACGATTTAGATGTAAGTGGCTTTTACAAAGAGTTAGCTTTTCTTATGTAAAACAATTGTTTCATATAATGTTTGTAGCTGACCTCTATACTGCGAAAAGGCTTCAATTGTTGTTTTGTGGTTTCTTCCGAGAATTGTTTTCTTAATGAGACTCTTACTCGTCCAGGGTTGCTGCTCATTGGACCCCAAATTCAGGGGATAAGACTATACTTCAGTATGATGATGTGATGAAGTTGGATTTTGGCACCCATGTAGATGGTAATAAACAGGAAAATTTTATTTGATCTAGCGTTTTTGGGATAATGCTAGTAATTGGTGTGCGTATTTTAGTATTATTCTGTTCAACACCTTGTCATGAATTTTGTTTGTAGGATACATAGTTGACAGTGCTTTTACTGTGGCATTCAACCCAATGTTCGATCCACTGCTTGAAGCCTCTCGTGAAGCAACCAATACTGGTATTAAGGTACTTTCTAGAAAAAAGCGCAACCCAATGTTAAAATAAGGGTGTTATATCATGTTTTTGACACTACTTGGTTAATTAATTGCGACATCCTGGATGAGGAGTAATCATCAGTGCAATGAAGTATGGACAAAGAGCATCCTTGGCAAACTTACTGCTAACTTCCAGCAGTAAAGATATATGAATGAATTTAATATACAACTAAAAAGAGATGGATACAAATAATAGAAATAAAAGAAATTGATTCGTATTATCTATATCAACAAAATGTATTTACTTTTTGATAGTTTATCACTTAAGAATTCTAAGATTAAGCATGCTTGCCTTGGAGCACCAATTTAAACAGTACCATCCATTTATGCTGTATGATCAACAAGTGTAGATGTAACTTCATTCTCTTTCTGAAATATTCTTTTATCAATTAAAAAATTTAACAATTATCTAATTTATGCCACGTCAGGATTATTGTTCCCTAATTCTTTGTTTTTTAAAGTAATGCATCCTGATTAATTAACAAATTGCAATATTGTCTTTTATTGTGCTATTGTTTTAGGTACTTGGCATGGAACACTTGTATAGATGACTATTTCATAAAGATTTGTGATAAAAATCATTCTTAAGATTGAAGGCTATTTGAATTTTATTGTCTGCCAAGTAACAAGACTTAGAGGCTTGTCTTTTTACGTTTTTCGCCACATACTGTTAGGCTGTCTGCACTCAGATTTTTTGGTAAAAAGTGATGCAGAGTTATGGTTTGATTGCTATTATGTTAATCCACTAAAAATTATGGAGGATCTTTCTTGCAGAGGATGAATTGAATCAGAACAAATTATTAGGGGCTGTGGCCATAACGGTTGCCATTTATTTATGATTTCTTACTTTGACTCTTAATCCATGTCCACACTTGCTGAAGGAGCTTTCCCTTTTTCAGTTCATTTTCTTTTTCATTCTTTGAATCTGTGCGTATTCATTTTTCAGTTCATTTATTTCATATATTGATAAACTCCTTTCCCTCAATTTGGTTGATAGTTGAGTGCATCTCATAGTTTCTCCTGGTCATAGAAGGGCTTCTTCTCTATAGTTTCATCTCAAGGACAGTAGAATAGCAGCAGTTGTCCATATTAAGCCCAACAGTGAAAATGTTTTGGATTTAATTTTAGTTGAATTGAATTTGAGAAAGAGAAAACTAAATAGCTTGAGTAAAAAGACACTCGACTTCATTCACACAAAACACACGCACTTGCACACTATTCATGATGCAATTTACAAGACAAAGGATAAGTGAGTGCTATTTCCTAGACACTAATTTCTATGCACACTAAATGCATTTGACATGTGGATACCATATAGGAAGCTGGAATCGATGTGCGCCTTTGTGATGTTGGTGCCGCAATTCAAGAGGTCATGGAGTCCTACGAAGTTGAGATTAACGGGAAGGTGTATCAAGGTATGATGCTTGTAGGGATGGTTTTGCTCGTTGTTTGCCTTTATTTATTTGGATCTTTTATTCTCAATCTATTTTCCGTGCATTGAATTTTAGGAATGGAAACAAATATAAAATTTGCTTTTCATTATCATTAGATGAAATGTTAAGGGTTCATGGTTGATATGCCCTAACATCGTAAACATGCATGACAAATCATCTACTAAATGTTGTTTCAACGCAATAGATTGATTTTGGAAGCTACGAATTTTGCTTGCAAATTGCTTTAGTTTTTATATTTTTGATAAAAGGGGATGATAAATATGGAAAAAAGTGACAAATGAGCCAAATCTTGTCCTTGTTTAGAAATTTATGCATACAAGCATATTGCGTAGTAGGAAGAAAATGACTGTCACTCTTAAATAGTATTAAGTTATATAACAATAACAGTCATCCTCAAGCAAAAGCTTAATATTAAATATCTTATTAGGTTTTCACTTTCATGTAATCTTATTTTGATGTTGCCACTGCTTGCAACAAAATACATAGGAAAGGTTAGTCGTCCTCCAAGAAGCCATGAACCATCAAGTAACCACTAGTATGAACCACATTTGGTTGAATTTTCAGAGAGCATTGGCTTAAATTAGTAAGGTATGGCCGTATGGGTACTATAAAGGTCATGTCATTTTCTCTCTGCAAGACCATTTTTTTTGTGAAATAAGTAGGCAGCAAGATCGATGATTCATGCCATCGGAAGACATAAAATTATTGAATAAGGATGCTAAAATATTCATTTGCAGGATCACTCCTTAAAGTGTTTATTAGCAGGGTTGTCAAAATCAAGTTTTTAGGTTGGAACAGAAGAGAGGTGTTGGATTGTAGGAGCAATGAACTGTAACATGACTCGATATCCACACACACACACACACATATCACCAATGCATAAAATATAACATGACCAATGGTAGTAGTAGCTTTAATCATAGAGCCATCTACAAGAGCAATGTGGGCAGTGATTCTCTCAAAATTCTTATCAAATGGTATCAAAGTGTTCTACCAAGCCTCTCAGCTGCAAAAGAGCAATGTGGGTGGTGATGTTATGCAGTGTTCATTTGAGGCTAGCTAGGGGGCAAGTGCACAGTTAGCCTACTTGGGCACTAAGGCTGTAGAGTGTGGCAGAATGTATGATTAAAAGGTATGAGACTCGAGTCCTACTTTAGAAGTATGGGATTCTAGCATGGAGTCTATAAGGCCTTAGGCTCTTTAACTACAACAACTACCTTTTATAGTATGGTTCTCCAAAGATTCTCAACAGATACTAACTTGAGTTTTAAAATGAATAAAGGAAATGTTTTCTTATGAAATGCCTGAGCGAAAATATGCTTCACCTCTAGGAATTTATATACAAGAGAATTACAAATCTTACTAAATACACACTGTAATTTACAAGAGAACGTAATTAAAAATTCTATTTCTAACTCTTTCGTTAGTTACAATGTATCTAGTTCACTTGGTAAATGGAATAAATATTATTATGTAGTTTTCAAGAAGCAATCACTTATCAAGTAGGTAACCAGCTCAATCTCCTTTATAAAAGCCTTCAAATCTACCATACCCTTGAATCTTATATGGATTCCACACCCCCCCCCCCGCCTCCCCAAAATGGTACTTCAATATATGAAAAAACAAAATTGAATTGCATAGTTGTCAACATAAAGCCCATTTTTTTTACTGTTTGAAGATTTTTATTTTGCCCCCACTTTTTGCAAATAAACAAGGTCTTCTTTACATCTTCAGCTCCTAACTTCATGTTTGGCATCACAACATTCTTCTTCAATCGAGTCTTTTTCATTCAGTAAATCAAGAGTATACCCTCTTTGAAAGTTTAAATAAAATCCCTTTTCTATTTCTGGATACCTTCATCACCAAAAAATATTTCAGTGTACCTATAGTTTGGATGAGAGTATGAAAGAAAGTTTCAAGAGGCACCAATGAACGCAAAGACACATCACTGCATATAATATAATAATATCGTCAAATGGGCACAGCCAAGGAATACGCCTAGAATAAGACTTTGGTAAACAGCTGAATGATAATTGTAAGTATTCCTCTGCTTCCCACACTCAATGGAAACATCATTAGATCTACTAAACCAAGATACTTATTCAACTGATAAAAGGGCTTTTGTAGCTTACATACCTTCATTAACCCCCCTTAAACAATGATCATGAAGTTTGTTAGATGTAAACTTCTTCCTAAAAGATCACAATGCAAGAAAATATTCTTACTATCAAGTTGGTGAGAGAAGCAATAATCAATTATGCAAGGCAGCAAGAATGATAAACTAACAAAAGCAAGTTTAACCAAGGGCCAAAGGCTAAGGCACAACCTTTGACAACCAAAAAAGCTTCTAACCAAGCAACAGAACCATCAGGGTTCCCCTTGACTTCAAAATTTTAGTTCCTGTAAAATTTTATTTAGTGGTCACATTATTATCAACTGAAATTTTAAGATATATTGATTGACAGAACAATATTAAATGCCAACTTGTTAGTTTCTTATTCTGTGATGGATCTTATATGAATATTTACCAGTATTATGTGTCATACAGAGTGATATATTGCAATTGAATGTAATTGCAGTTAAGAGTATACGGAATTTGAATGGACATAGCATTGGCCGCTACCAAATTCATGCTGAAAAATCTGTTCCCATTGTGAAAGGAGGGGAGCAGACAAAGATGGAAGAGGGTGAATTTTTTGCTATTGAAACCTTTGCTTCAACTGGTAATAGTAGTTTCTTCGGGTGTTTCATTGCTATTTTGGCTTGTAATAATACGTGATAGAATTGGTCTTTAAATGTTAATGTTTAGGGAAAGGATACGTGCGAGAAGACCTGGAGTGGAGCCACTACATGAAAATTTTTGATGTGGGCCATATCCCACTGAGATTGCCTAGAGCGAAGCAACTGTTAGCAACTATAAACAAGAATTTCTCTACATTGGCTTTTTGTAGGCGGTATTTAGATCGCCTAGGAGAGACCAAATACTTAATGGCACTAAAGAATCTGTGTGACTCTGGCATTGTTCAGGTACGCATCTGGAGTTACAAACATCAAGAAATTTTGGGATATAAAGATTTTTAAAGACATTAAGTTGAACGCATTGTTGCAATGAAAAAAAAAAAATGGTCTAAGGGGGTATTTGGTAACTGTGAACCCGAGAGTGTACATTGTTGATAATTTGAAATCTTTCATTGACTTAATTTAGTTCTGATCCAATATTTTACACCAAATCTGCCAGCAGATTACTTTTAACTGTTTGAAATTATGCTTGTGAAAGATTAATTGTATTACCTTTTTTCTTCATGTAGCCTTGTCCTCCTCTGTGTGACGTTAAAGGAAGCTATGTATCACAATTTGAACATACAATCTTACTCCGACCAACATGCAAAGAAGTTATATCAAAGGGTGATGATTACTAATGCGGATTTGAAGTTTGATTTTTTCCTTTAATGTGATACTCATTGTACCATTATTTTTTCCTTTAATGTGATACGTAATTTAAAGATCATGTTAGATATGATTACACATTAGTGGTTTTTATTTTTGAGACTCATGTTGCATTTGACTCATCAGTGAGTTTTTGGAATAAAGTGAGGTATGATAAAGTGACAGGAGAAGAAGCTTAAGGTTACATGTGTAGAATTTGGTGTCTTTTGAGGAAGGGTACAACCCTACAAACTTTGGTAATTGATATGTTCCACCATTCACTTACTATTCAAGTCAAGATAAGAGATATTTGATGGTTCATGACTGGCATTTATGCTAGTTCCACCCCATCTACATTTACACAAGCCACATTTAAAAATTAGAAGCGTATAAATTGTTAAATAAAATTATTGCCAGGGTTAATTATTATACATCAAAACAACATGGTCATGGCAGTTTCAGACCTCCATCACATGCGTCTGAACATTGTTTGTATCATGCTAAAATTCTAATTGAGAAACACAACATTACTGTCGAATTTATAAATGTACTTTTTTTAAATGTTACTGATCCAAACAAAGAATTGTACTAGTTTGGTTAGTGTTTTATCCATCACTCAAAGTTGTTGGAAATGTCTCTTGCTCTGCAAAATACATGTAATGGATGACTCATATGTTATTGACAACTATGTATGCTGTAGTTTCTGAATTTTTAGTTGAGGCTCTTAACAGAAGAAGTTAGAAAAAGTAATAACAAAATTAAGGGTCCATTTTCTATTTCTTCTTTTCATATTACAACTTTTTCCAATGTAGCAAATTCTAATGCTAAATTGAAGAGGTTACTTACCAAAAGGTTTAATGTGCTCTTACCCAGACAATGACATATGCCCTTCCTGTAGCGATATTCCATCCCTCTTGTTTTTGTACTTCATAAATATGAAAAACGTATAGCTAACTGAAAATTAGAATGATCGAATTTCGAAAATAAAACTTTATGATGGACAATATTATAAGAAAATAAAAATATATTTATAATTTATATCCAGAAATTAAGCTTATTAAGGAAAAAAAGAAAAATTATGTAATCTCAACGACTCATATTGTGTCAAGTGTTATTTTTTTACGTTTTATAAAAGAATATATACCTATCAATATCTATTACTATATGATCGTGAATCATTATAAAATTTTTCAAAAAGTAGACATTTTGAACTTCAATCTTTAAAATTTAAGTTTCACACGAAATTCTTTAATCCTTGTTAGTTGCCGAAAGCAAAAATGATTAATCTAGGTGTTCCTTAAAAATGAAAATAAAGGAAATAAAAAAACTAACAAGTTTTGGAGCAATGGTTAACCTCCACCCTCACCAAATCTTCCATTAACGCAATACTAAAAGCACATAATAAAATATATATATATAACTGGACCGTTTTGCCCATGTTTTCGAAAGGCGGTAACGTTAACACTGTGAGCAATGGCAGCAAGGTTAATAGCAATTAGGAAAGGGACAAAATGGTGAATGTGAGAAAAACAGTCGCGCCATTAATAGCTTCACACGTAGCGTTCGTTGGGAGAGAAGGAGAGTCATTTTAAATTCACGAAAAGAGAGAGAGAAAGAAGAAAGAAAGAGAAAGAGAGACTGACAGCACCTCTTTCTCTTTTCTCACTCCTCTGTCCCTGGCTTTGCCTTCTCTCTCCTCATAGATCCCAAATTTACTAGGGTTAGGGTTCCATTGCCTTATTATTTTTTCTTTTCGATTAATATCTCTCTCTTTTTTTATAATTGTTTATTTGTTTTGTTATGTGATTAATAATCATTCATTTTGATTTTGATGAACAGGACTATTGTTCGGTGCGATTTTGACCTTATAGATCGGCCTGAAGCTTTCAGTTAGCAGATTTTGTTTATTATAATTTTTCCTGGCTACCAGGTTAGATTATGTCTTGTAATATTCGCGTGGTGTGGTGGACGAAATTTCTGTTGTGTTCATTTTTTTTTTTGTCCTGTTTTGATTGTCTGTTTTTTTTTTTTTAATCTTTGTTCTGGTTGGGTGAAAAATTGGAAATACTAATTTACAGATGCAGATTTGCACAGAGGGTGCACAACTAGGGTTGCCATATTCGTCTTGTAATGGATTTATTGAATTTTCCTTGCAGAGACTCAACACCGTATATTCGTATGGTGTTTGGATTGTGGTATTTGTCGCCTGATTGCTGCTCAATGCTTTTGGGACTTTTTTTTTTTTTTTTTCTATTTCGTGTTGGTCTAGGTAGACGAGATGGTGCTAAGGCTTCCACGTTTTCCTGAAATTTATGCCTTTTCAAATGGTTTCTATTTAATAGAGATAGATATTTTGAAGCAGCTTGCAATGTTTATATGAATGCATAGTCTATTTTGTTTAATGGAGAAAATGGTGCAATAATTTTAATCTGAGAAGTTTTGTGATTTAATGCTCGATCAAACAATTGTATGAGCTGAGCAATCATATATGCACAATAAAAATGAAATTTTTGGAACACAGGACTGTTTGGGGAAAAGCTTAGTGGACTGTTCTGTGTGTATCTTATATGATCTTGAACTTGTTTGATAGTCTTCGTTGACACAGTAATTTACTGGATATGCTGTAAAATTATTTTACTATTGCACATTATGTCTTCGAAGTTTGATCCATGAAGCTAGTGCCACCTAGTTGTATAAGTTTGGTTTGTTGGTGTTTCACATGGTTGTGTAATCCCTTGATATTGATTTTTATGAATGCTTAAACTTTTGCTGTTTAGGCCAAAGGGAGTAGTGTGGTGGAATTGTTTGAGATTAGCCCTTCTTGATTTAACATATTTACCCATTAGTATGAGGAAGGGGTGCTAATTTGTATGCCATATATTGGTCCAAACATATCATTGGATACTATGTATGCTCAGAAATGACATATTTGTTGATAAAATAGTTATTACTTTATCTTTTAAATGATTTTGTATTTAAATTTCTTTGGTGCAGGAAAGTTTAAAAAATGGACCATGACAAGACTGGATGCCAAGCTCCCCCGGAAGCTCCTATATTGTGCATCAACAACTGTGGATTTTTTGGAAGTGCTGCTACTATGAACATGTGTTCTAAGTGCCATAAAGATATGATGCTGAAACAAGAGCAGGCAAAGCTTGCAGCATCGTCTATTGGGAATATTATGCATGGTTCATCGAGCAGCAGTGGAAATGAACCTGCCATTGCTACCAACGTGGATATCTCAGTCAATTCAATAGAGCCTAGAACTATCTCTGCACAACCTTTGGTTGCTTCAGGTGCAAAGGAGAGTGACGAGGCAAAGCCCAAGGATGGTCCGAAACGATGCAGCAACTGTAATAAGCGAGTTGGATTAACAGGATTTAATTGTCGATGTGGTAACCTTTTCTGTGCTGTACACCGCTACTCAGACAAACATAATTGCCCATTTGATTACCGCTCTGCTGCACGGGATGCCATAGCTAAAGCAAATCCAGTTGTCAAGGCTGAGAAGCTTGATAAGATCTAGATTTGGTGTCTTGATATTTCATGCCTTGAAATGCTGTTGTGCCCAATGTCGTTATCATGAGATGATCCGAGTTTCCTGAATATTTTAATGGTATTCTTAGTATATTGTTATATGTGACGGGAGACTTGGAGTTATATGACATCCCTGCAGTTTGAAGGACTATATTTCATGTGATTGGCGAAAGAAATTTGCGCCAATGTTTTAATTTCAAGTCTTTAAATCTCTGCTGGTTTGATGGAAGTTGGTGCTGTTAGCATTGTAATGCGTCTATTCTGTTCCTTATCTCTGTAGTAGTACATGTCAGAATGGGATGTGCAATTTACAGATGATTTCAGGAGCATCCACGGACAATTGAACATTTGGTTAGATTGTAATTATTGTTTATGGTTTCTTGGTTATCTATAAATTTATCTTGTTAACTACGTGTTGGAATCGTTTGGACTAACTGTTTTTCATATATTTAATTTTCGAAGTTGGGTATATCTTCAGTGAGCAACTAGAGAACAAGATGCATGCGATGAGGATTTGAGAATCAACGTCAAAATCGTGGCCACTTGAACTCGTATTTAGTTAAGTTATTGTTGGTAATTTCCAATATAATATTGCAGAAATTAATTCGAAGGGAAAAACATATCTGAACTGCGCAAACATGAAGGAAAGGATTTGTAGAATAATGAATTTTTGTAATTAACTACTACAAAAGATGATGCCGGTAAAAGTGAGAATTGCCCCCACATTTCATTTCATGCATAGTTAACTACATTGAAAATTGTGAGATTATTATTTTTTTAATTCTAAAGACCTAATATTTTGATAATATCTTAAATTTCAACTTGTTTAAGCGAAAACTGTTAGTCTTTATTTTTCCCTTTATCTTATTTATAATCAATGTATAATCTCAACAAAATAGTTATAGAAAAATACAAATAACCCTTTTAATATACTCTTAATTATTAACCAAAGTTTATTAAAAACTAAAAAGAACATCATTAAATAAAAAACATACCCATTTAATTTTAATAAATTTTAATTATAAATTGAAAATGTATTACCAATGTCTTCCAGTCATATTCATGCTTAACACGAAAACTCGTATAAAATGTTTATGATAAATGTGTTCCAAGTGAATGTACATTATATAATTAATAGCAAATTTAAGGAAAAATAATTTATACGTGATATCTTTCATTTCAAAACTTTGTAACAGCACTCAATGCAAGATTGTTTAACCAAAAATAAAAGTCACATTTTTCAATTTTAGTAGAACATGTATTTTGAAAGCAAAATCATGTTTAAGCATGACCTCTTCTTTTCCTCCCGTTGAAAATCATGTTTGAGAGCTCCAAACTTGAATTTTTAGGTCACCTCTACCCAATGCCAAGCAGAACAAGCTATAACCCTACCGAAAAAAAAGGTTATAAAAAAAAGGTTATTTCACCATTAAAAACTCACCAAAATCCAATTCCGTCTCCCATGCACCTGGATGCCGGATACGACAAATTTGGAACTCGTCCGAATAGCTATATGCGAAGCTAACTCTTCAATAATAGAACTGATTTAGTAATTATCTATAACTTCATGTTCACTGTCAATGTCAAATGTAGACGTAAAAAACAAGATCAACCCAGTCATCACTTAGGCTTACCTGATAATCCGTGGATAAACACTTGAACCTCAAGATAAATTCTTAAAATAATAAAGGCTTGTAATCACTCATGTTTTAGAAGACGAAGAATGGTGGCAAACACGAACAACAAAGTTATGTGCCAAAGTCACTCTCAAGGCCAGATCAAGATTCAAATAAAAAGAGATTCAAGATACTGTTTTAAGCAGTATTACATAAATTTGAAAAATTATTTTGCCATATCAAAATTTGGTGAAGATCCAACAGTCTTCTTTTGATTAAGGGAAGAACCGCAAGCTACACCTTCCATGACTTGATGTTGCAGTGTTTTATCAGTTATTTTATACATATAAAAAGTTAAACTACAAGAACCTAAAACTGAAACGAGGGAGACAGAATCACATGGCAAGGCTACTAGCTTCTGCTTCAAGATACTTACAAATCCTCTCCATAACCTCCCTACCCTTGACACTATTCTGAAGGAACCTATCAGCACACCGCTGCTCCACCTTTTCAGCCATGGATGCCAGAGCTGACAACGGCTTAATCCGAATGCTAGTCTCCTGCTGACAAATTGTCCATCCGGTCGGGTTATCCGGATGCGGATCATACTGGATCTTCTCTTCCACTTCTATGAACTTCTGGAGGCTGATATTTCGGGAAGTTAGTTGCATGGAGCGTGACCCTGCATCCACTACAGTTGATTCCACACAGTGGCAAATATCCTGACCAACAATCCTGCGTACAAACCATGGTCCAGGGCAATGGACCGTGACGGCGCGGGTTGTGTAAAGCCTTCCTGATGAAGGATCGAGGCTATGGTTCAATGTGTCAACATCAAGAATATGGGATAATATGCGCTTGTTCTCAGGGTCAGCAAACTTGCGCCAAGATGCACAAGTTACCCGTTCCCATGGGTGTTTGTATACATATTCTTGTCTATATGCTTTCACCATAATGCTATTTCTTCACTCAATTCAACCAACACGCCACGCCACACCACACCAAAGTTCTCAATTAGGGTTTAGGGGTTAGTAGAGGGAAATTTCACTCAAACAATGCACATCTGACACCAGAAATGAATAATCCATCAATGTTGTTCAATTCAGAAGCTAATATCAATGTAATTAAATTAAAATTTCAATAATAAAAATAAAAATCTCCGGTTCAAGAACAACAAAGACAAAATTAGTTACAATCAATCCAATTACCGAAAGGTAGATCACGCATAAAAACAGTAACAAGAGAAATGGAATTCACAGAATTAATCTCAACGCAGAGATAATAGATTCAAGTTGGGAAAAACGAGAGCGTACCGAATGCGGAAATGGAGAGTGTTCCAAAGAATCGAGGCAGCAACAATGCAATAATTACATGGCCGTGGTATCTCCGCTCACAGTTTTCATACAAGGGTCAATTTTGTTTTCTGTCAACCATTGCAGCATTCGCAATTGGGCATTGGACATTGGGCCGGGTCCAAGTAAAGTTTTGAGATCCAAGGAACCCACAGCTTCAGATAGCTTGCAATAAGTATTGATTCATTTGTAGGTAGATTATTACATATTTTCTCTACATTAATAATTGTAATTTTTTTTATATCTTAAAAATTAGAGAGTCTTTTATATATATTTTTAATTAAATTACTAATTCTATTATCTATTAATATAAAATTAATAAAAATAATTATTCTACGTATAAAAAAATATTATACTGTCTCAATAATTAGAAGTACAGCAGAATTTACTCCATTTGTAACCCAATTTCTATTCTAAGATAATGCACTCTCATAGACAAAATAAATAACATGTTATATTATATGGATTTCGAAGGTCATGGATCCTAACAAAATAAAATAAAACACCTAAGAAAAATGATAAACCTAATATTTGAAATTTCAAGACAAGTCATTGATTCTCTTTTTTTTTTTTTTTCATTTTGTTAACATCATTGATTCTATTCATATGATATGATTTTTGCATATCATATTTATTCGTCAGACAAAGCAAAGCGAATTCAATAAAGGGCCTGAAAGCCCAAAAACAAAATAAGTGGATTGGATAAACCAAAGCCCATCTCTCACATCCAAATTCCAACAAGTAGATATTTCTCTGTGGATGCATGCAAGTAGATACTAGATAGACAATTAGAGTGTTAACGGAAGAAAAAGAAAGGAAATATATATATATATATATATATATATATATATATATATAGAGAGAGAGAGAGAGAGAGAGAGAACAAGCATTGTAAGCAAATAATAAGCTTGAATTCCATTAAGAAATATTCTAAAACATCAGCCAAGTAGATGTAAAGAAAAGGAACTCGACAACAACAGACAGCAATAGTACTCACGACCTACAATAGCTAAATTTAATAGTTGATATGTTGTTATTAATTATCACACTTAGAGTTTTTTTTTCCTGAAAATTATAACAAAAAATTACTCATTTGGTTTCACCATTCATTCAGATATTGTATAATCTAGGTTAGAAATTAAAGATCTCCAGTTTATTTTTAGGAATGGTCACTTAAAATTCTATGTAACTTTTTATATTGGAATGAAACACCATTTTTTTCTCTTAAAATTTTTTATGCAAAATAGATTGCGTAGTGAAACATAAGTTTCTTTACGGAAATTAATTGCTTATGTAATCAAACAGAATCAGTACTTACTCGTCTTCTCCTTCACTTCCTCTCAATATGGCTAGCTTTGAAGGAAAACATACTCTTATTATTACATACAATTATATATTATCAAATAAAAAATTCCATGATAGAGTATACTCTATTAACTACACGTTTTCATAATAAGCAAAAGCAAAAAGAAAAAAGAAAAAAAAAGACATATACATGTAACATGTAGCTACAGACCTTGCCCATTTGCAATATTTTCATGATCAACCACTTCGTAATGATAATGATGGTATACTTGGAATTCCTTGCGACATCAATGTCCGCAATAATAGCAACGATAATTAAATCTCCAACAGAGAAGAATAAAAGAAAGCTGAAAGCGGAAAAGCAAAGGGTTATACCATTTGTCATAGCTGGTGCAATGTTTTATGCCTACTCCTCCATCATGATTCGTAAAGCTGAGGCCTCCACGTGGATGCAACCAAAGCTCGAATTCAAAATTAAGTATATCAAGTAATTATAATATATGATGCTATAAAATAACTCAAACCATTTTTTCTTTTCTGGCAAAAGACAGATAAAAGCCCCACGAAATGGTCCATTAATTCAGAATTTGATCCAAAAAGGTCATAATTGATGGATGTGATGGAAACCTTGGAGTTATTTCATTAAAGCAAGTAAATAAGGGTAAATTATGAAACATGAAATAAATGTGGAGTGAAATCTCAAAGCTGATGATAAGAGTATTTAAAACTTAATTTCTTACTTTAAAGCCACAAAATTAATAATACAATATTTAAAGCTAATTGCATTAAGAATAATAGTGAGAAAATATATTTTTAAAAAATAACTTATTTTTGTTTCTTATTATATTAATTAAGAGGTTGATTTACGTTAAAAGTAATGGTCTTTTTTCCAATGAAATTTATGCAAATTTTAACAATAAAAATTAATTCAGACATTTTTAAAAAACGGAAAATGCAATTTATCTAAATAGTGCTTTGGCTTGACTAAAAAGTTCGTTCAATGATTATGTTCCGTGTGCAGCTCTAATGAAAATATGAAAACAACCTTTGATCAATATATATTGGGTCATTGATGTGGGGTCTTATAGAGTTTAAAAATCTAAAGAGAAATGTAAATTGTATAATAATTTTACGATAAATTAAAAATAAGAAAACAGTCATAAAATATATTAGAACTCATGTATCATATACGAGCAGAGTTAATAAAGTGTATTCATAAATGCGTATCCCTACTTTAACCATTATCGTCTCTCCTAGTGATCCAATACTAAGAATATGTAGCAGAAAATAAAATCTGTATCTAATATACAATATTATAAAAATAAAATTATAAATGTCTCGTTCGTTACTAAACATGTGTTTGTCTGTGCAAGCAACCTAGCAAGAAGAAAGCATTACGCATAATGGAAGCTCAACTATAGTAAATTTAACTTAATTGTAGTATATATTGCCCAATAACACATTCAAAATAAATAAACAAGACCTCCTGAAGTGAGGAATTCTTTTGGATTGTGGAGTCATGGCCGACATGGGCTTCAACAAAGTGTAAAAGAACTTTTTCCTTTAAAGTGCATTTGCTCCCAACTTTGACATGAGTGGTGTGTGTGTGTGTGTGTAGACACATTTAGGTTTAGTGGAAGCTTATATATTTTTCTTGCATCAAATGATGACGAACAGGAACTCATATGGTGAAACTTCTACGGTAATGTAAAGCCATTCTTTAAAATTTGTGGGGTGGGGTTATTGTGTCTTCAGCACAAGCTCAAAAGGCCAAAAATTAAATTGCATACAAAGATCCCGTGTAACCTAAAGTTTGTATTTTATGGGATTTGAGATATATATATATATAGGTAAAGGTCCTTTTCCAAGGAGTTCCTTCCTTTGGTTGCATGCGTTAGCTTGTGGTACCAAAATCTGTAAGTTCATGGGGGGGGTAACCTTTTCCCTTCCTCACTCATACATATCAGACAACACAAACACACCCCTGTATTTGCTTTATATGTTTTTTTTATGATATTTCATTCGTTATAAGCAATAAATGGTAACTGGCCAATTGCTAGTAGGACTTGGCTGTCCGTCAATTTCCCCACAGTATCACATGACAACTATAGACCAGCTTTATGTCATATATAAAAAAAATTCTATTAAAAATGTCCTTTTGTTTAATTTAACACTTAATGTAGCATATTCCACACACACGTATAAAATTTCAAGCGAGCTTAGTCTTATTTATCTAATTTTATATCGTTCTAAGGTACAGTAATTTCCTTCCTCCATACACGCCCACATGCTCTATAATATTCAGTGAATTTTTTTAATAAAATTAAATTATTAATATAAAATTTATAATATATATATATATATTATAAGAATAATATTTTTCAATTGTGTTTTGGATGAGAAAAAAGTCATAGATTTTATTATTTTAAAGTCTTGGAAATAACTATCATTTGTTAGTAAAGGAAAAGTTATTTTGTTAGCAGATTGGTATCCAAATCTATAAAATTACTTCCGTCTTAACTTTATATAAGTATGTTTTTAATTTTTATTTTTTTAAATAAGTATTTTTTTTCTGTGTATATGAATTTTGAGTTTCTCTTGAACTCTCTCTAATAATATATATTTTGCTTAATAAAATATATATATATATATATATATATATATATATATATATTATAAGAAAGGATATTCTCATATTAGTATAAGTTTAATAATTTTTATATTTGATTTAAGCTTTTCATTAATTTAATTTATATCTAACAGTCAGTTACAAATATAAGTTGAATAAAAAATTTAAATTAAATATAAAAAATTTTAGACTTTTTACTTGTATATTATAAAATAATTTATAATAAAAATATTAATAATGCATTATATCATCTTCTCTCTCTCACACATGCAGCCTTAAATTAACTATAGCAATTAGGTGCTTTAATTTGGACAGATGATGTAGATGAACGCATTGAAGAATAGGATAGGATTTTGGACAGTACCATTTAAGTTATTTGGCAGCGTGAGTAGGAGTAGGTCCACACTGGAACAAATGCTTGCGAATCGTTACCTTCACACACTGAGTGCTACGTACATGTGGTATAAGCATTGAGAACAAACCCCAGCAATGCTCTTGCTCATGCATCCTTTTCACTTATCTGCACCTCATGTTTCATGGAGTTTAATTTTTTATACGTTGGATGGATAAATTTTAAAGAAAAGAAAGGATAAAATATATTTTATTTTAAATAAATATCGAATCCATTGTATGACTTATTAATATAATGTCTCCAATTTTCATTAATATTTTATTTCTTTTAACTAAAAAATATATTTCTCTTCCAAAATCTTCAGGAAAATGCTTCGTCTATGAAAATCATATTTCTTGAAAAAGATTCTTTCTGAAGAACTGAAGGTGAACTAAATTTAATCAATGTAGAGAATCCCAGACGGTATATTTCAAGGCCGTGGACGTCAGTGTCCTTAGAAATTCAGAGAGCATCTAGCCATATATTATGGTAATCAATTGGAATCATAATCCCACTATCATATACTATAGAGAATTAACCAAGAGTGGAGTTTTTTTTCCCTCTAATTTGTATGTTAGGATGGGGAAATTCGAAGGGAAAGAAAGGCGATCAGTTTTATTTTAAGAAAAATAAATATCTATACCATCATATGACTTATATTAATATCATCTTTTTTTACTAATATTTTAGTTATTTTTTAAAAATATATTTTTCTTCCAAACTCTTCCGATAAACGTTTGGTGTATGAAAATCATGCATTTTCTCTTAAAATTTTTGTTATTTTAAGAACCGAAGATGAGCTAAATTTAATTAAGGTATATATAGAGAATCCCTGATGGAATATTTTAAGGCTGTGGACATTAGTGTTCTTGGAAATTCAGAGAGCATCTAGCCATACTAGAGGTTATGGTAACCCATTTTGGAATCATAATCCCACTATCATATACTAGAGAATAAAGAATATATGATAACATGAGAAGGAATAGGAATTGAAACCACCAACTAGGTTGAACCATTCCTCTACTCCTTTATACATGTTTTCTTTTTAGTAGTTGGTAGATAATGTTATCAAGGATTTGATCCAACGGAAGATCACCTAACGCCTACCCAAATCACGACTCCACGTTATTTTGAAGATCGTCTTCTGTGAACTACAAAAAGAATTTTTATGAATTAGTGACTTGTTCTATACGTGTGTTTTCTTGGTAAATATCTTTCTCCTTAAGTTCACAGTTTGATTTGCAAATCAAAAGGATATCGTCAATTCTTTGTTAAAGGCAGCATAATCATTCTGTCCTCCACTTGTCTACCCTACATCTATTTTAACCATAAACTTGGTTCTAATTTATATGCCTTCTTTTATATATATCAACATCTTTTATGTTGGCATAAAGCCCACACTTTTGACGATGAAGCCATCACTAATTCAGCATCCACCTAATTGATTGTCAAAATGGCAATGGCTCCTCAGGATTATTTTATGATTTTGGTACCATACACGACCCATTTACAAATTCTCACCCGTGGAGTGGCTCACCGTACGTTACATTACAACGAAGGCATGAATAAAAGAAACACAACTAAGGAACATTGAACGTGTGAAACTCGTTAATTGCTTTGTCCTTTGTTACGAACTGTACTTCCTCTTCAATTTTCTGTGGTTATAGCTCAACATTTACCAACATAAACAACGGGATTGAGGATTAAAATATATGTCTAAAAGTTTACTATTGATGATACAGCAAATTAGCATTTCTAGATAACCATTTGCCGAGCCTAATTAGTCAACCTCAATCTAATAAAAAAGGACAAATAGTATATGAATTATTGTGTAAGATTACAAATGACGCCTAAAAATACAAAACATGTCCAACTCCAATTGTAGCAAATAAAAAATCATGTACCTAAATTTCATCAATAAAAAGTCAATTTTACAGTATATAATTAATTTAAGTGCATTACACATGGCAGCTCGTATACTTGAAAAATACTATAATTTTTTAAGCTGATTAAGATTTAAGTATTTTTATACACACAAAAATTTACAAAAATTTTAATAATAAATTTTTATTACATCACTCGTCTTATTTTTATTCTTTTTTAACTTTCTCTTAAATTATAAATTTTATTATAAAAATATATTATAAGAGTATCATTACTCTTAAGATTTTAAAGTAGCATGACGAAGGGCAAGTGAAATGTCGAGTTTTATTAATTAAATTAAGAAAGGAGCACAAAAATAATGGATTGGTAAATGACAAGGTTCCAACATTCACGTTCTCCTCATAATAAGGGAGCGCCCATGTGACTACCGTACGACCAATTCATTTTGTCATATTGTTTAACAATTTTTATAAAATAAAAAAGTAAAACTTTATTTATTATTAATTTAAATTTAATTATATCTATAAATATTTACATAAATAAAAAAAATTTAAATTACCTTTTCAATATATATATATATATATATATATATATATATATATATAAGAGTTGTTTTTTAATGGATTACTTTAAAAGAGTATCTTTGTTTCCCTCTTTCTCACACGTGTGACCATTCATATGCAAATCAAGCCAGCTTCTTGCTTTTGAAAAATATATCATTACACAATATCAATGCGTTAGTACTCTAGTGTTGGTTTGTTTAAAATTTAAGTAAAATTAAATTTGAATCCTTATTAGTATAGCTATAATATATATTGAATCGATTTTAATTATACAATTTGAATAAAATATTCTAATTATTTTACTGCTTTTCATTTATTATACAAAGGTTTTTTTTATTTATAAACCTTAGACAAATTTTGTTTTTATATCTTAATTATTATGCTAAATTTCTTCTATTTTATATACGTTACAACTACTATCTAGTAACTGCAAAAGTCTCTACTACACATGAAATATATATGACTACCAACATAATGCTACACCACACATTTGGTTGAATCTGTTATTCATTGATGAGTTAGAATATACTTGATGATAATTTTTATATGGCTGAAATTCATTTCATTAGTCAAAATATTCGATTAAATGAGTAAAAATATCCATAAATAAAAAGAAATTTAAAAAAATCATATTCTTAACTTTTCGGATGAAAAGTGATGCATTTACTAAAGACACAGTTATAATTAGAATTTGAATGAAATAGGAGACAGAGAAAGCAGGGGAACAGGGAGAGAGAAAACGCTATAAAAGGGAAAGAGGAGGAAAGAAAGGCACGTAAAAAGAGAGAGGGGAATGGAGGAGCTGAAACCACTGAAAGTGTTAGGGAAAGGAGCAATGGGAACAGTGTTTCTGGTTCAACACAACACAGCCCACGTGGCACTCAAAGTGGTAGACAAAACCTCTTCAATCCACGACGGGTCACGCCGAGCACGCTGGGAAATGCAACTCCTATCTCGCTTCTCGCACCCGTTCCTCCCCACCCTGTTGGGCTCCTTCGAAACCCAAAACCTATTGGGCTGGGCCATCCCATACTGCCCCGGCTCCGACCTCAACATCCTCCGTTACCGCCAAACGGATCGCGTATTCGCTCCCCCCGTTATACGCTTCTACGTGGCGGAAATCCTCTGCGCTCTCGAACACCTACACTCCATGGGCATCGCCTACCGCGACCTCAAACCTGAAAACGTTCTCATTCAACAATCCGGCCACGTCACCCTCACCGATTTCGACCTCTCTCGAACCCTCACACCCAAAACCATCACTCCCTCACACCACTCCAACATCCCTGATGACGACGCCCCCGGAAAACATCGCCGCAATTTTCGCTTCATGTGGATCCCAATCCACGCCAAGCCCAAGCCCAAGCCCGCCCGAGTCAGCCCAGTCAGTCGACGCAGGCCGAGTTTCTCCAACGGCGAACGCTCCAACTCCTTCGTCGGCACCGAGGAGTACGTCGCGCCGGAGGTCGTCCGTGGCGACGGTCACGAGTTCGCCGTTGACTGGTGGGCCCTCGGAGTGCTCACCTACGAGATGCTCTACGGCACGACGCCGTTCAAGGGGAACAACCGCAAGGAAACGTTTCGAAACGTGCTTTTGAAAACGCCTGAGTTTATTGGGAAGAAATCTGCGTTGACGGACCTCATCGCGAGGTTGCTTGAGAAGGATCCCACAAGAAGATTGGGTTACGTTCGAGGCGCCAGCGAGATCAAGGAGCACGAGTTCTTCAGAGGGCTTAAGTGGGACCAGTTAACGGAGGTTATGCGCCCGCCATTTATTCCGTCCAGAGACGACGTTGTGTTGCCGGCGAAGCCGTTCACCGGTGGACTCGACATAAGGGGATACTTCCAGAGCTTGAAATCTCCACCGTCGTTGCCCCCTTCGCCGTTACCGTCGCCGTCTGATGCTGAGTTTGAGAGGAATGCTTCTTTACCAGAATTCTGACGCACGTGTGGGAGGGCATGCTTGAGCCAGACCCAGTTATTCTTTTTAGTAACTCTCCGAAATTCTGAGTACATAGAGAATAACCGTACACCGAGAAGAAACGGCGCCGTTAGTGAAATTACTTTGTACAATATCGTTATATATAGTTAAAGAACTACAAATAGAATTGTACAATACGATTGTCTATATATAGGTATAATCTTTTTGATGTATTACATACGTATACACCCATTCTGCCCTACATATTTACCTTTTGGAAAATATTTTTTGAACTATATCAAAATAGAATACTTAAAAGTGCCTTTTAAGTGAAAAGTATTTTTAAAATATATCTAAACAGAAAGAATAAAAAGTAAAAGATAAAAATAATAACATATAATATTAAATACAGAATTAGTTTTGAATGAGTAAAATGATAGAACTCCTATTTAAAAAGAATACTAATGCATATGTTAATATAATATAAAGTAAAATATGTTTTCCTTCCACCTGAGAGCGCAAACTCATGGGTTTTGATCAGTATTTCATTTGGGGAGATGATCGTATGTAAGTTTTTGAATCTTAAAGAACATGCTTGATTGATAATGGGCTTTACATAATAAAAATTTGCATTGTTGGTTTTCCCATCGTAAGATCAATGAATCAATCTTGTTTACACCTTACATGATTATTAATATTGTTTGAAAGGTGCATCGAGTGCATTACCATTGTCCAATTTTACTATTTGTAAATAGTTGTTTTCAGTTTGATCTCGGTGCATTGAGGGGTCTTGATGCCCCCGTTAACGTTGGCCTATTGATACATTGTTACAATTGGGAAAGCACAAAAGGCATCTCTCTTTTGAGAAGAAAGTAATAGTAGGACCAGTTATTTTAATTCTGTGTGTAGTAAGTGGCACCATCTTATTCAAAGAAAGATTATCATGATAATAACACTGTTTATCCCGTGAAGAGTGGCGATTTGTTATCAAATAAAGTCCTTACATAATAATGAGATACTGAAGTTATAATTCTTTAACACGTGCCCAAACTTGTTCTCTTCATGATCAGCAGCTTTTGTTGCAATCCACATTTCACGGTTTTCTGTCTAAGAACCATGGAGAAATACAAGGCAAACGGTATGGACGCCAGTTCTGCTCGTCTGCACTAAAAATTGTTAAGTATTTTATTGAATATATTATATTATCTATGTTCACACATATAAGTATATTATTGATGTAGTACATATAAATTAAGTGCTTGATTGTATTATTTCACAAAACGTGATCCAATTATTTATATAAATTTGATGATTAACTTTTTTAATTCTTTAAAAAATGGGGTTGAGTTAGGTTGACTTATCTTTAACTGAATAGTCTTACTCTCGTGACTACAAAGTTTTGATTTATGAAAAGATAAAACAAAATATCAATCATTATTTTGTATTTATGATTTTTGTGAGATTCTGACGTATGCATATTTATCAGTACTCCAAAGTCTAAACTTGCGATGGTGAGGAATCCCTGGCTTGCTGGCAAATGCTATATAGTACACAATGTTACTTCACTCAACTGTCTATTTTGCGGAAAATCTGGTGCTCTGTTGAAAACAAAGGACTAAAAATAGGAACGGGTTCCCTAGCAACTAGCAGTAACGTGAACAAGTATTCCTTGTGTCGGCCAATTTTTGGCTTATAAGGTATTAAGTTGGTTAGAGAAGATAATTCTGATTCTGAGGACCTACTGCTTCTTAAAACCTTTTATGTGCCCTTTTGTCGTCTTCCTCTGTCTCACTCACTCAAGCTACGTTGCATGCGTTTGGATCATTGCACTTTCATATGTTCATTATTTTTGTTTTTGGGTCAACCACTTGCATAAGCTTATGGTCCTTCCATGCAAACATCTACTGGGTGTGTGTTTGGATATAGCAACTAGTAATTAGAAAGCGAGTAATAAATCATTAGTCATGAAATATGCTTGTGGGTGGCTCTAAATTACTCGTTTTTTTTTGGCTTTGTATGGCATTTCCCTCAACAAACAACTCCTAATTAAGCTAGCTTTGAAGCCTTCTCTTGTATTGTCTCTGATCAGTGATCTGACTTGTAATTTGGCTCCTTACGGCTCATTTGTATACGCCACTAAAGTGTACTCGTATCATAACAAGGTTACATGATTGAAAGAGTAAGTTGCCGAAAGTTATTGGGATAATTATATAATAGGAAGAATTTAGTCCAAGCTTTTTAGAAGAAAAAATACTTTTAACTTTGGATGTGAAAGTAATCGAAAAGCCTATATGTTGAATGGAAAAGTGGCAAGTGGGTGAGTTCAATGTTAAACCAATAAACTGTAAGCAATCGATAATTACCCAATATATGCTTTTTGAAGATAAAAAGTATAACCCTCAATGCATTCAACGCATGCCCACATCCTATCATCCTTTTCTGACCATACTTGACATTGTAAGTTAGAACCTTTTTCTGACCAAATTCGGGGGAATTGATCCTTTTCGCCGATAAAGCATCCAACCTAAGTTCATCATCCTCTAAGAGGACATTGATGGGTTCGTTACAAATAATAATAATAATAACAATATATATAAACTAAAAATAATGTTCGTCATTAGATTTACTACTATTATTTTTTATTTCATTAATTTTACTTCATGAAAATTAAGCTAGCTATAAACTATAGAAAATTTACACTAATAGTATTATGTTATACTAATAATATGATAAACTAATGATAAAATCAATAAATTATTTATTATATTATTAACATATACTTACAATATGTATACATATAAATAATTTAGTTTACTAGATGGAATCTATATTAATAAAAAATAATTATTTTTCCGTCTATATATCATTTTTCTTATAGGAATGTGCACGGTCGCTAAAAAAACAGTGGCCGTGCACCATTTATAATGAATTTGATCAAAAGCTAGAAAAAAAGAGAAAAGGTTTTGTTTTGGTAAAGAAAAAGATATTATCTGTTAGTTCGGCCCAAATATATCCTCCCTCATATATTGCTAAGAAGTTGTTCAAAATGACATTTTGGGCCAAAATATTTGGATTTTTGGAGTAAAACCCCTTCCTTTAATTGCTGGAGACAAAAAAATATTTTAATTTTTAAATTCTCTCTCTCTCTCTCTCTCTCCCAATCGAAGCCAAAACTTGGTTTGGCAATAAATCTGCACTTTGGTTTCCTTAACGTAAACCCCTCACGCACGTAATTTCACCAGATGCAATCTTAATTGGTTACCTATTTTTAGCCACTTTCTTCGAGTAAAACATACCGTAACAAACAAGAACCGTCTTTTGATGAACAATTCAATCATATCAATTTCACTTGATTTAGGCCGAATAATAACAATAAAAGAATCTCTTGTAATTCTCAGTCTTGAAAAATAATGTAGATAAAAAGGCTACAGATACCTTAACTGCTAATCTAGTTCTTCATCATTTCATGTTCAGACATTATCATATATTTTTGTTGGATGGTGTGTTCGGTATATGTTTTGCTTGTACTCTACTCTCTCATTTTAATTTCTTTACCTTTTTTTAGAAATAAAAACTTCCCCTCTCCGTCAACCATTACCATTGATCCTATATTCTCCCTATTAACACCCAAATTAGTCATTGACTCACGGTGCCATATTTTACGTGAATTTTGAGACTATCTATCTTCTATCTGCTTTGTGTTACGTATCAACTTTTATCATTCATATCACCCCCTATATTAACTTTATCAGTCTAGCTGATTTGTAGGTAATTTTCTAACTTTGATGTATCAACTAGGATGAGCTCAATGATAAACGATTAAAACATAGTTTTTTTAAACTCTATCCAAACACAATTTCTTCGGGTCTTGGTAGGGGGAAATGCTTCTCTTTCTCGTTTTGGTGGGCAACATATACATGTACCGCGACTCACCAAATCGTGACGAAAATTTTCCAAATTTATTCAACACTCGTCAAGATAAAGCACCAGAGTTAAGTATTGTTAATCCTGCTTTACATTATTTCAGGTTCACACAAGGCGCAGATCACAATCAACCCAACATGCCATGAAAGTGCAAAAACAGAGACAACAAAAATCGCAGCTAACTATGTGTATGGTCGATTATTTTTTAAAAAAAAAAAAATCTTGTATTCAAACTGTGTGTGTAAAATTCTTTCTAGCCAATGACAATCACGAACTACAAGTAAAAATTAGTCTTTTAACTCCTTTAGATTTAGAGATACCGCATATTCTCTAACTTTGGATATAAAAAAGGACAGTAGCTAACTATGCATATTTAAATTCGCTTTAGGATTTGATTATAATTATTGGTGGTGATCATGAAGTGCATAAGAACGAAAGACAGTAGATTATGTCATACGTGCCTACTAAAGGATCAGATGAAAGTGCATATCTTCCTCTTTTCTCCCCTTAGAAATAGGGAAAGTGCTAAATTTTGGGGTCATTGTTATTCTTAAATTACTATTATTTGCGTGATTTTTCACTTGACGTTTTTCGACTATTTGAACTCATCAAAACGATTTTACTTGATTGCTTGGTGGAGTGTTTGACAGAAATTTTGTTTATATAGCATATACTTTTAATCATTAATGGCGCCAATGTTGTTCCCGAAATGCTCTTACGTACGGTTTAGGGATGTGCATGTAACTGAACCGGGTGCCATTACAAAATTAGAGTTGCACTAATAAATTATATAAAAATAATTCTTTTCTTTTCTTATGTTTTGGTTGGATCTTTGGAGAGAGAGCGGAAAGAAAATGATTTAAAGGATAAAGAAGAAGAAATGACACTTAATACTGCACCTTTTAAATTAAGAGAATTTAAAAATATAAAACTAAGAAATTTTTAGAGAAATTATAAATTTTCCATCTCTTATCTAAAAACTCTCACATAAAACTTTCTTCTCTTTCTTTTAAAAATTAATTTTCAAATAAAGTCTTTGATGTTTAGAATATTAAAGATTGATACTATTTTATTTTTTCTAAATTCTCTGGTATGTAGAAGTCATTTTAAATCACGATCAATTTAAATGGAGTAAAATAAACAAATTTCATGGTGCAAAGCTCGTTAATAAATTAAAATAATAGTTTAATGCCACCACGGCTTTTTTTATATTTTTGGTCAATTTGAACCTCTTTCATGTGCACAGCCCACATTCTATGGCGCCCAGCAAGCAAGTATATGTTCAGCTAAAATTTTAGAAGAGAATGCTAAATTATTATAAATAAATAGCCTTTTCTATCTCTATTTAATATATTAATTGCTTTAAATATATTTATTTTTTTTATTCAACACATTTTACGTTTAATGTTGAAAGGATTACTTTGCTATTTGTATAAAGCTTTAGCTTTAGTCTTTTACAATTTTGTGGAATAATAGTTTGAATCATAATTCTGGAACCTTGTTTGCTTTAATTTAGAAATGTTTTAAACGAATTACACGTAGAAATTTTTATTAAGTAAAAAATTATGGTATAAATATAATTAAGAAGTTTAGTAAAATAAGTTTTAAAAAATAAACTAAATATTTATCAAAATAAATTTAGAAAACTTATAAACTTTTCATAAGTTCATTCAAAACAAACCTTTAATGTCCAATTATATATGCGTAAAATAAAATGATCTCTTGTCAAGAATGTACGGGCATAAAAAAATTAGAAACTTTCTAGAATCTAAACTTGACAACATTAATGGCCGTGACCTCTGTGGTCGTATTGACATCAGTTAGTGCTCTTTATCAATACTGCTATTATTCACAAATTGATATTGTTGTGTTAGATTCCAAATCCCAAACATTACTTTTCACGATATGATTTTATTTGAAATGTGACTTCCTCATTGGCTGCACTCGAAGCTTGCTTTGTGTGTGTGTGTGTGTCTATATATATATATATATATATATATATATATATTCCCACTCGCATGTCTCTTGTTGTCTTAACCATTTGATCTTTGTCCTACTCCAAGTGCATGCGTATGTTTCTCACTCTTACTTTTCCAAAGCTTTAGTCGGAAAATCAAAAACAGCTAAATATTTTACTTGTTTTTATACTCATTAGTTCAAGTTCTTAATTTATTGGTTCCATTAAGTTATAGTTGTACTTCAAGTCTTGAATTCAGGTTGTCTTTTGCGCAATGATATTATGCTTAATGTTTTTAATTTGTACGTATAATTTGGCTAAGTAGAAGGTTAATTTGAATTTGAATTTGAATTTCTCAGGAGGTTGATGGCTTTTCTGTTTGTGTTTGTTGCCATTGTGTTGTGGGGTTGTGCTGCGGGTAAAGAGTGCACAAACAATCTTGCTCAATCACATACTTTCCGTTTCCAGTTATTAACATCCAACAATGAAACTTGGAAGGCAAAGGTGATGTCACTTTATCATTTGACACCAACGGTAGATCATGTTTGGACAGATTTGCCACCAAGGAAATTGTTGAAAGAGGAAGACCAACAACATTGGACTACGATGATGTACGAGAAAATAACAAAAGAGTGTGTGTTGAAGCCACCCCAAGGTTTTCTTAAACAGGTGTCTCTGCATGATGTGAGATTGCAAGAAGGATCAATTCATGCTCAGGCACAACAGACAAACTTGGAGTATCTGTTGATGTTAGATGTGGACAGGTTGCTCTGGAGCTTCAGGAAAACAGCTGGTCTTCCAACACCTGGAATACCATATGGAGGGTGGGAAGATCCAAAAATGGAGATCCGGGGTCATTTTGTTGGTTAGTTTATTTCATTGATAATCTTGGTTTTATGTTTCCAAATCTTAGTTGTCTCTCTATTAAAGTTCTTTTTTCATTCTAAGCTTCTTCTGTTTCTTCATAAAGACTTCTTGACAAGGGAATAAGAAAAAGGGTATCTAAAACAATAAAAGTAATAGGAACTTGAAAGAATCATGCTATAAAGGTTAGCCCTCTTAGTTGGAAAGTCTAAAATTATTTGTAAACTTCACACTAGAATGTCATACTTTTAACGAGGGACTCAAGTCTCGTATCTTGAAATTGAATCTTAACAGAAAACATGTTAAGTAACTATAAGTCTTATTGACTTTATCACTGCTTAAACATAACTCTAATTTGTATTTTTTTTCATTCAAAGATTTAAAAGGTGTAAAAGTCTTTACTTGTAATTAACTTACTCGTGGCTGCGACTCTAAACCTTTGCAACTCATTTTTATGGTATATTAAAATTGCTTGCTTTTGACATTGTAAAGGGCACTACCTAAGTGCATCAGCTCTTATGTGGGCCAGCACACATAATGATAGCCTGAAGAAGAAAATGTCAGCTCTTGTTGCCAATCTCTCTCTGTGTCAGAAGAAAATAGGCACAGGATATCTCTCTGCCTTTCCATCTGAGTTTTTTGATCGATTTGAAGCTACTAAATATGTTTGGGCTCCCTATTACACCATTCACAAGGTACAATAAAAAATGACATTGATTTTGCAACCACTTTTTGTCTTAATATTGTGACACTTCAACCAGTCAACTTTGACAGATCTTGGCTGGCCTTTTGGATCAACATTCTGTAGCTGAAAATCCTCAAGCTCTAAATATGGTGACATGGATGGTTGATTACTTTTACAGCCGAGTGCAGAATGTTATAACAAAGTATAGTATAAGTAGACACTATGAATCACAGAATGAGGAAACTGGAGGAATGAATGATGTCCTTTACAAACTATATAGCATAACGGTACTTTAATTGCTCTATTTAGATTCTTTAACTCTCCTTTTATTGACCATTAATCCATACTTGCCAGATTTATCTTTTATTAATAATTTCAGTTGGACTACGAATTATATTAATATTAGTATTGTTGTGAACTTACATGTCTTTTTAATACTTAATCTATGCAGGGAAATCCAAAGCATCTATTGTTGGCTCACCTTTTTGACAAGCCATGCTTTCTAGGATTGCTTGCAATGAAGGTAGTGATTATATATATCAAGATAAAATGGCTACCAAGTTTACATTGACTCAAAATTTGATTTGTAGTTTCGGGAGGTTACAATATTTACATTATGGTCTTTCAATTACTCTTTTTCATGGGTTGTGGTTATGAAAATGCTAGCTTTCAAACAAGCAAGAACATCTAAAAAAGTATGCTTATAATATATACCAACAAGTTTCAAAGTGAAAACAATCATTGCCTTGTTTCAAGTTTCCCTTCTGTTGAGAAACGGATCGTGTAATAACAATCATTTAAGCGACTATCATTTAAATATTATGAAAATGTATTAATTTTTTGTCAAAGGCCTAAGAGTTCTAAACTTCAATTTCATGTAGGCTAATGATATAGCTGATTTTCATGTTAATACACATATCCCAGTGGTTATAGGATCTCAGATGCGCTATGAAGTCACCGGTGATCCACTTTATAAGGTGAATTGTTTAATGTATGTTGTAGATTACCGATACTGAAATTTGTCATATTATTTTAAATATTGGTTTTTGGTTTTTGGTGTCTTAGGAAATTGGAACATTCTTTATGGATCTTGTTAACTCTTCTCACACATATGCAACTGGAGGGACATCGGTTGAAGAGTTTTGGTATTAAGATGATAGCAATTTAGTTTCAATTATTTCATGTGCACTTAATTATCCATTAAATAACTGTATGCTACAAGAGCAAGTGTTCTGTTTCTTCTTGTTGAAATTACTCATAGATGTTATTGTTATTTTTTCTTAAAAACAAGAATGTTTTATTCCAATTTTTCTACATAGGAGTAATCCAAAGAGAATGGCAGACACCCTAAAAACAACGGAGAATGAGGAATCATGCACAACATATAATATGTTGAAGGTACAGCCAATCGTCATCATTTTATTAGGACATCAAATAAATTCATAATGAAATGCTTTGGAAGTTGAAAATTAGTATATAAAGTGGCGTCACAAATATTTTGTGTAGTGTTGGAAGAGGTTAGACTTGTTATCAAACGATGATGCATTAGTATGAATCAGTGGGTATGTGAGTGTGCATGTAACACTTGATATTCGTAGACAAACCTTAATATTTTATATTGAAGTATTTATGCTGTCTTCTAAGCACAAAAAACGATTTTTCAGGTTTCACGCCACTTGTTTAGATGGACGAAAAAGGTATCTTATGCAGATTATTATGAGCGTGCCTTAACAAATGGTGTGTTAAGCATTCAAAGAGGAAGAGAACCTGGAGTGATGCTATACATGCTTCCACAGGGTCGTGGGGTTTCCAAAGCTAAAACTAACCTTGGTTGGGGAAACAAATTTGACAGTTTTTGGTGCTGTTATGGAACAGGTACCCCTATGTTTTGTTGATCATACTCTACAAAACGCATCAAACTACACCATATTATTATTTCTTAACTTCTCCATATTTTGGTATGTCTTAATTTCTTTTTCCTGTTTATTAGGAATTGAATCATTCTCAAAGCTAGGAGATTCTATCTATTTTGAAGAGGAAGGGGGAAATCCTGCTCTTTACATCATCCAGTACATATCAAGCTTGTTTAATTGGAAGTCAGAACAAATTATCCTTAATCAGACAGTTGTTCCTGTTGCTTCATGGGATCCTTTCCTACGAGTGTCTTTTACATTATCTCCTACCAAGGTGCTTGTTATATTGCAAATATTAATCTTATATAACTTGTAGATGCTAGAGTAAACACTGGCTAATCTGGCTTTATTTAATTTGGTCTCATTTGCCCTCAGTCTACTAATGCTTTCAATTTTCAATATTGTTAAGCATGACTTATAGATTTACTAATATATGTCACTTTTTCGGACGTAATTTTTCTCTGTATGTGTTTGTGTACGATCATTACTTTGTGATCAATAAACCATGGTCACGTGTGATATGAAAAAAGAAATATTCTGATCTGTGAGTATAGCCTAGTAGTGTCACACCTTAGCAATCTTATTTTTATTTAAAGATGGATTCATCATGTGATAGTAGAAAAGTGATCTCTCGACTTGATGATGGCAAGTTAAATTACTTTTTTCTTTAACTTTTGCATTTTGATTGCTAAGAGTGATAATAGAAAGAGTACATCTTCTGATGACAGGTGATGATATCTGTGTACTTATAAAATAATTTTTCTACGTAAACTTCTTAAGAAAAAAATCAACAAGCTACTAAGTAAAAAATCCTCTACATTTTTCTTCTTAGTCTTCTAAAACCTATCTATTTTGGTAGAAAATTTCTACTTCGTCAACACTCAACTTTCGAATACCAACTTGGACGCATAGGGATGGTGCTAAGGGCATGTTAAATAATGAAACTTTATCTCTGCCAACTCCAGGTGTGATTCTCTCTTTCTTGTCCGTGTGATTTTGTGTATATATAATCTTTTTAAACTGGAGAAACATTAACACTTGAAACTTAGTGAATCTGTAGGAAATTTTTTATCAATCAAGCGAAGATGGAACGCTGGAGACCAACTGACCCTTCAATTGCCCATTCCGCTCAAAACAGAAACTATAAAAGGTAGCTTCATTCCATGTATATTAGTTACCAATGTTAGTCTGTCACAATATATATTTACAGTGGAAAAAATAATTGTTTACCATGCGTCACTGAAATTATTTTTTGAATTAAATACAGATGACAGGTCTAAGTATGCCTCTGTTAAAGCAATTCTTTATGGTCCTTATCTTCTTGCTGGTCACACCACTGGTGATTGGGACATTAAAGCTGGACCTAATGCATCTTTGGCAAATTGGATTACTCCAATTTCAGCCAGCTACAATAGTCAGTTATTCTATTTTTCACAAGATTATGCAAACTCAACTTTTGTCTTAACAAACTCAAACCAATCATTTACAATGAAAAATTTGCCCAAGCTTGGAAGTAATTTGGCTCTCCATGCAACTTTTAGAGTTATCCAAAGAGAATCATCTTCAAAATTCTCAACATTAACATATGCTATTGGTAAAACAGTGATGTTAGAGCCATTTGACCATCCAGGAATGAGAGTGATTCACCAGGGAACAGAAAATCCTCTTAGCATTGTAGATTCATCATCTGATGGGTCTTCTGATTTTCTTCTTGTGCCAGGATTAGATGGAAGAAAAGAAACCATATCTTTAGAGTCCAAAAGTCAGAATGGTTGCTTCGTCCATAGTGGTATTCACATTGGCAGAGGAGTGAAACTTAGTTGCAAGTCTAATTCTGATGCTACATTTAAACATTCAACAAGTTTTATTGCAAGGAGAGGATTAACTGAATATAATCCAATCAGTTTTGTGGCCAGAGGGGTAAACAAGAATTTTCTTCTACAGTCATTATTTGCCTTTAGAGATGAGCCCTATACGGTTTATTTCAACATCAAGGATTGATACAGTAGTTGAAATAAAAATAGTATAAGTTTTATCTATCAATGTTCTAGTAATATGTTTTAAGATGTACCCTAGATAGTTACTTGTACTCAAATGATAAACAGGAAGCATCTACGTGCAAAACAAAATTTAGAAGGAAAAAAAGGGAGTATCAGCAGCAGCAATAAACGTTCTCTTTTATGTGTTATTCATAAAGAAAATGAGGAAATGTATGAAATGCAACTAACATGCTACAAATTTACCCAGATTCAAGTGTCAAGAAAGTGTAGGATATATTTAATAACGATATTATTAAAAGTAAGGTCACTATGAAAGTTTTGGCAAGTTTGCAAGTTTACAAGTAATCCGCTTACTTCTACTTTATTGCGAATAAAATAATCTCACATAATATGAACTAAAAAATCAAAATCAAAATTTTGCAAACTACATTATGTTTGATTATTTGTTTTGGTGTGCATTGATTTTGTACATCATTATATCAAAATGAATCAAACATTCAACCTACACTAAATTCCTTACTCTCTAAGTTTATCATTCTGTTGACTTGAAACGTTAAGGTTTTTCTTCTCATTTTTTCAAATTGAAGCATTCTCAAAATTGGGAAATTCCATCTATTTTGAAGAAAGGAAAGGTCTAACTCTATACATCATTCAGTACATCTCAAGCTTAATTTGAAATATGGAGCCATTATACTGAATCAAACTGTATATCTAACCATACTTTCAAATTGGTTTATAAGGCAACAAATCTTCATAACAACAACCATAACTATGAGTCCTGTAATTTTTGGCAATTTTGATAATAACAACGCAATCACAACTATTAACACAAACCTTTGATCAAACCAATTCTTAGGATCCTTTTTATGAGTGATATTTAAGTGTTTTCCAAATGGGGTGTGCCCTTCATAATAACTGTTTTGGCAATCTATTGAACTATTTCAATTGTGGATGTTATTTTTAGTTTTGAGGGAAATGTCGCTTCTTATATTAAAATTCTGATACTATTTTGGACCCTTTCAAACAGCACCCACGTGAATTTAGAAGACAAGTTGTTGAGCGTTCACTTTCGCATCACTCCTCAAACAAGCATGTAAAAGGTTAGCTTCCTTGAGTACTCTATAGTGAGACGTGTCATATCATATACTGTCTTTAATAAATGTTATAGGTCTTACCATAATGTAATTTTTTTTATATATATATAATTTAAATATTTTTTCTCTAATAGTTCAATCTTAAAAAGTTTATCAAATAAGTTACCACATTCTTATATCTCATAAACATTTACTTTTGTTTAAACTTAAAATCGTTATGAAATAATTTTTTAAACAATCAGAACATAGTCAATTACTTTCATGATTTTATATCCAATTTAGTCTCATTCCTTTTTAAGATTTTATCTAACAATAATGTATTCGTTTAAACGGTAACATATGCTTTTAATTAAACCAATCTCTTTTTATCTCCAATTGTTTCATCCCTCTCTTCCACAATCACATCTTAAACGGACCCATTTTTAGTACTGTGCCTTATATTGGACATATACACAGTAGCTTAGTTTGTCAATTCATTACACTCGAACAATGGATCCTTAGAAGATATGATTGCTTAACTTGTAAGAAAAAAACAAAGAACTCTCCGTCAAAATTGACCTAAGCGTAACAATTGCTGAGACGGTGATGACAGTGATAGAAAATGGCCTAACTAAAGACAGAAGCAATGCATTTGGTATCCTATAATTGAATTTATTTATTTTAAAGAAACAACTATATTTTATTAATTTTTAAAAGAAGAGCAATAAGAATGCACTCGATAATATTCTAAAAAAGGGGTGTTTGAAGGTGAGAATAGAATGGGGACACTAATTTTAATTGAATGGGGGAACTAAATTTAAGATATAAGATTTTCAATTATTGAAATTAAAAACATCAGAATAACTAATGGTAAAAAGAAAAGCACCATTAAACTTTTTTTTTTTTTAATAATTATTGGCATGTGTTTAACTTCCTTAGCATGCTGCATTGCGATTCTGTGATCTGTCAAAGGGTTTGATGCTGAAGCATGAACTGGATGAGTTTCCTTGGGGAAGCTTGTATGCAGTATATATGCTTCTGCTTCTGCTTCCTAAAAAGAAATTAGGATTCCTCTGTGCAATGGCATGTGGAAGGAGGGTGAGAGACAGAAAAAAATTTGAAAAGTAAATAAAAGAAAAGAAAAGTGAGAGCATCATTACATTGACTCTATTCTCATCTCATGAAATGCTAAAAGTAAATTAAGTAACAATTATTGTGTATATCTTAAAGCATTAAAATCGACAGTTCACTTATATAAAGTTATGTAAGCAATTTTAAGAAGGAGAATATTAATAAGCATTTTTATTGTATTAGTTAAAAGTTAAGATTGAGAAACATATTACCAAGATATTTTAATCGTTATTTTTTAATAAATACTATATCATTTTTTAAAAATATTTTTAATGTATTAAGTTTAAGATATATGTTAACATGCATTTGTAAAATATTAATATCCTCATAAAATATCAATAAATATCAACAGTTACTTTTGAGTTCTTTCCTTAGAATTTTGTGATTTTGTCCAGTCAATCATTTATTGAGGTTTCGCATGGACCATGGTGTCTGAATTGGGCCTTTTGGTGTCCAAGTGCTTTGTATAATTTCGGCTTTAGATGTGGTTAATGTTACAACCAAGTGGCATAATATTAGCCACTGAAAACACATATTAAAGGGTGCAAAACAATTTGACAAGTGGATAATAAATATGAGATTTTATTTTATTTTTTCATACTTTTTTATTTTATATTTACTTGTTATAACATTACTTATCATTTTTTCCCCTCTCTTTTCTTATTAATCTCACAAGTCCAATAGAACCAAAAAGGCAAGTTCTAACAGCCTGTGAACCAGTTCATATTTTGTTGATTTTTGAGGAATAAAAAGGGAGCTTCTGATTCACTCAAATGCATTCCATTGCGAATGTTGTTTGGAATACAATAATTGAGTGATGAGGAAGAAGAAGAAGAAGAGAGAGTAGAATAAAAGAGCAGAGCAATAAAGTTCAGAAATTGATTAGCAGTTACAGAGGCTCCTTCAATGTTTCAGCTAGCCTCCACTCATTATCTCACCATGTGCGGTGTCTGTTTTCTCTTCTTCTTATCCACTCATTTTGTCCTTCCTCCGACATAATCATTTATTTTCCTTTTTCTCAAATCTCGGATCTTTATGGTATCAGGAAAGACACTCCAATTTCAATTTAATTCCATAAAATTATTAATATTTTTTCTAAACATGTGTAAAATAACTAAAAATATTTTAAAAATACTCATTAATAAGACTCATTCTATCTTATTAAAATAGTGTTGATGGTCCTAGAATAATTCTTTTTTTATTTTTTAAATAAAACATTATCACTTTATTTATTGGACGATACATTTATGATATTATTCAAAAAAATTAAAAAATAAAAGAGTGATGGAAATATAAGTTGGCAAATAAAAAATATTAATTTAATTTGAACATATTGACAATATAAGTTTTTTTTTATAAATATACTAACAAAAATTGTTAACTTTTATAGTAATATAAAATGTTACCTTTAATTTGCAGAGTTAAATTTAAATAATTAACAATAAAAATATTTATTATACAGTATATTTTTAATATAATAAACATTTGATTTTTAATAAAGATTTATTATTTTTAAATGTTTGACTCAGTATTATGAAAAAAACAAATAAAAATGAAAATAATGAATTTAAAAAACTATATTGATCGTGCATGGAATAGATATGGGTTGGAGATTGTATGTGACAGATTGATGTTCAATTCATTCAATATGCTAAAATTTCTGCATTTTAATTTGCAAGTTCAACTTCCTCCAAGATCGATGCTCGATTCATCATTCAATAATACAAATTTGATAATAAAAAAAAGTAAAAAAAAGATGGCAAGTGAATAAAGTTGATAGGTGTAGAGGGGGAGGGTGTGTCCACTAAAAATGATTGGAATGAAAAGGAAGAAGAGAATGGTTAACTAAAGAGGAGGGAAGGAACTTTGTACTTTTATTTGCCAATCACAATCATCATAAAAACAAACCGAATCAGTTAACTAAAAGACACACAAAACTCTTTTCTATATATATATTAGGTGAGTGAGTTTGCAACTGTAAAAATGGTTTGGCTAGCAAGGTTTGAGTGGTTTCCCGCAGAGGCAATCGTTGTACACAAACGACGACGCTTCGAGATGATCGAAAGGTGACCCAACCGGAATTGGGCCACAGAGATGGTTGTGACTCAAATCCAAATGCCCAATATACGAAGCAGAGGATATGGATTTGGGTATGGCCCCTTTCAGATTGTTATACGACAAATCAAGCACCGTGAAATACGACCGAACGCCGAACGCGTCTGCTATGTTCCCCTCCAACCCGTTACGGCTCAAGTTCAAGTCACTGATTCCCGACCCGAATAGGCTTTTCGGAATGGGCCCAGACAGCTTATTCATGTCCAAATTCAGCGTTGACAGAACAGCCATTTTACCCAGCGATTCCGGAATGGGCCCAGAGATCTGGTTCCGAGACAGATCCAGATCCGCCAGACGGTAAATCCAAGAAACTGAGTCCGGGATCGGCCCGCTAAGGTGGTTACCACTCAACAAGGCCCGGCTCAGCATTTTAAGCTTCCCGAAGTCATGCGGAATGGGCCCGGAGATTCGGTTGTTTCGAAGGTCCAGGTGCATAAGACTTATGAGGTTCGTTAGCGACGCTGGGATCGTGCCGGAGATAACGTTGTCGGCGATGTTGAAGACTGTGAGGCGGCGGAGTCTGCCGATGTCGGCGGGGATGGTGCCGGATATGCGGTTTCCGATGAGGTCGATGATGCGAAGGAAAGGTAGGGTGGTTATGCAGCGAGGGATCTCGCCGGAGATTCCCTTCCAGTCGGCGATGGTGATGCTGGAGAGGCGAGCGAGCTTGCAGATCGCCGGCGAGATGTAACCGGTCATGTAGCCGGTGCGATGTGCCTTCTGGAATATTGGCTCCTCCGACTCGCCGCGGAGGTTGATGTCGGCCACGCGCCGAGTCTCCTGGTCGCAGCTAACGCCGTACCATTTGTGGCAGCAATCGGCGCCGGTCCACGAGTTGAAGATGCCGAGATACGGTTCGTGGAGCGCCGCCTTGATTGCCAGCAGCGCATCCCTGTCCGACGGCGGACACGACCGCACGCCGGCTGTGAGCGCAAGGAATAGCACCGCGACTGTTATAAACCTAACGCCAACCATTGTGGTTGCGGTGGAAATTGCGGGAATGTATTTGCAACTAATGTGCTTTCGTGAAAACTCAGTGCCTCTACGGCTATGTGTGAAGTAAATTAATGAAACGGTGGGAAGCGTGTGAGTTTGTGTGTGTGTCTCTGAGAGTGTCTATTTTTGCATGGGAGTTTGGGATTCTGATACTCTTATTTATACTGTTAATTCATATTTTGTGACGAGTTTGCCCCTTATAGAGCTCGTAACTGGTGAAGTCTTGGACTACATGCAACTGGTCAACTTTTTTTCTTTTTTCTTTTTTTTTTAAATTTGAAGAAATAGGAGGAACAGGTGAACATGGGAGAGAGGATAAGTTTGTGGGTAGAGGGAAATGGTGTGACAGAGAAAGAGATTGAGGGTTGAAGCATGCACAATCGCACATGGTGGCGAAAGGTCCCAAACTAAATTATGAGGCTGGCTCATGGGTTCTATTCACTAATTGACAATTGTATTGGGACCTTCTAACTCGTTATTTATCAAGTTAATTATTAATTACTGGCTCTTTTCAGAATCAGAAGCAGCAATGGTGTTCTCACATTAACTTGGTTACTTGTCTTTGCAATGCCTTTTTTTTTCATTTATGAAGTTCATTTAAGTAGAGACTTTTAATTACACGCGGTGGACAGCTAAAAATGGAAATTTTATGTTTAAAAGATGTCATATGTAGGCTTGGAAGAGATCTTAAGTCTATCCAACGTAAATGGAGTTAGGACCCTGTCACGCTCCATCTATTGACGAATAGTACAACGCAAAGTAACCCCACAGGTACCTAAATCTTTGTCCCTAAGGAGCTAGGTTTAATTCCATAATCAATGCGTTTCATTTTAACCTAATTTGCCGTAAGATAATTATTGTAGTGGTTATCAGAATCTGTACATGTTAACTAAATAAATAGAGGATCATATAGAGTTAATTAATCCAAATGCCTTTTTGTGGTCATACACTGAAAACTCACCCACTTGCATTGCATGAAGATATTGCATATGGGTCAGTACTGGTGGTCGAGAAGGACAACCCCATCATATCATATCATTTTTTTCTCTTCGTTATATTACATCAACCTCTTCATCCGCTCTAACCCTAAATAAGAAAAAGAAGAAAAAATTATACTAATTTCTATTGAAAATAACACTGTTTAAAAATATTTAATTACACTCAGTATTCCTCATACTTTAACAGCCGAACTCACTTCCCTTTAAGTCTCAATGTAATTTCAATTAACTCTCATAATGGAGAAATAAGTGTGCTCGATAGTAATAACTGTAAATTTTAAAAATGCCAAGTGTAATTGATCTAAATCTCATGACCGTTCAGTATAAGTTGTAATACTAATAATAATAGTAATAAAGATGCATTATCAATATAACAACACTATTACTGTTTTCTACATTTGTTTTTCATGCAAATCATATTTGAAGAAGAGAGAAATTGTATTGTTTTCTCTGTGAATAGCTTGATCCAAGAAGCCAATTTGAATGCAATAAATCATACAAATTATTGTCGTATACATGTGTGCGTTTTCAATTATTTCAGCTCTCTTGCTTTGCATTCAAGAGGAAGAATCCGACCATCCAGTGAAGCCAAGTATATAAATGTTCAGAAAACCTTATCCGCAGGATTTTACGCCTAGTTATGGGAATCAGGAACCATTGCATTAAATATAAATAAAGCCAGTAAATAATTATTTATTTTGTTTGTTTGTACTCAAGATTTCGCACAAGACCTCACTGTTAGGTGGCATGAAAACCTTCCTTCTTTATTTTCCTATAAATAAATAAATATATTACAGAAGATACGCGAGCCTCTCCCCTTTGAATTTAGATTGACTAAACCAATAACCCATGATCCTGCCATTTTTTAAGGTAAGATGATTGATAATAAGCATGTGTCTACATGTGCAAAATGACCTTCACCCAAGACGGTTGGTCATATATAGATTCCAGCAAATAGTTTGTCTTGGTCAAAGAACTGCCATTTTATTTATCATTGCAATATACTTCCATCGAAGAATATATAACTTCTCTGAACAATATCATGTAAATATTTAATAAAATAGATTTAAAATTAATAATTTAAACTTCTAATACCTGTAGTTGTAATTGTAAATTTGGTCCTCATAGACGTTAAAATTGGGTTTCTTATTTTTGTGTAATAGTTAACCAAAATATTAGTAACTGTCAAGCAGCAATGACATGTTTTTAAGAAAAAAATTGACACTAAAAAAATAGCATCCTGCACACAAGGGTCTCATAAAAATGCCATGTTCTGATTGGAAAAGCACGTTTGATAAAAATATATTTAAAACTCTAAAATATTGCTTCGTATGGATTACTCGTAAGTAGTAGGCTTAGTCAACTTTTTTATTACTTAAACGATAAAAATTTTATAATTTGAACAAGATGAATTCACAAAGAATAAAAGAAAAAATAGTAAAAGCAATCAAAACACGAAAGTCTCACATAATTGCAAGAGTTTAATTATGAATTAACCTAATCCATCTAATGTCACCTGTGTAATTATTGTCATATTACTCAATTCTTCTATGACTTATATTCTACTCAATTGCCAATACTCTATTTTTAATCTACTAAAACTTAATGATCACGTGATATTAATATTTATTTTAGAATTATCACTTCTTCTTTTCCTTTGTTTTTAAAAATTATGCATGAGTTAATTTTTTTAAAAAAATATTTATAATTTTATTATACTTTAACGATAATATCATCGTTTAAACTATACTTGTTTTATCATTATTCTTTAAAACTATTGGATAGGGAAGAAAGAAGGTGAAAAAAAAGAGAGAGAGAGATAATTATAATAGTTTCGCAAAGTTTTTGTTTGTCTACATATTAAATAGGAATATAGTTAGGAAAAATAAGTCGTTAATTTCTAAAATAACAAAAAATTCGAAACATAAATTAAAAGGGATGGAGGACCTTTTACCCAATTGACCTTTTTTTGTTGCTAGATGTTGACAGTAACACTTAATCATCAAATCTAAATAAATTTTTTCAAATGAATCGATTTATCAGAAGATAAAGAGACAATAATTTGTCATACCACATATAATATGTATAAATCATAGGTTTCTAGCTTGTGAATTAAAGAAGAAATTAAATTTAACAACGGACAGCTTCTATATTCAGACAGACAGATTCATAATTCCATTAATGCAACAAGTTCAACGTCAGCCATCAATTAAATATATTTATAATCAAGTAATCCAAATTAGTGTGTGGGATTGATCGTATTTGGTGCGTCAAACATGCCATCTAACAAGGACCATTACGCGTTTGATCTTCATTTCCAGCCAGCAAAATACATGAATTAACCTTCAGTCACGCAATGTTTTGTGCATAATAATTTAGTTTACATTAATGATAAACAATTTGTTTGGAGGGCATCCCGACAAACACGAGATATATGTGGAAGAAATTTAGGTCACTAAAGAAATTTAAAGGTTTTCCAGCCCGACATCTGCTTAAACGAGGGAGAAAATTTTCTGTAGCCTTCCAAAGTAAATGATTGTTGCAGATTTTCTGAGTTCAACAAACAGCATTCAGAATTAGTTTACTTGGTTACTAAAAGAAGTGAGGAAGTCTAAACTGTGCTTAAACAAACACAATTCGTTTGACATTTTTTAATTTATGACTTTAATATTAATACTACGTTCAATCTTGAATAATGCCCTATAAGTGCAATATTGACAAATTAATAAATACTGTAAAGTGGGGCAAGACAACAAGAGGACACGAGCATTTCATTCAGAAACCAAGCATATAACTTTGTAAGAACAAAGTTTAACTAGACACGGGAGATATTGCAAGTAGGGGGAACTGGGTAAGAGGGAAGAAAAAGCTAAGAGAAATTAATACAATTATCAATAACCCGCCAATGAGTGTTTCGTTACAAATATTGGACGAAGTAGAAAATCTACAAAGATACTGAGATTACCGGGGACCAAATTTAGCTATAATCTATCATTTTCCTTACTTTTAAGTTCAATGGTCTCAATTTTACCTCGCATGCGCTGATTATACAAAGATCTAACTTTGGACCGATGATGATGAGAAAAGAATTAAAGTTAGGCACCTTTTGTCGTCAATAATACGGTAATACTGGAGCAAATGCATTTTTCACTTTGATTTTTAAGAGTGATTTACATGGTAACATTGAACTAGAACAACTACACTGCCTCAAGTTGTAATTTCATTCCATATGTCTACATGGGTACGTAACCCTATCGACGCTTAAAATAGATGCCCATAAGATATAGACAACCCAATAAAGGGTAACTACAACGACCATCGTGGTAAGCCTACCTTCGGAATATAACAGTAGTCAGGTAAGCACAACTATCAAATTCAATTGCCCCTCTCTCAACACATATTACCATTAAGCGAAAGGTGGGATGCCTTCCAGATGTGGCATTTCTTATGTACACACAGTTCTATACATTGTCTTCATGTCTTTCTAAAATTAAATTTTTATTAAGCTAACGAGGAAGACGATTGTCATGCAAGTGAGTTGCGGGTGCAGTGTGAAACGGGGATGAAACATTATGGAAAAGAACCGGTACCATACTGTGAAACTGCATTGGCAAGACACCATGCGACCTCAGATCAGTATGCTCCTGGAACAAGCACATACAGACATTAAAATTTAAAACCATACCACAATCTTGCTTTCACTAATACTACAATGACAATGAATAAAATGGTCTTCCGGTGCTCAGTTAATGGGCATTTCAAGGGGATGTAGCTGTGTCATTCAATATGCAAAAGGGATTGACTGCCCTACTGCAATCCTAGCATCCTTGTTTCTTTGGTTTTCTTTCTTTTTTCCTTTAGTATTCTTTTTTAATTTACTAATGTTTTTCATTGTTTGAGGATACCATATCATATTCTATGCACATACCAAAATAAATGTAGTCAATAAAGAGTTCAATCTCAGAAAACAGTTATTTTATGGAATTTGATGAATTAGCAGAATTTATTCATGAAAATTAAAACAAAATATAACTACAGACTTGTGATGGAAATAATAAAAGTTAGGGAACAGCATACCATTGGTTGAAAACCATCTTTCCCGCTCACTGCTTCTAGCTGTGATACCTACAACATAAACAGAGCAATCTTAAAGAGACAATTTTAAAAGAAACTGAATACAAGGAGGTCATCATTAATCACCAAAAGGATTACAGACCTTTCCCTTATTTCCTTCACTATTTTCAACACTTCCTAGACCCCTAGCAGTCACACCAGTCCTCATGGTCTTCTTTCCCGTATTCATTTTTGGATCAGAGACCTTATTGTTAGATGCAACAACAGATTGATACTCTTCTTCAACACGACAAACAAGATGGGTACCTGAGGCATCAGGTCTCATACCATTATCAACAGGGTTGTTCAAATTTGCACATTGCTTTAGTGCTTCACTGATAGCACCTAAAGCAATATAGTAACTTTCTTGTGACAAAGAACCTTCTTCACCTAATATTATGGCTCGCCTACATAAATCATTGAATCGCCGGACCTTGGATTGAACATCTTCTAATTTTTCACCAATAGGATGCCTGCTCATGGCAGCATTTGTCCATCTTTGCAATATATACTTTGGTGGAATGCTGAATACACCAGACATTTGTAGAACAACAATAGCATGTCTACAAAGATAACCTTTATATTCAAACAAGTGACATGAACAACATATATCTGAGCTTGATGTGTTCCATTCTACTGCATAGCTTTGATTATTTTCAAAGTCTTTCACGGTATAAGTAGTAGTCACACCATCATTTTCTTTTTTAAGATGGCAAGCAGCTGCACCCAATACCTCAACCTGGAACTTTTTAAAAATTTCATGCGTGTAAACTAATAACATTTGTTTTTCAAAAGGGGAAGGAGACTTCAATTCAGGTGTTTCATGCCAAGCATCAAAATTTGCTTTGGCTTCCTCTTCATGCCTATCTTCAAGAATCACCCAATACTGTTCTATAAATTCTCTCAATGAAGTATCAACATGAACATAGTTGTCAAACAATGAATTTAAACTTTCTGAGCGTGAACTAGAAGACAAGCCAGCAAAAGAAATATCTTTCATAAAAGTTGGCACCCAATATGTACGGTCATTATACAAGGATTGGACCCACTCAACATCCCTAAGTTTAAACCTGTCAACCAACTTCCACCACCTCTTTTCAAATTGCTCCTCTGTCCATGATTTGTATATACATTTGTTAAATTTTTCCAAAAATCTGTCATGCCATGTGCCTAAAAACTCTAGTTGTTTTGGTATCTTTTCCAAAATATGCCACAAACAAAAACAATGACGTGTTCCTGGAAGAAAAGCAGCAACAGCTGCTTTAACAGCCTCATTTTGGTCAGTAAGAATCACTTGTGGAGCTCGTTCCCCCATTGCTATTAACCATGTTTGCAGTAACCAGGCAAAAGTATATATTGTTTCATCAGCAATCAATGCACAACCAAGCAATGTTGGTTGAATGTGATGGTTTACTCCAATGAAAAGTACCAGTGGTAATTTATACTTGCTTGCAAAATATGTTGTGTCTAAAGAAACAACATCAGCAAAGTAAGCAAAATCTTCCAAGCCTTTAGCATCAACCCAGAACACATTTCTCAGTCGATGCTCTTCATTCAAATCAACTGCATAGAAGAATTTTGGATTCACTTCTTGCATGTGCATGAAGAGTTCAAGAAGCAACTGGGCATGCCCTGCTTCTAAAGCCAAGCTTCGTCCCTTATCATGTTGATGTTTCATGAAGTTCTCTAAGCAATCAACAGTTTGATAAGCAGTAAATAATTTAGAAACTGCATTTGTGTTCTTCCGCCTTCTCATCCGAACATCATTACTTAGTGGATCAGAACTCCTGTGACTCCGGAAAAAATGAGCCTGAGCAGGTAACAGCTCATGATTATGTTCCTTCACAAAGCTATACACATACCATTTACCATCCTGCCTTCTCTTCACATGCATGCTTGCTTTACAACCAATTTTAGGAGAAGGGCGTGGATTAATTGCATCATCAGATTGCTGCTTATTACCATATCTTATACATGAAAATTTGGCATCGATAAATTCTTTCGATGCCCTAGATCGCCGACTGCTCAACTTAGCAGTGCCAAACCCTGCAGACTTAGCATATTCTTTGTAAAATATATACGCAGCTTCATGAGATTCAAATTCCATATCATTACGAGGCTCCGAAATTGCACTACCCACAACAACAGAAGAATCCATGACTATTGCAGCAACATTCAGAATTCAGATCCAGTTCACTTCCCGATCAACTAATTCACGTCCAAAAGTATTGCATATATGAAAGATACAAAGGTTTGTCTCAATAATCCTGTAAAGACAGTGCCAAGTGCCAACAATGCTTCATTGAGAGACTTTGCCAGGAGTGAAAAAAATGATCTTCTTGATATGCATATACATTTTTTTGTAAAGAAATCAAGGGCTCAATATTTCAATAAAACAGCCAAAACAGGGTTTTAAAACTTCACCAAAATACTAAGCATTTCCATGCAATTATTTAACTATATATGTATGCATAATTCTATTTTAACAGTCTAGTTTAGCAGAATCTGACTTCATAATATTTAAAATATATTGAAACAGCTTCAAATATACAGTTCCTTGCTTTAAATGAGCGGAATAGCTATCATGCAAGCTTAATCAAAACTTAGATTAAATCATTTATCATTTATGGAAATTGAAGCCGTATATCGAGGATTTAACAACTACCAATAGATATTGCAAGAATAAAAATGAAAAATGAAGCCAAAAAAAATGAAAATGCAAATAATAAGTGAAATATAGAGGAAGCAGAGGTGACCTCACTCGGGGTTGTTTTCCTTCCATATCTTCCTTTGATGCGAGAAAACTACTGCCATACGCACGGATCAAAGCCCTAACCAGGTATTTGAGTAACCTCTTCTCTTTTTATTCCTCAATTTGGCTTCGGAAAGTAAATTAGGGTTTATCTATGGATGATTGTACTCTACTCTACGTACCAGAAGAACATATACACGCACGCAATAAACAGAAATATGGGCTAAGATATACTACTGATTAGACATAATAATCGTGCGCTTTAAGAGTTTGTATAAATATAACAATATATATAATTTACAATAAATAAAATATTTTTAAAAAATCACCCATTTATAATTTAACAGATAAAATTTTAAGCAAAGTATATTTATTTTTCATTGAAATCAACAATATATGTTGATATTTTCTAGTAAAGTTATCTATATATATATATACACACACACAAAGCAAAAAAAGTTGTATATATTGTTTTAATTATATAAAACTCCAAAATTAACCTTTATTTCTGGTTTAATATTTTAAACTCACGAAGAAAATGACAAATAAATATCTAATATTATATTATTTTAATTTTATATTTATTAGACATTTTAATACTACATGTCAAATTTGTAAATTGATTTTTTTTCAAGTTCATTTTTTATATATAAAATAACGTAAGTTAATTAATTCAATGCATGAAAATTTTATCATGAAGATGTATAATTTGTGTAGTTTTTTTTTTAAATTATCTGTAGTTGAAAATTTATAATATAATGCATCGATAGATCATACTGTTGACATGTTAAAGATTTTGAAATAATTTTAATTTTACTATACATTTTAAAATATAATTAAAACAAAAAAATATGATTAATAAGTATTTAATATGAAATTAGATATTTTTTTATTTTAATTAAAAATTAAGTAATGTAAATATAATTTTCATTTTATATTCATTATTTTAAAATATGTTTGCAAGCTAAATTCAATTAAAAACAATTTTAATTTGTATTTGTATTTTAGTATAGATTTTAACTAATTAATTTGAAATAGAATTTTTATTTAAGGATAGCCTTTTTTATTATACACTATGTTTAATAAATATAACATTAGATATTAATGCACAGTCAAGTTCATTTATTCACAAATAAGAGAAAAGTCTGAAATTATTCTTGTAAAGAAACATGTATTATCACATGTCTTTTAATAAAATAATATTCATGACAGGATAAAATTGTGGAAAAAAAATATTTAAGACATGTTTGTTTCGCAATTTTTAAAAGAGTTTTTTGTAACTAAAATTATATGTATTTTTTATTTTTAAAAGTAAAAACTCTCTTAAAAATTGAAACAAATGTACATTTAATAATGAAGGTTTTTTTAAGAAAAATAAGTCACGTCTAAATATAGGAGATAAATCTGAAAACAATAAATTTACTGGATTTGAAATCTATTTTCTTTCATTACAGTTTATTTAATTAAATTGTCCTAATTTTTATGCAGGAAAGTTTATTTGAAGACCATGTTATTTAAAAACGTATTTTAATATATTTTTATTATTAATTAAAAATTATAAAATTTACATCAATCACATTTTAAACTTAACACTTAACGGCTATTATTTTTAATTTAATAGTTTTTATATTTTAAAAGTTCTTAATAAATTTTAATTAATAGTTGTATTAAAAAATAGGTTGATATCATTAATTTTTTGCAATTTTTTGTATGACCATAGAACATGAGTACATTTTACTTTCAAAAAATCAGATTTTAGTCATGGTTTTCTAGAATTCCAATTTTGTGAATATGATGATATTCAGATCATTTTATTATATAATGTTTTTATTACCATTATTGTTCATACTGGATAACCATAGTCTATCATTCCATATTATATTAGATTATCTCTCTTTCTTCAGCAAAGTTGTTTTAAAATATTATTAAATTCAATGAAACTACCATTAGCATTCTTAATTACCGACAAACACATGAATAATCGTGCATTTGTTTAAAGAGTTATATAATCTAAAGTTCTAAAATCATAAAAAGGTGATTTAACTAAGATTAAGGACGTGAGGATCCAGTAGTTAATGGCGTAAATCACAAACTTAGATTATAATAAGCTGTAAACTTATTATAATCTTTGGCTTCGTTGGCTGCAACTTCCCAATCGCAGGTTCGTCCACCCTATGCCAATAGTCAAATTTTAACACCTATCAGTCTTAAAAGTTAGTTTTACCATTTTACTATTCTCTTGCGAAGACATTTTACAATAATTAATGCCAAGCATTGTACTTTTTCGGTTTTTATAAAGATTTTTTATCTGTCATTTTTAATAATTGTAAACAATATAAAATATTTATCAATTAATGTTTATAATGTGCAGCAACAGATAAAAATATTTAATGCAGTTATATATTAAATATTTTTTAAAAAAATTATTGTTTTAATTACTCTCAATCCAAAAAATATTCTCTTTTATCGATGGCCTAAAATTTTTTTTATTAAAAATTAAGCGCTAACCATTTCGCTAAAAATCGCATTTAAAATGCATTAATAACATTTCTAATAATTTATTTCATTTCTCAATTAATACTTGAAGATTTTAATCACTATTTATCTAATATAAATTTTTTTATTAATTATATTCTTATTTTAAAATGAAAAGTATCTATTTTAATGAAATGACAATTGTTGACTAATTAATAATATATATAATAGAATTTAAGTGAACTGTCTTAATAAATTTAGTTGAAATTTAAAAGGAGAGTTTTTGAAGGAAAAAAGTAAGAAATTTTTAAAAAAATTTAATTAAAAAATTATATATCATTTATGATAATAAATAAATTATTAATATATTAAATTTAAATTAATAAATTTATTTATTTTATATTTAAATTTTTTAAAATATATTTATTTAAAATATAAAATGTATCATCAACTTCTCTTTCCTTCAAAATTTGTTTCAGTTTAAAAGAAAATTAATAAAAAAAAAATTTATGATATTTTAGATAAGTGAGAGAGTTTAAGTACTTTTACGTAAAATAATTCTAATCATTAAATTCATATAAATAAACAATAAAATTAATAATTGAGTTAAAAATGTTAATAATTTTTCATCATTAAAATATTAAAAAATTATAACTGTTAATTTAAAAAAATAGAAAATATATTTCAAATTTACGGATACTTCAGCAAGTAAAGTTAATAAAAGGAAGCTGTTTAAAAACAATATCCCTTGCTTTTCAAACTTTTGGGTAGCTTATGATCAATCGTGTAGATCGTAATTTTGATGTCAGTGATGAGATCATCGCGATTTCATTTTTTAGGATTCAGGCCTCTGATTGAGGGATTTTTTAATAAATTAAAAAAAAAAGACTGTCATAGTATTTATTTTCAGACAATTCTATGGAGATGTCATGCATAGTAAATCATTTAAAATATGAATGTTCCTATCTCAAGCCAAGCGTGATGTAACACCATTTTTCTCTGTTGTCTCACTTGATATAAAACTCATATGATCATATCTTCGTTATTTGTAAAAATTAATATAATATGAAAAATTCTTTCCATTTTAACATCAAAACATGAAGTAATTAAAAGTATACTTATAAAGACAGTAGAAAATACAAGTTTTTTTAATATTTTTTATAATTATTATTAAATATATTTTCTTATAAATATTTAATTATTGATCGCTATGTTCAAATTAATAATATAATTTATTATTTTTTTATAATTTAGAAAAATTTATAAATCAATTATTTTTAACATATTAAATTTTATATCAAATCTAATAATTTACTGTGTATTAATTTAATTTTTGTTAATTTTATTTTTAGATTTATCAATTCACTTACTTTTTTTATTAATATTGGTTGTAGAAAGAAAAAAATATATTTATTAATTATCTAAGTAAATATAATATAGTATTTGTGATTATATAAAAATAAAATAATATTTTAGATGAAAAAAAAGTTATAAGTTATAAATTCTATTATTTTGAGATAAGTAATTATCACTTATTAATAAAAAAAGTTATTTTATTAACTAATTAGTATCTAAATTCATAAAATTACATCTATTTTTACTTAACATAAGTATGATTTTTTTATTTTTTTTTTTATATAAGTGTTAATTTTTTTATATTATATAAGATTTCAGTCTTTTTTAAACTTTCTATAATAATATATATTTTGACTAAAAAAAAATTTAAAGTGTATTTAATATGACAGCCGAGGATTTCATAATCCCCTTCCAGGTAGCACCAAGAAAGAAAAATGCACGTCTTCATTAATCGTTTGCACAAAAGGAGCAAATCTACCGAGTTAAACACATTTTAACGATCAAATTTTAAAAACAGGTGTCTTGGATCACTTTTTTTTTCTTCTTCTTAAAATTCAATCCACAAATATCTTTAAACACAAGACCACGTAATAAACAATACATAAATTTATTATATAAGCATAGTCTGCGTCACGTAAGCGACTTATATGCATTTTGTTTTGAAATCCTTATCCATTTAAAATAGCATGATTTGCTTCGTAAAAGACTGCGTCATGTTTTGAATTTCAGTTAGCTTTAGTAAAAAAAATATAATAATAGGAAGAATTACTGAAATGTTGAGTTATATTATTTTTATAATTTCATTTTGCAGCTTATTAAATTACTTAATTTTCTTTTTATTTTAAAAAAATATAACTTTCAAATTATAAAAATAACATTTTAGAAGTAGTTATATATATCTAATAATAACTGACTGAAAGAAAAATAAAGAAAGAAAAGGACAGCTGTATGCCTGTATGCACCCCAACAAAATGGGGATTGATTTTGTCTATACGTGGTTTATTTATGCAAAAATAATCAATCTGGGACCACATAAAGAAATGGGTTTCAAAAGATATATAATATTTACAGTTATTTAAGAATAAAAAATTGTAAATATCAAAATTTTCGTGTATATATATAAAAAAATTGGATGTATACCTAATAGATATTTACAAAAAAAAAAAATTTAAATTGATCAGATGTTTATCTACTCACTGAGATTAAACTTGAGTATGAATAATTGTTAAAAATGATTTTCCAATTACGTCAAAGAATTTTGTTTAAAACGCTTTAAAATTCATAATTAAATTGTTTTTTTTATAATAATAATAATAATAATGTTCACGAATAGACCCTTAAAATGATTATCCACGCAAGTACGAGTAAGAATAGCGGTACTTATCTTAAATAAAATTATAATGCTATAATACCTTCTCAACTGTCATCCTTACGTCTAACTAGTGATTAGCCACACATTTTAACCACTTTTGTTTTATTTTGGCTGAATGAGACGTTTTCAAATTGTGAATAAATACTCAATACTCATAATATATTTTGAGTTTATTAAATATTTTTAAAAAATAAAGATATGGAAAGATACGTAATCAAGAGTTATAATTTTCATATATTATTAGTACAAAAGAATATTATTAAATAAATAGAAATAACCTTAATCATGTTTTTTATGTTCTAAGTCTTTCATGTGAGACATGAGTTACATTGTGGCGAGGTTTCTTTGGTTAATTTGGCAACAGAAAGGATGAACATACACAAGTGCTTGGTTGTATTGTAGTGTTATTTAATGCATCGCATAAAAAATCCCGGGACAGCTGCCACACTGCCTCCATAATATTCGAATCAAGTTTTCTCTTAACTGCACTAACTTTCCAATTTTTTATTAAAAGTTATGAAAAAACGCTTTGAAAATTAACCACCGTCAGATTTAGAACTGCACCTTAGTTAAAGGAGGGAATCGAGTTCCACAATGAATGCATGCATATGAATTTTGTACTTGTTATGAAATAAACATGATGGTACTCATGTAGGAGGGGTAACTAAGTGTAATTACAGAGGTAACTTAGATTTAAAATTTTCCCAGAATGTTAAAGAATGAAGTGTGATCCGTTAGGCATAATTGCATCCACTTTTTATGCACACATTGCATTATTGTGTATGGTGCAGTGCAGCATAACAAGTAACAACAACAGTGGAGGTAATAAAGTCATTTCACCTCGTACCCTTCCCATTTTATCAACTAAAAATTTGGATTTATTTTCTCGCTTTCTCTCTTCGGAACTGCACTAGTGTCTGATACCCTCATATTCTTTTTCTTCCTAAAAGAGGGCATTATGGTAAAATCAGTCACGCAACATCCTAAATCTGAAACCGAAGATTTATGGCTGTGTTTTGCTTTTCATCGGCTGCACTGCATAACCAGAGAGAGAGAGGAATTATTGTTATTATTATTATTATTATTATTATTTAAAAACAACTCTTTTCTTTCTCTCTCTTAAAGCCCACAGCTACCATCTCCACCACCCTAATCACAACATAAACACAAATAAAAAGAAAAAATAGAAAAAAAATAACTCAGCTGTTGCTTTTGCTGCCAATCGTCCCGTGAGTTGAGTGATTCACTTGAAGAACCAAAAAAACAAGTTATAATTTTTCCGCCACCTTTTTTCTTTTTACTTCCTTATCCGATTTTGGGTTCATATAGATCTGAGTAAAATTGCTGGGTTTTCATTTTCCAACCCTTTTCTGTTTTCTCTCTCTTATCCAGCACGTGTGAAACAATGGAGTCAGATCTTCAGCAACAGCCGCAGGTAAATTCTTCAGGTTTGACGCGATACCGATCGGCGCCGAGTTCGTATTTCACCAACATCATTGACCGTGAGTTCTACGAGCACATTTTCAATCGACCTTCTAGCCCCGAAACAGAGCGAGTTTTCTCACGCTTCATGAACAGTTTAAGCGGTGAAGGTGCAGCAGAGGAAGCACTCGATCAAAAACTCTCTACTGATTCTGCAGTTAAGGAAGAGATTAACCAGCAGCAGGAACAGGTCATCAGCGATGAACACGTGGTTCTCCAGCAGAGTAATAGTATTGATAATTATAACTCTGCTTCTCAGACTTTTTATCAAAGCTCAGCAAGACCACCTTTGCCAAATCAAAACGCGTTTTCAATGGAAGTTAATCGGTTGCCGCAGACGCAGATGAAGACCGGTGGTGGAAATCATTCCAATCTTATCAGACATAGTAGCTCACCAGCAGGACTATTTTCCCAAATTAACATTGAAAATGGTATGTTGTGTATCCACTTTATTTTCCTTTATGTTTTTTTTTACTATTTTTGTTGAATTTTTTTTTCTTACAAGGTACAATAGCATACCCAATTTCTTTTTCTACTTAGAAAAAAAATAAAAATAAAAATAAAATTTTTCTTGGAAAAATACTAATTCAAAATTTTTCATGCCCAAATTTAAAGTTTTTTTTTTTTTTTTTACACTACTGTTAAATCACCAAAATTTGAAAATTTCTGATTATTATTTGTTGTTAAACCTATCAGTGATGAAAAAGGAAAAGCCAATTTATGTTGGACTAGGTTTGGGCTAATTGGGGTATTTGGTATCATATTTGCCCCAATCTTTGTATTTGTTTACACTGAATAATAGGTTTGTAGGTTGTCATAATGACGTTATGCAAGCTTAATTGGCAGGCTATGATGTTATAAGAGGCATGGGAACTTTAGGGGCTGTTAATAACTCTATCGAAGAAGCGAAATTTTCTACTGCAAAGAGGTTGAAGAATCCGCAAAACTACTCGTCAGGGCGAATGTCATCAATAGCTGAAATTGGGGATAAAGTCAATAGAGAGAATAATCCAGACAGTGAAGCTTTTGCTGAAAGCCACGGTAACGATTTTATCACAGGTTTCCAAGTTGGTCCTTGGGATGATTCTGCATTGATATCTGACAATGTTAGTGGTCTAAAAAGATTTAGAGAAAACGATGCAAAACCATTTTCTGGTTTAAATGCAGCTGAGACTCAGGTAGAATAATAGTAGTAATTCTATTATGTAGTATTATATATATCTGACATTGGTCTTATCTTATGTATGTTTGTCAGTGGAATGTCATTGACGTGATTTTGTTGTCTTTAATCAGAATGAAACTGGAGGACAGTCTCCTACTCCTTTGGCCCATCACTTGAGTTTGCCAAATACTTCAGCTGAAATGGCAGCCATTGAAAAGTTTCTGCAGTTCTCAGATTCTGTCCCATGCAAAATTCGTGCCAAACGGGGCTGTGCCACTCATCCAAGAAGCATTGCAGAGAGGGTACGATTTATTTTATTGTAACCAAATGTTTCCCCTTTTTCTATCCTCACTTGTACTTCATTCTTGATTCTAAAGTAGACAACCTGATTTCCCCACATCACTTTTCTCAATTTGGAAAGCATCAAACAGTTTACATTGTTACTTATTGGATGCTAATAAGGAATGATTAGAGCAAGTGGTGGGTATCCACAGTGGAGTAATGTTTTTTTATTAATGGTTATTTTTGTTAAAAATTCCTTCAGGTTAGAAGAACTAAAATTAGTGAGCGTATGAGGAAACTACAAGATCTGGTCCCAAACATGGACAAGGTAAGAGTACTGAGACATCATGGTGTGTGTTGATACTGGAGAGTGGTGGCATAACGTTATTTCTCTCCCATTTGTAGCAAACTAACACAGCAGACATGTTGGATTTGGCCGTTGATTACATCAAAGATCTTCAAAAGCAAGTTCAGGTACTTCGAAAAGCCAACTTTTATCAATTATCAACAAAGTCAATATGTCATTTATTACTGTGGCATTTTACCCATTAATCACTCACTTTCTTCCCACATTCGTCTATATATATATATATATATATATATAGACACTTTCAGATTGTCACTCTAAGTGTACGTGTTCAAAAGAGCAGCAACAATAACGGCAAAGAAGACCAACTTAATATATGTACATATTAGCAATAATTTGGTCGCAAAGCTAGAATCTAGAAGATAATTAGCGTTTCTATGTTTCTGCACTTACAAAGATAAATTTATTTGGCCCTTCATGTATTAAAAAAAAGGGGATAAAGATAAATTTATGTAGCTGTAGGGTGCGAGTGTGCCACTTCTTCAACGGTTGCGGAGGTGGGGGAGAAAAATCGCTTATAAAAGTTGACTTTTGATGGTGCATGAGCAAAGCGTGTGTGTAGAAAGTTGATGTTGTAACTTGTAAGTTTACGCCATTGGAGACCCCATTTTAGGGGATGGAAAAATGAGAAAATTTATTGGTATTGCATTAACGTACGTGTTTGGTTTCACAATGAATGGCATAGGAAACATGGGGGGGCCGAGACCGACATGGTTTCGTTGGTTATACAGTAAATGTGAGGTTTACCGTTTTCTTTCCTCTAGATGTGTTCGATAAAGCCAATACGGTGGTTGTCATATCCATTTTTGGGGTTTCATTATCTCAAGCCATTTATGAATGGTGCAACTTCCTTGTTATGAGGATTGATTTTTGGATGCTATCTATCGCCAATTTCTATTCGACTATTTTAGTTTTCAAGATTCATTAAATTTCTCGTCCTTTAAAAATCCAATTTCATTTACTTGTTTTTAATATTTAGATGATTTTTTTATATATATTTACATAAACTTGACGAAAAACCAATGATATTTAAAGATATTAACAAATAAATTTCATAATATTTAAATGGGCTAGATTAAAAAAACACAAAATGACACGTTTGCTCAACTTCTAAAATGAGTTAATTTACTATTGTTGTTGGTGCCGCATTAGGGAAGTTTTATTAAAGGGAAAAACAGACATGTATTATTTTGATTTGGTGGAATGTGTTGAGTCACTTGAATTGTCTGATAACTAAAATGAACAGGGAGAAGAAGAGAATATAGTTGGGGATGGATGGGCGAAAGAGGAAAATGAAATGGGTTTTGAGTTACTGGGAATCGATATGCTTTGGAGAGAAAAAGTAAATATCGATGGATATGGAACAGCTGGAAGCAATGGACGGGACGAGTCAGCATATCCCTGTTGGTCCAAATGTGGGGTCCAATTTCATTTAAGTGAATGCCATGTCACATATGATGTCACTCAGCGTTGAGGGAGGTAGGTACCTGCATCAACCTATTAATGGAAATAAACAATTCACAACAATGTACAAATAATTCAAAATTCAACTTGATCAATTTTTGCTCATTATTATCATAAGGTTATATAAAATAAAACTTTATTAGATGTGTGAAGTTAACGTTTCTTACCCTTCATTTGATTTTTGATTTTTCGTAGCTGCTAAACCAAGTCTTTGGCATGTAAAATGGTTGAATGAATCAGTCTTTTTCGATTATTATTGATTCGGATGGGGATGGGGATGGGGTGCGTTGCCTGCAACTTGCAAGCGTCTTTTGCAAATTTGTGCTTTCGTTTCTATTAATCTCTTTTTCTGGGGGCGGGGCTCATCTGAATATGTCAAAGCACACGGATTCATAATATACCAATTCACCCATGTTACGTCCTACAAAGGGAAAGAGATTCTATAAATTGAACTCATTTTCTCTTCTCTTTATATCGATATCATATTATTCTATCAATTTTAACTATTTTTCTTCTGATTCCATTCAATAATTGTTTTAATAAACTAAACATGTTTAATTGCTAAATCCATCTGTTATTAAATGTGATAAAAAATAATAATTTTTTACTAAAATTTATAGTATATAATGTTATTGCTTTAATAATTCATGATATCATTTCATTTTTAATAAAAGAATACATTGTACGTAAATTATTATTTATATTCTTAATACATGATAGAAAAATCGTTTTAATTATTCTATTTTAAAAACTATATAAAGTTAGATTAAAAAAACAACAATAGGTGACACAATCTAGGAAAAAAAATTGATCTTGATTGTGAATAAGTATTTATCGTTTTTGCAAAGAGGAATTGGTTGGTTAAGTTCGGCCAAGGCTTGGATTTAGGCCTAAGAATATTTTTAATTTATTAACAATGCTTTTTATTCAATTTTTTTTAATAACGGCTTGATCAACAATACTTTTTAATCTATTTACTGATGGTGCATTTAATAAAAATAATTTTTTTAATGTAATCATAATAATTAATTTAGATCATATAATTATACATAAATAAAAACTAAAATTAATTAAAAAGACAAAAACTTAAAATGTTTATGATTTTTATGTTTTAATGTTAATTATTGATGATAAAATATGTAATAGATATTTTTAAAATTATCAAATTGGCGCCATGAAAATTGTCGTTGTAGTAGTTAAAAATACCTTTGATGTATTATCTATTGTTTGATCTTGTGTATAAACTATGAAATTCTCAAAAGCGAGGAACGAGTTTTTATATTAAAAATAAATAGTAAATTTGTAAATAAAAATTAAGCATGCATCTGTCACAAAAACACTCTTTTTTCTTTTGGTAAACCAAACAAGTGTCTTGCAGTTATGATTTGTAAGCATGTAATTTAAAGCATGATTCTATTAAAGAAAAAAAAAAGCTAATGAAAGAATTAGAGCTTGTTTATTTATTTTTTAAATACAAATTTTTAAAGTAAGCTAAAATAAAATTTATTTGTTAATATAAGTTTTATTTTCTAAATGTTTTTTTAAAATATAATTTTTAAAAAATAAAAATAAAAATAGAAACAGTCAAGTCCTTACACTCTTAGTTATTATTTTGTTTGAGAGGAGAAGTAGAAAAGAAAAAATAAGAGATTTCATACAAATGTATTTACAAGTATTTGATTATATTATAGAGGATAAAAGGTAAGATAATGATAAAATAAAAACATTATTTTTTGTAAATCTAACAATTGTCCTAGGTTATAATTATCTCTCATTAGCAAAAAATAAACATTTAAATCACATATACTTACTAATGATAACAAAAAAACAACAGAATGAAAGAATAACGCTATTAGTTAGTGTTTTGATTGAGAAGAATATAAGAAGTAAAAAACAAAGTTTTTTCATACAAAATAATTATTTAAATAAAATATCATAATTATTATCTATTAGAGTTGTAAATAAAAGCAGTAAAGATTTTCTCCAACCCAAATAAAATATAGGCTTTACTGCTACACCTTTATATTTAAATAAGAGTATGTTATTCCAACACTACATACTTTATTATTTAAATATAACATACTCTAATTTTAAAATGCATATTTTTAAAATATATTTTTATTCTTATGATTTAAAATTTTAATACCTAAATTAATTACACACATAAATTTATATATACAAAATGTAATTTTTTTATTTATATTCTTATCTTTGATAAAAATATAGGTTCAATTTTTTTAAAAAAAGTTTCAAGAATGTTTAGAAAAGTTTACAATAACAATTTACGTCCTTTTTACGTCCTTTTTAAGTTATTTTGATAAAAAATTAGATAATTTACTAAAATAAATTATTTTCAATTTATGTTATAAATTTCGTAATTAAATTTATGATATACCGTTCTAAGTATTAAAAAATATTAAATAAATACTTAAATTATCATTCAAACATATTCTTATGCATTAATATTTAAATATTTAAAATATATTTCTTAAAAAAAATCGGAGAAATAGGGTAAACAGAGACAGGAAAGAAAATTGTTTGGGGGATGTAAGTTTTGTCTGCATCGAATTTTCACCATTTCTCCGTTTTGTCTTGGAGCATAACAATATCACTGCTTATTATTATTATTATTATGTTGTTGTTTCCCTCTCAATTTCAAATGTTTGAATGCACCGATAAAACCAAACGCTGAAACGCTGCGTGTCGTTTCAACCACGCTCCCATGGACGATGACGTTCCACCATCTCCATTCGTCGTAACCGTAGCTTCATTCTCTACCTCCCGGCGCCGCCTCTCCGCCACATTCGCTGAGCCGAGCCGCCCTGTCTCCTCGGCGAAGCCGGTGGCGTGGATATCACTCCAGGGACGGATACTTAACGCCGATGAAGCCAGCTCGGCGCAAACCATCGGTGGCGGCTTAAGCGCAGAGGAAGCCCTGGCTTGGAACCTTTTCCCTCCCGTTCAAAGGTTCCTCATAGTGGCTGTCATTGGTGCTGCCGTTGCACACTCCCAAAAGAACCTTCAGATATGTCACCTCAAAAAGTCCGTTGAACTAAGGGTAGGGTCCCTAAATTTGCATTTCTCACTTCAATTAATTTAGTGCATATGATAGTAACGTGAATGGAGTCGATTTCTTTGTACTCAACTCACTTTCAATTTAATAATTTACACATATTTAGTTGGGGTCACTCAATTGTAGCTAGCGTTCATTTTTCGTGGCAATAAATTGGATTACCGTTACGGTTTCCGCTTTCAAAAATCAATGCTCGGTTCTAATGTATGCAACATGCACTGCTGCTTAATACCCTTTGAAAAAATGATTCTATCACTTTAAAGTTTTTTTGTGATTTTACTGTTGCAAAAAGGGCTAGGATTCTCTATGTTGATTTTTAGTAATCTGTGTTTACTCCAATTTTTCTACTTTTGTTGAACATGGGGCTGTTTCTTTGCTGGTCTGCAATGGTGTTTTTGATTTATTATTTGTAATATAAATTTCTTTGCTTGTTTGTCTGTCTAATTTGTTATCACAAAAAAAAAGTGATATCGTTGTATTTAATCATTTTATTACTATTTGCCAGGATCAGGTTCTGTCTAGCATGCAGCAGAAGCTTGACAATCTCTGCGAGCTGGTTAATAGTTCTAAAGAGCATTCAACTACCGCCATCGATAAGTCACCCACCAAGGATAGAGAGTTGGAATTGAATGAAACTTTTGGCACCGAGAAAATTAAGTTTGTTGATTGTGGTTGTTGGCATTGTGAACAGCACTCTGCTTTCTTTGATGAATTGATGGTAAGAGCTCATCCTTACTTACGCTGATTATACTATCATTGCTTTCTTTTGATGTTGCGGCGCAATTATAACGGTGCATATTCCCTAACACACAACAACTTGGCTTTGATCACTCATTGACTTTGTCTGCAGGGTGCCTCTGTTACAAGAGCCTCCTGTGGAAATGAAGTGCTCCAGTATAAGATGCCCTTCTCTAATGAAGAACAAGAGGAGAGAAGAATGTCTGACTTGTCAGATTGGGCTTCAAGTGTCACATCTGCTGCTGATATTCAGGTACTATTTTCTTCAGATTCATCTTTGTTGGGGGTGCTATACGAGCAAAGGGACCAACTTTTCATCTAAGCACCTTGAGTAGCATCAACATTTGATTGCACGGAATATGTGTAATTTTGTAAATGTTTACCTTTTAGTTAAATGGTGACGTTATTCTTTTTGAAGAAATTGGTTTCTTCTTTTCAATTTTGATTGAACAGATTAGTGGAATGTTTTTCTAAGGCTATGTGATCTTGATAATGATTTTTCTGTAATAAGGATGTCAGAGATGAAAAGCATCAAATATTTTTGTAGCTTGTTTTCATTCTAAGTCCTGGACTTTAATGGGAACCAGGATAATTAATACTAATTGTTTAACTATATTGTTGTATTGGACATGGTTAATTGTAATTACAAAATTGTATTGATAGTTGGTTCTACTTTCTTGCTTTCTTTTTTTTTATATATTATTTTTTCAGGTTTTCTTGTGTTATATTAGTTCCATCATCATTTGAATATTAATTGCGAATATACATTTTCTTTTCTTTTCCTTTCGGATTCCTTTATCATGCATTCTGTTATCCCCAGTTAAACAGCTTAGCTGAGGAACAAGATATTTATAATCTTAAGAGGGACTGTGAAGAGAAGGATATCACGATAAAGGAGCTAACCACACTGTTGAACTCTTCTGAGGTTGCCAATTACAAGGTAATACTCATCTGCATTTTATCCTTGGAGATGATAATTTGCAACTTTTTTTCCCGTTTTAATCCACTCATTACTCTGGTATTTAAAACAGAGGGTTGCTGAATTAGAAGACATCGTACGGAGGAAGAATTCAACAATTTCAAAATTAAAGAAAGACTTGGTGGTTCTAGAACAAACGGTAAGATGCAGCTATACAAGGTGTAATAAACAAAATTGGGACGCACCGGTTTGGTCTTTGATGTCTTGCATGATAAGAAGCCAAACCCAGTAATTTGAATTATAAGTATACGTTAAATTACTATATGCTCTCAAAGGATTGCAAAACAAGAAGAGTTTCTTATCTACAAATTTCAAATGTTTCTTATATAACTGACTCTTTCGCAATTAACTGCAGGTTGTGCAGCTTTCAAGACTTCGCAGACCCTCTTTCTCTACCAGCGGATCAAATGGCGATCAATTGCCGCACATGACCGATAACCTCATTTATGATATGGATAGCACCACTAGCTCCTCATCTTCTGATTCAGATTGTTCTCCTACCTCCATTGCACCAGACCTTACGGGTGATGTCAATGTCCTGAATCAGGGTTCTGCTTCCACAATTGATCAGAAACCTGCACCAGCAAAAGTCTTCAGTTCATCAAAGAGAGTTTCTGAACGTCATTCCAAATCTCGATCCCTTAGTCCTCACAAAGAAGTTTCAACTGGCCGGAAACCTAATGCATCTTCTTCAGGCCAAAAGCAATTGTCAGCTCGTGGAGACTTAAAAAAGAATAGAAGACGATCTCTTAATGGAGACAAGGGTGCGACTGCACATAAGAAATGGGTATAGTAATGAGTAAGTAATCTAGAATCATGTCAACATTGTTACTTGAATTTGCCATAACTTTTATTTCACTGTATTTTGATCCTCAACTATTCCTCTGACTGACTGACGCTGAATTTGAAGCTAAGAATCTTGGCATCAAAGCTTCAAATATATTATCAAAAGCAGCAAATTTCTTCACATGATCCAAAATTTTTTTTACATAAACTAAGCACCAAGTCACCAACTAGTGCCACGAATAAATACATCTTTTTGGTTTCTCGTTTTAGATTGAAATCGTCTTATATTAAGAGGTGACTTCGCCATCTTTTTCTCTTTGTAGGCTGCTGTGGGAAATGTAGGTCGGAGGGGACAGGTTGCGCTAATGTTCTGCAATTAGCCAATGCGATCGTGTCAAACATAAGATGGTAAATACTCTCAAGGCGTCTATACTATTTAAATACTTATTGCACATTATGGTTTAGATTGATAATTGCAGATCGCAGCATAGGGATTTTATTTTATTCAAATGTAGTTATTAGTAAGTGCTGTGTAACGGATGTTTATTTGTTTTATAAATATCCTAATGGACTGTTTTGGTCATTAAATTTGGTCGATCGATGGTCCATTTGTTTATCATGTGATTGAAGAAGCTGAAACGAGTGAAACCTCGATGTCGTGTGAAGCTTAACTGGCTTAAAACTCCTAAAAAATTCATATTTCTGGGTTTTCGAATGACACTTATTTTATTGACTCATATTTTTCCTTTTTTATAGTCCAAAAGTAGAAAAGGACTGAACATGTTTGATCTGAAACTTTTTATTCACCTAACATCTAATTGATTATAATTTATTATTTTATTACTGTTAAATATAAATTAAATATAAAAATTTTTAAATTTATACTAATATAAAAATATCTTCTCTTCTTTATATATATATATATATATATATATATATATATATAAATAAATAAAAGAGAAGTGTCAACAGAATATAATTTTAAACATATTTTTATTAATAATTAAATTTTAAAAATATTTAAATTTCATTCTTAGTTTAATAATTTATTCATATTTTTATAAATTTTAAATAATAAGAAAATTATATAAAAATATTATAAAATATATTCCTTTTTTTTAGGGGGTCAACTATTCCCTAATTCTTCTGGTCTGCAAAATGGATTGAGGTGTGCGCAACAAGCATATGGGCGTGGCTGCGCTTTGCAATACGAATTTCATTTGGTCCAACGTTTTGAGAAGCTTCCCACCAGTCAGACTCAGTCCACGTATGTACACGCCTTTTCTTTGTCGGCGGATACTGCATTCATCGCCCAGTTTCTAGAGTCAACACACTTTTATGAGGAAATATCTATTGAATGAATACAATTTTTCAAATATTAAAGAATTTCCAATTTAGGTTTTCTTTATAAAAAATTACAAGTGATTACCACTTTCATCCCTAAATTTGCATGTGTTCATCAGTTTTGTTCCTAAGCTTTTTAAAATATTACATTAATCCTTAAAATTATTATTTATATTAATTATTGTTGTTAAGCAACGTTAAAAATAATTAATAGGATAACGAGTTGACGTATTAAATGAATATGTCAAAGAATAAAATGACGTTGCTTTGTAAGTTTGAAAGGCTTGCAATGAGAATGCAGATAGAGAAAATGTTCTTGTTAAGATGGAGAGTGAAAAAGTGAGCAAAATAGTTGACGAAAAGAGAAATTTTGCTAGAGAAGTTATTATGAAACGAATCAAGTTAAATGGTTGACTAAAATAGAAATTTTGGAAATTGTTGTGGAATAGATCAAGACGAGTACAACCAAAGAAAAGTTATGTGATGGTCATTAAGAATGCCAAAGATGTTTTTATGAGATTGATCGAGACTGAGTGTAAGAAAAAAATGATGTTACAATTGTAAGGAACTTCGCAAAAAAAAATCACTTTGAGACAAAAAGATAAGTTTCAAAGCAATGAAGTTGGAGAGGTTGGGAATAAGACATGAAAAATGGTTCTATTACAATAAATTTTAAATTTTACTTTTATTAATTGTCGGTTACTTTTATTTATTATTTTATTGCTGACTTATATAAAAAATTTCTATATCTCAATTTTAACATCAATATAAAATAATAGAATATGTTTTTCTCTTCTTTTTTTTTTTTATCTATTTGCCTTGTATCTTTTCTTTTTTCTTTTTATTGAAATGCATCTTTTTCAAGATGGTATCTAGAACTAACATGTTTTCATAAAATTACATTCTCATTCTTCAAGATTTATAGAGTTCTTGTTCACCCAACGATTATGGCAAGTTCAGGAACACCTACACATCAATTTGCATATTACAATACCAATTCTTTAAATCCTTATTATCTCAACAATAATGAAAACACAATTGTGGTGCTTGTTAATCCTCTTCTAAATAACAAAAATTACTATTCTTGGGCTCGGTTGATGAAGCTTGCTCTAAGATCAAAGAACAAGTTAAAGTTCATTGATGGAAGTTTTAAAGAACCTTCAGAATTTGATCCTATGTATCCAGTATGGGAGAGATGCAATCTCGCTGTTGTATCATGGTTGTAATATTTCATTTCAAATTTAATTCTTCCTTCTATTGCTTGTATGGATAAAACCTATGAGATATGGAAGGACCTGAAAAATCGTTTTTCTCAAGGAGATATATTCAAGATCTCTAATCTGCAAGAAGATATTTACAAATGTCATCAAGGTACACAAACACTCACTGATTACTTCACTTAATTAAAAGTTATGTGGGATGAATTAGATGAATTACGTCCTCCCTTTTAATGCAAATGTATCACACCATGTTCTTGTGGATGATAAATACGATTAAAATCTATAGGAATTAAGATCATGTTATTCGGTTTCTCAAGGGATTAAATGAACAATATTCACAAGTCAGGTCTCAAATAATGCTTTTTGATCCCTTACCCCTTATTATCAAGGTTTTTTCCTTAGTAATACAACAAGAAAGTTAGATGAATATAAGAGACAATAACATCACCTTGGAATCAAAGGCATTAGCTGCTAATTCAAAACAATCACCACAACATTATGGACAAGGCAGAGGAATAAATAACTTTCAAAATAGAGGAAGAGGTAAAGGAAGAAACCAGTACAACAATAACAATAGGCGAATTTGCTCACATTGTGGTTGGAGTAATCACACTGTTGATATTTGTTTTTACAAACATGGTTTTCCTCCAGGTTACAAAATTAAAAAATATAAAGATAAATGCAGCTTATGAAGATTTTACTCATTAGACACATATGATAATGGAACCAATACTGGAAACAATAATATTACTTTCACTCATGAGCAATATCAAGTTATTTTGCAGCTTTTACAAAAATCTAAAAATGGTTCATCCTCCACACATGCAACAAATATAGTGCAAAAGAAAAGTCTAGTAAATGCAGCAAGTAAACATTCCAATTATTGGCTCTTAGATACAGGTGTCAATGATCATATTACTTTCATTCTTGAAAATTTTACTAGCTATCATTCTATTAAACCTATTGCTATTACTCTTCCTAATGGTCAAAAGGTCCTTACAAACATATCTGGCACTTAAAATTTTCAATGATTTAATTTTGCATGATATTTTTTATGTGTCAGTTTTTCAAGTAAATCTTGTTTCTGTGAGCAAACTTGCTAAATCTTTACAATGTTCTCTCACTTTTTATCATGATTCTTGCATAACACAGCAGATTTATGCCAAGAAGAGAATTGGTTCAGCTAAATTGTTCAAGGATCTTTTTGTACTTGATACTACCAATCAATCTATTTTTGCTTCTAACTTTGAATAATTGTAATTCATGCCATCTAGATGAGAGTGCCTTATAGCATTTCATAATAGGACATGTTGCTGATAACAAATTTAGGCTTCTATGCAATATGTTTCCCTTTATTCCATACAATAAAATTGCTCCTTGTGATATATGTCATTTAGCTAGACAACAAAAATTGTCTTTTTTTTTTTAGTGAAACTCATACCAATAATGTTTTTGACTTGATTCATGTTGATATATGGAGGCCATATTCTACTACATCTATTTTGGGACACAAGTTTTTCTTGATCATGGTTAATGATTTCACTAGATTTACTTGTATTATTCTTCTAAAATCAAAATCTGAGGTTAGACTATATATTCAAAAGAAAACTTAAGTGTATTAGGAATGATAATGGAGCATAATTTATGATGCTTGAATTTTATCTCAATAAAGGTATCCATCACCAGACCTCTTGTGTTGAGACATCCCACAAAATGAGGTAGTTGAGAGAAGGCATCAATATATTCTCAATATTGCAATAGCCCTTTTTCATCAAGCCCAAACACCAGAAATCATGTTGTCTTTTACTGTTAAACATGTTGTTCACCTCATTAACAGGATTCCTTCAACTTCACTTGGAAATAAGTGTCCTTATGAACTTCTTTATTTTGAACCTCCTACTTTAATTCATCTAAAAGTCTTTGGCTGCCTTGCCTATGCTCGTACACTTGAAACACAGAGAACAAAGTTTGATGTAAGAGCTTGAAAGTCAGTCTTTTTGTGTTATAAGGATGGCACAAAAGGATATCTTCTGTATGATCTATTATCTCATCAAATTTTTACTAGCATAAATGTTCTTTTTTATGAGAATGTGTTCCCCTTCATCCATAGCTTCGATTCTCCTTCAACAGCTACTCCACTAAGATTAAACTTTAATGATAGTATCATTAATGATGATTCTCCACTTATGATAGATTCCACTCCATCTATGAGAGCTTCCTTTGAGCTTATTACAGAATCTGAACCCTTATCAGTCATTCTAAGAAGATCCTCTCGCTCTAAGCGCAGTCTAACTTATTTAAAGGACTACCATTGTTATTATTCTTCCTATGTTACAGCAGCTAATTCTTCTAAAGTTGTCTATCCTTTATCTTTTGTACTTAGTTATTCCAAGTGTTCCCCTCATTATCAACACTTTTGTTTTAATATCATTAAAAATTCTAAACCAACTACATATCAACAAGCTTGCAAGGATGAATGTTGGCGTAATGCTATGAAGGCTGAATTAGATGCTCTTGCTTAAATTGGTACTTAGTCCATTGTTGTGGTAAACAACCCATAGGTTGTAAATAGGTTTACAAAATTAAATACAAAGCAGATGGTTCAATTGATCGATATAAGGCACAATTAGTTGCAAAAGAATATGCACAAATGGATGGAATTGATTACTTTGACACTTTTTCTCCTATAGCAAAGTTCACCACTGTTCACATTTTGCTTGCAATTACTGCTGCTAAAGGTTGGTTTCTTGAACAATTGGATGTGAATAATGCTTTTCTTTATGGTGACCTTCATGAAGAAGTATATATGAAACTTCCTCTTGGTCTCTCACATGTTTCAACCTCAAAGGTTTGTAGACTTCATAAGTCTTTATATGGCTTGAAACAAGCTAGCTGCCAATGGTATGCAAAATTATCTACTATTCTTATTTCTCAGAATTATAAACAATGTGCCTTGGATCATTCTTTATTCACCAAGCTTTTTGGGAATTCTTTTACAGCACTTCTAGTATATGTTACTGACATTTTGCTTGTTGGAAATGACATGACTGAAATTACTCGTATAAAAAGATTTTTAGATTATGAATTTAAAATAAAAGACCTTGGTCACCTGTGATATTTCTTGGGTTTTGAAATTTTAAGATCTAAATCTAGTTTTGTTATCAATCAAAGAAAATATACTTTGGAACTGCTTGAAGATGCTGGTCTATTAGCTTGCAAACATGTTTCTACACCTTTAGACTCTTCTATTAAACTCTCTGCTAATATGGAACCTCCTTATTCTGATGCCTCTACCTATTGAAGACTTATTGGTCGATTGCTATATTTAACTACAACAAGATCTGATATTTCCTTTACTGTCCAACAGTTTAATCAGTTTGTTTCAAATCCTATGACGACTTATTTTGACGTAGCTACCATAATTTTAAGATATTTAAAAGGATCTCCTTCCAAAGGATTGTTCTTCTCTTCTCAATTTGATTTCAAAGTTGCTGCTTTTACTTATTCAGATTGGGCAAACTGTAATGAATCTCGTCGGTCTGTTTTTGGCTACTGTATTTTTCTTGATCCAACCTTGGTATCTTGGAAGTCGAAGAAACAATCCACCATTTCTAGATATCTCTGAAGCCGAGTATCGAGCCCTTTCTCATTTATCATGTGAGTTGTAATGGATTGTTACATACTTGACGATTTTTAAATCTTGCCTTCTCAGCCTGCTGCTGTGTATTGTGACAATAGCTCTGCCATTCATATTGCCAAAAATTCAACCCTCTATGAGGGTACGAAACATATAGAAATTAAGTGTCATGTGACTTGAGAGAAACTTCAATATAGTCTACTTCAATTATTTCTTATTTCATCCTCATATCAGATTGCTGATATTTTTACTAAAGCTTTACTATCAATTCCTTTTCAAAACATTATATCTAAATTGAACATGTATGATATACATAATTCACTTTGAGGGAGGGTATTACAATAGATTTTAAATTTTTCTTTTATTAATTGTTAGTTATTTTTATTAGTTATTTTGTTGTTGATTTATATAAGAAAACTTTGTATCTCAACTTTAACATCAATATAAAATAACAAAATATATTTTCCTCCTTTTTCTATCCATTAACTTTGTATCTTTTCTCTTTTCTTTTTATTGAGATGCATCTTTTTCAAGAGGTTCACATTAAGCGCCAGGATCCTCTCATGTTCGATTTCGAACATGACGGTCATGTTCGCATGTTTTTTAACTTTCGCTTAAGCGAAATTTTTACTCGCTTAAGCGAATGTTAAAAAATATGCGAACATGACCGTCATGTTCGAAATCGAACATGAGGGGATCCAAATCCTCACATTAAACATGGCTTGGTGCTTGTGTTTTATGTTGCGAGGCTTTTGGACATGTCTCAAGTAATTTTGAGTTTGTGGAACCTTGAACAAGAAGAATAAAATGGAAAAATATCTTATGCTTCAATCTCGTTCTTGGGTATGCGTCTTGTATGAACAAGAATTTTGAAAAATTCAATAAGGATTTAGGTATCTTGTCGTTCAAGTTTTACAAACTGAGAAGGTTTAGATTGAGAATGCGTTTGAAGATTTTTTTCACTAAGAGTGAGAAGTTGCGTTGAAAAAGTGATGTGACAATAATGGTACATAATAATTTTACTGCTCGTAGAGTCGTAGGCCACATAGTCTCGAATCGCATAATAATCTTTCAATTTAGTGACGTGAAAATGCCATACAATATCATCTAACGTGTTAACTTTTCAGTTTATTGATTTTTTTTAATGTTAATATTAAAACTAACACAATCTTTTAAAAACTTTAAAAATAAAATTGACGAATGCATATAAATTAAAAACAAAAGTGGATATTCACTTTTTTCATATGGGAGTAAAACAGTGTACATATTTTTAAAGAACTCTGTGCAATATCTAATCAATGTTATATGGCATTTGACTGTGTCCTAAATCAACTGAAGTTAAGATCACTGTCATACTTGGTGAAGTGGTATGTTAAGGATATTCTAATGATTTATTGAATCTAACTTATCAATATCAATTACAATTTATTAACTTAACTTGTCAGATGATAGTTTACTTTTACACGCTAAGTGAGCTTTGTTATATTTTTATATATATTTTAAAAATAAATAGTAAATAAAAATTTATTTATTTTTAAAAATATTATTATTATTATTTAATAAATAATTTTTTTACAAATATAGAAAATAAAAAATATAATAATCATTTTCGACTAGACTGCTAGTCTGCTACTTTCCAAAATTATCGTTAATACGTACCCTCAATTTTTAATCTGATTTATCAACTTTGGAAGTCTAAAATCAGTAACTCATAATCAGTACTTTCAGATTACGACAGTTAACAAACTTAATGCAATAGTCCTTAAATTTTACCAGAAAAGCCAATTTCTTACTTTTAGTGTCTGATTATATCAGCTACATAAAAAATTGTGATTATAATAAAACAATTAAAATTATTATCTTAAGCAGTGAAGTGTTAAGTTAGTTTAGTTTTTATCATATAAAACTAATACATCAATAACCATTTGACACACAATGCTTTTTAACAAAAACATCAAATAAATTATCGTTTGTATAATCATATTATGCAACGTAAAAGGATCATCGTATAGAAGAATGCTATGGATAAAAAACGCTAGTTATAAAACCTTAAGTCAAACGCGTAGTCATTGTTTATTCAAAATGAAATAGATGTGAAAATTCAAGTTGTTTGTCGAATTAATAAATTAAGCAATTAATCTTTGGTAAGAAGGCTGATTATTACTGGAAATATTAATTTAAAATGTATTAAATAAACACTTTATTACATTAGAAGTATGATAAGAATATATAAATATAATTAGTAATTTTAACGAATCATTGAAAGATATTAATTAATGTTTACAAAAGAAAATGGTGGAATATTCATATATGTTTGGTGGTATACGAAATTAATGTTAGCTTGCATTGCAGGAAAGAACAATGGAAAGAAAAATGGTCAAAGTCTACAACACCATGGAATTGAAGCATGCTTCACATACTTTTCCATAAAGTTTTTTACTGATACTTTATTGATGTAATCACAGAATTATCGTGTTTCCATTGTTAACCTCGATTCTTTGACTCGCACCAATATTCATAACATATAATAGTAATTACTTTGATTGGAATTCACAGCGGAATTTGCATGAAACGAGAATGGATAGATTATCTCAAAGCAGCTCCGATTCACCGAGCAGAGATCCCAAAGTGCTTTCAATCGAATGTCTCAAAGGAAGTTCAAAAGCCGACGAGTGGAGCGGAGACATGCTCCAGACCGGTGATATCGTCGAGGAGCTCCGGATCGGATCCTCCACAAACTCTCAGATCCGGTTCAAGTCGCCAATCAAGGGAGGGAAGAATGGCGTTCAGAAGATTCTCAACGACGCTTACAAGAAGAAGGAGACATCCATTGTGGTTCGGGTTCGGCGAGGACCCGACGAGTTGGCGGAGTTGCAGGCGTGTATTGTGCCGAACGATTTCGCCGCCAAGAAGCAGTTGGTTCTCCGGTCGATTTGTGACCCGAATTATGTGGTCGGGTTCTTGGATCGAACCGAAGCTGAATGCTTCGGGCTTCAAGGTACTATACTACTCTCCTCCCTCGGTTTTTCCGTTTGCTTTTGACTTTTCAGTGCGTTTGGAACAGAACAGTTCTTCACCGCCATTTCAATGGCGGCGTAATTTTCTTTCACACGGCGCATTCACTTTCTGTGACTGTATATGACGTTAATAATATTTTATTTTTAAATATTTAAATAATTTCTATCTTATATATCTATAATTTATTCTAATTATTAAGACAAGAAAGATATGCATTTTTTCATCAAGTATAGGAGGACTCTTACAATTAAAAATTAAAATTAAAATTAACAAAGTAAAAATTAATTTTGCAATATTTTTGTTGTTTTGCTTGATTAGCTTCTCACTGCATTCGTTGGTGAGGTATTTAATGCACGAAAGGAATTGCCCGCTTCTGCATCCACGTTGGATCTTCCGCACGTGTATTAGGTCCATTTGTCTCTTTCATCCAACTGCAATTTATTTGTTTTACTATTACAAATCATTTATTTATATTTAATAACTCAAAATTAAGTATACTCAGTTATATACACAGTGTCCTCCTTTTATTGGACTAAATTCTCTTTATGGGTCAGAGTATTATTTGTATTTAAAATGTTCGAAAAACTTTTTTTTTCCCCCTCCATTACATCATTCATTCATCCTATATTTCATTTTTTGTTGTAATAAGTATAGTGAAAACTTTAAATTAAAATAGCACTATTCTAAAATTTACAAACTTTGTTAGATTCATGCACCGTGCTGTGTGAAACCTGTGACTTCCTCTTGTGAGGTCACCAATGATGAGGACGATTGGTCTGTCCATCCAATTCTCTTTATTTTTTCCCTTTTTGCTATGGATTCAGGAAACGATGTTTTTCACACAAAATCGTTTAAGTGTCTTCACCTAAAAGTTTAAACTTTTGAGATAATTGGTTCATGAAATATTATGGAAGTCTTTACAACTAGTGTTGACCCTTACCTCCTGCTTTTTCTATAGCTTTTCAGATATTTAATTTATTAAAAATATAATAAAGAAGAAAATTCTGTAGACCTAGGATTTCTGTTGGCTATCATTTGATTGATTAATGTATATTGACACGTAGTAGTCATTGTTACTATTGTGATAAAATTGGTTTTGTTAATCTGGTGTAACGTATAATCGTATATTATGACGAAATGGAGCTTTGATAGCTTCACAATGAATTAAAATACCCCCTTTTGATTTCGTAATGCTGTTCTGCCTTGCAATACTTCAAAATCCCCTGATTTCTAGCATCATACATACTGTACCACTAATTGTAGTCTCATGAATCATCACAGATTTTACCTATCGATATTCTTTAAAATGTTATGAGTTAATTAAACTTAATTTAATAATTTTACTTGACTCTAATCATTACATTTAATAAAAGTAATGTAATTTGAGTTCTTTCTCGTGGAGTAATAACTTATTTTACGTGTTAAACTTTTATTATGCAGCTCCAAGATAAGCTGTGATGGATTTGCATTACTGACTTCATGAACAAAATCTAAAAAAAGTAATGTTAATCATACATTTTTTAATAGTTAAAATTAATTAAAAATTATATATGTTGCATTCTTTTTTCCTATTAAATTAATGTTTTTTATATATTTTAAAAAAATTTAATAAATTTTAACTAACAATAAAAAATATGTTAAAAAGAGTCTTCTTCTTGTTGCAGACTCTTATTTGTATGTTACAATGAGGCTTAATATTTATGTTATGTTGTCACCTTAAATACTGAACTAAGCTTGAACATCTGCTTATTGTTTTTAATTTAATGGTTCTCTCCTTGCAACTAAGTTAGAGTTAATTAGTTTTTGTCAGTTGTAATTTTATTGCAAGAATGTAATCTTACCATATGACAAAGCATTGTGAGTCTTATCAAACATTCTAGTTTGAACATGCACTCTTGTAATGAATTATTATTAGCTTGTGTATGGTTAAATAAGATTAAGGATTGAAACTCAGAACAACGCAGAATTAATGCATCTTGCACTCGCCATAATTTATTTTGGGAAGTTGTAGCGCCGCTTTGTTTCAATATCTACCCACTTTTGTTGGCTGAGAATCTCTAGTTATTTGGTCATCACTGGAATTGTAGTTTCTTTTACTCTTTTACTTTCTCAGATCGTATCTAATCTGTGAACAATTGCAATTTGCAGCTTCAAGGAGCACTAGGATGGTAAGTGAGCTAACCAGGACCAAGCTACAGGATGGATATGTTTCGTATTCATGGGAGAGGAGGATGCAGGAAATGCTATCAGTTCCGAATTCTAGCAACTTTCTTTCCATATTATTCCTTCCCAAAGCTTCAGATCGAGTAGCTTCTCGCTACAATGATCTAGAGGACACCCTAGCCAGGGCAAATGCATGGCTTAATGCAAGTCAAGCTTCGGGGATTTCTATAGTCTTCATGAACATCCAAACTGAGTCCCTACTAACTAAGGTAAACAGTCACTCCCTATTCACAATAAGACTCAATCAGGTGTGCCATTCATGAGCATTTAACTACAGAGATTATGCTTGGAAGAATTGGTTAAGAGCTTCTACGACATTAGATAGTAGCATTATCTATGCTTCAAGCCCAAAACTTTTGGTAATGTTGGTTCCTAAGGCCTTGAGGGGATGTTTGTTTTGCCAACAAACTGAATTTCCATTTCAAAGGCTGGAAGGAAGACTAATATTGAGGTCCATAAATGGTTAATTGAAGTGTTAGTTATAATGTTTTATACCTTTCACGATATATATTGCAGTTGATCATAATTAAGGAAACATAATTTAGGTCCATTATCCATAAAGAAAATCTTTAATTTCTTTTCATGAGAGAATCTTTGCTTTGCTCTTTGCTGGTTGTTGTTGTACAATATGACACATGGAGATTTCTTTTGATTTGTGCGACAGATATCGGGAGAGACAGCTTCTTCCACTGTAAGTGCAGGATCATTATCTGACTTAGCTAACCTGGCAAATGCAAGCCTTTACGGCTTTGAAGATTATCACGGAATAGACATAGGTGTTGTTAGAGCAGTTCGTCTATGGTATGCTCCCGTTGGAGGAGAATTTTCTATTGAAATTAAACTAAAAGAGGACGATTCAAAGCTTGGTTTTGCCATTAGTCGTACAGAAGAGGTCACACTCTTGATATGACCCTTATACTATACATGGTTAAATTAAGCACATCATATCATATTATTTAAAGTTTTAACTAATAAGCTGTTTTGTAATTTACAGGGATTTATCTTCATCTCATCGGTTATTAATCAAGAAAATGTACCAGCTACTCGGTCAGGCCTTAGTAATCTGTATAAACTAGCAACAGATACTTGTAGGTTGTTGGTAGTTTCAAGAGTGTCAAATCAAAAAGTCCTTCCATGGATGGTTTCTTCTACCGGAGCCATTCGGTGTTATGACACTGTTTCAGTGAGCCAAAAACTTTCCTTGCACCGACACACCACAGTTCCCATTCTCCTACACTTCTTTCTATGGGACCGAGCTTTAGCTACTTCAAGTGGAGGAAGCAATAGAATTAAGGTTCTGCCTTCTTCTGTGTTGTCAGCACCTTCTGAAGGTCAACTAACATATCATCCAAACAAAACTCATGCACTGCCATTGCCCCCTGAACTTTCTGAACCGAGTGATATTACCATTGAACTTTCGCAGTCTAGGCTTGAGAGAGACACAGCTGGCGAATTCTCTTTTAGATTCCACGATTTTTCCTTATCTAGCAACTGGGTGTGATCGCATGTGAATTATGAAATGATGGTTATGCAATTGTAGTTTGTTATTGTACATATATAATGCACATTGTTTCATACTTCAACCTTCTAGAGCTTGTTTTGCCTCACGGAAAAGCAGAATAATAAAGCATTCAGAATACGTTATGAAACATTTTTTAGTATTAAAAGATAAGATTCTCTCTTAACTGACAGTTGAAGATTATTTCTTTTGAAAAGTAAAGATTATTGAAGTGGGTGAAAATAGTTTTATCGAAGTGGCCTCAAGATGATTTCTAGTTCTCTAATTGGTGAAAGAAATCTCGTAACTGTTTCCTTTCTGTGATTAAGTAGTGCTGAAAATGATATGGTTGGTTCACGTACTCTTACAATGGATTCATTCTGAATTCTGAATGACAGACTTGTTGCTAGGCCCAAAGTAACTTAACTAAGATAGTTGGTTTGTCCAATTTTATTTTGGTTCATCCGCACCTCAACCCAATTAGACCACTTGCTAAATAGTGATATTAAATTGAACGTTGTTAACTCACAAAACTAACGCACAGGAGGAGGAAATCTCAAATATTTGTATGGTGCATAGATGGAATTTTATAGGCAAAATTCATTCAATAAATTATTATTCTTAATAGGCTAAGAAAAGTCTAATAGCAAAAGTGCAAACAAACTTTAGCTATCTTTTGCTTTATGTAACTCTAATCTTTGACATTTCAATTCATTTACATAAACTAAGAAGATAATGCAGTAAACTTTTACTATCAAGAGGCGGTGCAGTAATAATAATTGGTAGCATGATTTATTTGGCTACAAATAGATTGGTTACTAGTTACTACACAATCCTGCAAAGCTTAGCCTTTAATAGAGTTAAAATAATCACACATTTTGTGTGGAAGTTTCTTAATATTAAATGTTTTTTGGTTTGTAGACCAAGAAATTAGGTGATATTGATTATCAATCTTTAATTTTAATATTTTGATGACTCATTTAATATCATAAAAATTTAAAAGGCCAAATTTATATCAAGTGAATGTTTGAATAAGTAAATTAATAATCTAGTATAAAAGGTAATAATATTAAAGTTTAAGTTATATTTTTTAATAATTTTTACTATTATTAAATAAAATTTATCTTGTATAATGATAATAAAACATTTAACAATTGTTTTTCATTATTAATCAAAAAGGGTTTACAGACGGATAAAGCTAGCTACAGTTACACTATTTTAAATTTTTAAACAATATTTCACGATTTAGTGTATAAAAGTATAAAATAATGTCATAATAATTCACGACTATTTTGTACTATTATTAGAATAGAATGTCACGTGATCCGTGGCTTGAGTATAGGAAACATTTGAACCGTTGATTGACGAACTCATCTACGGCTCTAGTTGAAAGATTTCACAACGCTCAATCAAAACCTCCCAAAGCCAAAACAATTCAAAATTTCTCTCTACACTTTTTTCCAAATCCACCGTTATATATACACCATAAACCTTATCAAATCCTTCACACCAACACCACAATCATATAATCTTTACCAATACAATTTAACCCTAATACGTTTGTTAATTTCAAGCAAGACGATAATAATGGCTCGTACAAAGCAAGCCGCACGTAAGTCTACAGGAGGAAAGGCACAGAGAAGGTAATTGGCAACGAAGGCTGCTCGAAAGTCAACTCCGGCCACCAGTAGAGTCAAAAAGCCTCGCTTCAGGCCGGGAACAGTGGCTCTAAGAGTGATCATAAAGTACCAAAAGAGCACCGAGCTTCTTATTCGGAAGCTTCCATTCTAAAGACCAGTGAGAGAAATTGCTTAGGATTTCAATACTGATCTTAGGTTTCAGAACAGTGCCGTCTTTGCTCTTCAAGAAGCTATTAAAGCTTATCTGGTTGGTCTTTTCGAGGTCACCAACTTCTGCGCCATTCATGGAGAGTTACCATTATACCTTGGGATATTCAACACGCTCGCAGAATCAGAGGCGAGAGGGCTTAAGCTACGTAGCTTTCATCTGCAATTCAATTAAAATTAGATTATTATCTGTTTTAGTATGCTACAGATCTCATTATGTTTGAAATGTGTTTGCATTGTAAAATTTATCTTATTTCAAGTTCATGAAAATCTGGATCTGAACTTGTGTAAATTTCTAACTCAGTGAAACGTATGATTGAATCTACATTTAAATAAATTTGATGCTAATTACTGCAGAAGTTATTCATTTGAAAATAAATGTGTCAAAACATCAGATAATCCAATCAACAGATTAAAAGTGTGTTTGGATCTATGTTAATTTGGTTTGAATGCATATCCAAATTAACACACCACATGTAGTTTTTTTTGTGAAATCAAACATGCACTAATATATTATAAATGTTTTTTGATATCTTCTCGAGGATGTAAGAAAGAGGCGCGTCCTTTATCTAGAGAATATCTGGTACATTGCTTTGATGCTAATTACAGCAAAATTATTCATTCAAAAATAAATGAGTGTCAAAACATGAGATAATCCAATCAACAGATTAAAAGTGTGTTTGGATTTGTGTTAATTTAGTTTGAATGCATATCCAAATTAACACAACACATGCTAGTTTATGTGAAATCCAACATGCATTAAGATATTATAAATGTTTTTCGATATCTTCTCGAGGATGTAAGAAAGCGACGCCTCCTTTATCTATATTTGAGAATTTCTGGTACACTGCTTTGAGATTTCGACGAGGAGCATTTTTGTGTAACCTAACTAAAATCTTGGCGCAGTCTCTGAATACACAGGAAACTTAATTAAGTGATTTGATCAATATATGCATTGTTTGGAAATGGATTAATGGGGAAAAAAAATACCTAATTTGTTCTGATCTGTATCCAGCCTTGTACATGAGAATTTCCGTCCAGAAAGGTCTTCTATTGAGTGTGCAGCGAGCAGCATAGACAGCAGCTGCAGCAGTCATTGAAGGACAGTAGAAGATGGCGACTTTATAGTGCGTGAGACCAAGTTCGGCCAGGAAATATGCCATGTTCTCTACCTGCACAGTATCCGACATATGTTTTAAATAATTGCTTGTTTTTGTTAAAGTTCGAAGATAATTTATAAGAAAATAATTGTCGAATGTAAATTTTCGTTTCGGACTTAAGAAATTGTAAAAGAAATAGAAGCAAAGAAGTAAAATTCCTAATCTTCCCTATAATTTGAAACATCAAAGATAGAAACAAAATATTGCTTGAGGCCCACATTAAATCTCTTCTCTAAGTTGCCAAAAAGCAGAAGAAAGGAGGAAATATGAAAAAAAATTACTTTTTTGTGCTTCTTTTTTCTTATTAAAGTACAATAATTTTTAATTAATGTAAAAAAATATTTTTTTATATTTCTTTCCTACTAAATATAAAATTCTACCTTTTTTTCTCATAAATTTGTATTCACATTCTTTTTTATTATTTTCTTTCTAAGACCCAATAAAGCGTTAGCTGTTTTCAAACATGAACTTGGAATATCAAGGGAAACCAGAATCCTGTAATTGATATTACCAGCTGATCTAGCAAACCAGAAGCCCTGATAAATCGAACCAGAAAGACATAGAGTGTGGGGATTGTTAAATGCCATTCTAATTTCTCAAGAATTGTTTTCTCCATGGAAAGAATTCGATTGTTGGTGTAAGCATTATCTGATATGCTAACAAAGTCTTTCACCTACAATTCCAACAATCAGTAAGAAATTTAGAAAGAAAAATCCTAAATAACACCTTGAGTACATACATTTAAAGAGAAAGACAAGAAGATAGACAAATGATACTTACCTAATGTGAAATAATTGAGAAATAAATAAAAAAATAAAATAAAAATAAATAAATAAATAAATATATATATATATATATATATATATAATAGGTATTTAAACTGTTAAAATGTTTAAAAATCACACTCCCTCTCTTCCTTTTAAAGTTATGGCTTCAGAATTTTATTTTATTTTTTTTGTCAGAGGTTTAAGAAAACTTTTATTACTTTTTTTCTACTACTTTTATAAAATTATTAATTATTTTTCATATTTACCATCAGATAGATAATTAATTATTAAAAATTAATGAGATGAAATAACAATTTTTTTCATAACTTTCCTGCATCCCCATAAAATATATTTTATTTTCAATATTGAGAGTTAATGAGTATAATTAATAAATAAAAAGTTGTGGTACCTGAGGAGACCATATCTCTTCATATTTGCAAGCTAGGAGCATTGAGCCTATGCCCACTAACTGCAATTCTTCTTTTGACACAATTGTTAATGAGAGATATCGATCAATTATATTTACAGTAAGATAGAGCGTCTCAGGCTTAAATTTGAATTTCATATGGACATCAACCAGCCAATCCACAGTGATAGACCTCATCATCTCATTAATATTATGTTGTGATTTCATGTAATCCAAAGCTTGATAATCTTCCTGCATCATATAGTTTCCATTAACAAACAGATGAAGATCATAATTAAAGGTACAAGATCTGAGGGTGATGGGTACTTCTGTTAGCTTATAGAATTTGTACATGTCATCAAGGTATTCAGCTACTACCACTTCATTTGCGTCATTTGCATCAATGTCAACAGGCTGATCCTCACCTTCAACCAAGATTCCTGAAGCAGCCTTCATCAAAACCCAAAACAATATAAGAAACCGCCAATAAAAAGCCAAAATGGGGATAGAGCAACTTATTCAAATCTACCACCATGTGTGTTGTAGACAAAATTGAACCTCCTTCCTTTGTCCAGTAACTACTGAAGTTAGAGTCTTGACTTTCCTACAAAATCTCTCCCTTGACTCCCTTCCCTTTCCCTAGAAAATATTACCTTTTTTCTAGCTTCAAAACCAACCACATCTGCAAGCTCAGGATTTAGCTTGTGAAATAAATCTTCTACATAGTGTTCCTGGTGAACAATTGCATTTTTGTCTAGTGCAGCTACGACTACATGCTGAGAACAAACATTTGGCAATTGAAAGTGCACTAAGTCAATCATAAGGATTATTCAAACATTATTTAAATGAGATAAGAAAATTGTCTTCTGAATACTATTGTACTTTATTCCCTTGTGCAGCTCCTTGCTCATTAGCTTGGACTTCTAACACTGGATTCTGCAATCCAACAGGGATAAATTCACTAAATACTAGTGCATAGATATATGTGATATATGTGCAATTCAAGTTCATTGCCGAATAAAGATAGCGAAGGAGACATAGTTTATACTGTACAGTTTGTTCATTCTCCAACAGTTTTGCAAGTAACCTCCTAAAGGTAACAAACAAGTTTGGTTAATAACTAGCAAATAGAGGAGACATGGCAAGCTACTAGTGAACAAGAAGAAAATTGGAGAACCTTTTAACTGGCCGCAAAATCTGCTTCCCTTCCGCAATACTAAACGCCTCCAAATTACCAATGTCTCCAAGAACTTGACGATTCCCTTGTTGACTTTCTTCTTTTATTTTGCCTCTTCCTGCAAGGAAGACACCAACTGATATGCATTAAAGATGCAGAGTCTAAAAAAACAGAAAGGCCATTGTTAGGGATTATTAACATCGCAAAACTATCAAATACTTTTCAATAAAATTCAGTGAGGAGAAAAAAAAAAGGTTTAAGCGTCCATGAAATTACAGTTATAATATTTCGGGGTAAGAGGTACACTTGTTATAGTTTTGCTGAAACATCTTCCGAATCAGCCTTCTAAGGCAAATGTAAATTTCAGCATTTTAATTATTAGCTCTCACTTAAAACTTTTTGATAATCCCTGAAATAAAACTTATTCTCTTTTAACAAATAAACTTTCTAAATTATAATCACTTCATAAACATTTTGACAAATTACGAAAAATAATATGATTCATCGATTTTTTGTTCAGATATCATAGAATAAGAGAAGCGAAAAGCCACTTTCATGGTATTAAACAGGAAAACGCCCCCAAAAAGTAACCAGCAAAGTTTCATATAAACAGCAACAGAAGTTAAAATCCAAAGCCGAGAAAGGAATGCAAAATTATAAACTTCAATCAATACATTCAACAAAGATAGATAGAAGCTCCTCAAACCTCTTGTGCTGTCCATCGTCTTGTATCAGCTGAATTGTTCAGCTGCACGACAGCAGGCAGCGCCAAAGAGTGGAAGGGAGGGGTTAGCAAAGTTTAATTTTTGTTGAAGAGATAATTAATTTGGAAGAGGGTAAACCCCTAAAACTCTCTTAAACTAATTTACCCTTGTTTGTTTCTCAATCCTTTCATTCAATTGTTTCTCAATCCTTATCCTTTCTCCGATTAAGATCTATTTCTCTCAGCAAGCTCTTCGCTTTATAGAATTTTTTTTTAATTTTACGAAAATGTGATATTAATTTTAAAAAATAATAAAATAGAAATAAAAAATTTTAAAATATTAACTTTTAGAGAAAAAATGTAATTTGTGTATTTTTTTTAAAACAATTAAAAAATAAAAAAATTAATTTTTAGAGTAATTTTTTTAAAAATTTATTAAAAAAATAGAAATATAATTTATAAAGTGATAATTTCAAAATATATTAATTTTTAGAATAAGAAAAATATTTAATTTTTATATTTTTAAAAACAAAATTAAAAATAAAAAAAATAAAAAACATAATATTATTTATATTATTAATTCTATGTTACTCTCTTATCTCTATTAAACTTTAATTTTTTTTCTTTTTTTCTTCTCTTTTTAAACTCTTTACTTCTCTTCCCCTCCAAACTCTCTCAAAAGAAAGCTTTAAGCTTTTATAATTCACATCAATTAAAAAAACTCTATCGGTTTGAATATCCATTGACCAACCAATATCAGTTTCCATATTATTAAAAATTCCATACCTATTTTTCCACAAATATGTATATCTCAAACTTAAAATTGTGTAAGCGCAAACGTTAGGCCTATTGGGTTAACAAATAAAATAACATACCGAACAATATAAAAAATTAAACAGTAAAAAAAATTAAGTATTAAAACAAGAAACGAACAAATAAAAAAAATCTGATTAAAAATGGATGCATTTTACCTAAAAGAACGAACAATTTCAGTTCGTCCAATAGATACAATACAATAAAATTCACAAATATCGGATCAATTTGTTAAAGCAAATGCCATCAATTACAAATCACAGGAATCACAACAATGTGTATGACGATACTCTAACGTACCCAGCGGTGAAGAAACCTAAGCTCTCTCTCCCCTGATTCTACGAGCGAGTTGAATATCCTTAGGCATGATAGTTACTCGTTTAGCATGAATCGCACAGAGGTTGGTGTCTTCGAAGAGACCAACCAAATAAGCTTCTGCTGCTTCTTGCAGTGCAGAAACAGCGCTGCTCTGAAAACGCAAATCGGTTTTGAAATCCTGTGCGATTTCCCTTACCAGACGCTGAAACGGAAGCTTCCTGATCAGCAACTCCGTGCTCTTCTGATACTTCCTGATTTCCCTCAAAGCCACCGTCCCTGGCCTGAATCGGTGCGGCTTTTTCACGCCGCCGGTCGCCGGAGCTGATTTTCTCGCCGCTTTAGTGGCAAGCTGCTTCCTCGGCGCCTTCCCTCCGGTGGACTTGCGCGCGGTTTGCTTGGTTCGTGCCATTACAGTGAACAATTGTGTGTGTTTCAACGCTTAATCGAAAATCGTTCTGAAAATTGAATTGAAGTTATGTGTGTGTGGCGTTTAAGTACGAGGATTTATAAAAATAGAAGCGGGAAGTCTAAATTTGTTTTTGGGATAGAATAAATATGAACCCTCGATTAGATATTAATGTATGGACACAGATGGTGATCTGTGGCTATGTAAAATAGACCAATAGAATTGCACCAATCTCATCTGTCGTAAAATCAAAGGGCTATGAATTAGGATGCCTTTATTGAATTTTTGGACTAACAAATTGTGGGCTTATTCTATGTGATATATGGGCCCAAACTCATCAAATATTATTTTTATATTCATTCGCTTAATTCTTTGTTTAAGAAGTAATAATTGACCGAAAATAAATAATTTTTTTAAAAAAAGAATATAATAAGAGGAGAGAAAAAATTAAATTAAAAACTGAAGTGAAAAAATATTTAGTTTTGCAAAAAAAAAATTATTTCTTAATTAAAACAAATAAAATGAATTCTTATTTATATTTTTTCTTCCCCTACTTTATCTAATTGTCATTAATTTTATTTAAAAATAATATATTGTCCACTAAAATTTTGAACTAGAATAAACTATAGGCATGATACACGATTCAGAATGATTATTGTAGGTAATTTTTCCACACTTGTCATTCTACATTCACTTGTATCATTGGAATTGTGTAAAATAGGACACTATAAGTACCTCTTACAGAATGTACACTTTAATAATTTGGTTGGTTTAAGAAAATGAAAATGAAAGAAAATAAAAATAATAATAATACAAGACTAGAGGAAGTAGTGAAAAAAATAAACCTATACTAATAACGATTAATTTAATATTAAATTATTAATAAATAATATACTCTTTAATCTAATATTGAATTATCATTATAAATAATATATTTATTTTCATTACGTCATAAACAAGCTTTTAAAGCGTTAACTTAGATAGCATTTAGTAAAAATCATTTTATAACAATACATTTAAAGAACAGATAATATAAAACCGCTCTGTAAAGTCATACAGAGCAGTTAATAAAAAATCGCTATCTAAAGTTATTCTTGGAGAGTGGTTAATAAGGAACTGATTTCTAAAATCTTTAACTTTTATAAATAAAACACGTTCAACTCATGAATTTTTTCGTCTTGCTAACAAAGTTAGTCTCTTTTATTTCTATAAGTTCTTTTCATTTTTTATGAGTTAGCAAAGTTGGTGTCCTTAATTTTTTTTATATTTGTAGGTTCTCTTCATCTTCTATTTTTTTTATTTTTTTAGCATTAACAAATTAGTTTTTATTTATCTTACTAATTTATTCTCTTTTATCTTCTTATTTGTGTTTGGTTTGTGCAGACATGAGTTATTTAATTAATAGTGTATAAATTTAAGATTTAATTTTGATTTACGATAAAAATAAAGAAATTTTGAATGTCAAATTTATAAATTAAAATTTAAACTTAACAATAAATTAATTTTAATTTGCTGCAAAAAAAATAAATTTTAAATTTGCAGTTTACTTCATACTTTAGACAACGATTCTCTCTAATTCTACAGTAGTTCTAAATGTTCTCTAATTTAAAATAAAACTACTTTTTTATCTCATTTCTGATATAGTGTTGTAGTGTATGTAACTACTTGAATGATTGAATTTTAATTTATCTTTGTTTCTATTAACATTTATAGACCAAGTTGTATTGTTTACACAAATAGCTTATTATTGTAAAATGGAAAATTGTGTATGATTTTCTTTTATTAAACATTTGATTAAAGAATGATTGATAGAGTTTGAATGTTAAAGTAAGGTGATCGATTTTGATATCTTTTCTCGAGAGAAAACCAAATTAATAGAAACCACGAAAATCCCGGACTTGTCCCGTTCTATTATCTTGTTATACTTCCTATTCCTTAACCTTCAACTAACCCATGTGAAGGTAAACTTCTTCCATGAATTTTATCGATTCAGCCACACGTCTTTTGTTTTTCTTATTTGTTACATTCTAAGTTTTCATCGACAATGATATAACTTCTCCTGAGACCTCTCAGACTCTTATCAAGCTACGAGAAAAAGAAACAGTAAACATGGCAGGTTTTTGAAGACAACTTGAAAGGCAAGCTACACATATAATTTAAGAGATGTGAAAGACTGGTAATTAAGAAATGGGGAATCTGGCTTTGCTGTATTGTAATTAACCGCCCAAAACAAGACAAAATCAAAGAGGACAAGATTCACATAATGTAGCTTCTAGACCATGATGTTTAAAAACACGTTAAAAAAATTTTAAACCTTAGTCAAATGCAAAAGTTAGAATTTTTAGTGTTAAAGGGAACATGAATGCATATTCATTCAAACGTGAATCCAAGTACACTTGGAACTTTATGATAAGTAATAATTACTTCAGTTTGCATTTGCAATATATGTTTCATAAAAGTCGATACCTAAAAAGATAATTGTTGTTGTCATTTTACACTAGCAGCAGTACTTGGCTTGGTTTTTCTTTACCACTATAATTTTTCACGGGGGCTAATCAGAAAGAGCCACAAAATGCATAACTTGTTTCTTTCAAGCTAGGCTGTGACCGTGAGTGAAAATGAAAGAGAAGTAATGTTCACGCATACAGAGCTGGAATCCAGGTACATTCCCATGTTTTGTTTCCAATTAGGGGCAATGAAACAAAGAAAATATTTAAAATGGAAATTTTCACTAATATCATTCTAACTGCTACACAACCATTTCCAGTGCATTGCGGCATTTGTTTAATGGCTGAGTCTGTGACAAACGAGCTTAGCGGTCCCCTATTTCCTTGTTCTTTTGTTTCTAAGAGAAGTTTCCTTTTTAGAACTCAAGCTTGTTGCATTGCCAAGTGTACCTACTGAGAAATACTCGCTCTATACCATACATACATTACTTGGATCAACCGTTAATGCAAGCTCCTACGCTTTTAAACTTGGAGCTTGTGGGGTTTGCATTATATCATGACGTATTTTTTAAAACACCTTAAAAAAATCTATAAACATAAATATAGTTTAGAAACTACAACTAATATAATTGAAGTAAACACAACTTTAAGACTATTCAAACATAAATTCAAAACCTAGATTAACTACCATAAGCTCTCACTTACACTTAGTAGATAGTTGTCCTTTAGGTATACTGATATATAAGTTTGATTTTTTATTGAGTATGGATAATAAATTTTTTTAGAGAGATAAAATTTACTTACGTAATATATATGACTAATGAATTAGTATTTAGCTGTCAATGTAATGGTATTCTTGGTATGCACTCACAAAGATAAGTTTCTCACATTCTTACTAAATCAATGTATTAGAAGTTTATATTCTAAAAATTAGAGTGTCTAATTACTCTGAACTTAGGTTAGAGTGATAACTACTAACTCATAACTACATGATATAAAAAATAATAATTAATACTTACGCGAATAAGTTTTTATAAGAAAAAATAATATAAAAAATAAATATTTTTAAGTTAAATATTATTATTTTCTTATGTTTAAAATAAATTAAATAAAAGAATTTGATTCATTTTATTATTTAATTTTTTATTATATAAATATTTATTAAAAAATTATCCAAACAGAGCTTAAGAAAAAAATTTAAGACTGGTTGTAGTCAAGATTTAGAAAAATAATCAAGTGAAGAACTAAAATAAATCCTTGACTCAGTATAGAATTGAAAGCATTACATCATAAAAATTAATTTTACTAATTTAAATTTTAAGGTTAAATTTAAATAATTAATAATATTAATATTTTTTATAAAAACAAAAAAATTATTATATATTTATGTTTTTAATACAATAAATATATACTTTCTTTAATAAAATTTATTTTTAAATTGAACTCTAGAAATTAAGGTTAATAAATTGTAAAACTGACAAAAAAAAAAATGATATACATCCCTACAAAATCAGCTCCAATAATAATGAATTTGATCATAACGTGAATCTTCAATTTGTGGCCTTTGACGGTGGCTTAACCTGATATAAATACATAGAAGACGAAGGTAGATGGCATCTTCACCATTTTGATTTTTCAGATTAGGCTAAGACATCGTTTTCATTAACCTTTGTCTGTAGTAGCCCGTCCTCATAAGCCTTGCGTGAACACTAAGCGTGGATTCATGGGGCTTATTCCTTCGTTCCCACCATTGTCAAAAATTGAAGCCAGTTAATATAAAACAGTTAGATACCTATCAGTAAACCTTGCACCAATGATTGATTGGTCCTGTATCCTTTCATATTTGGTCCCATTTTGCAGACATTATTTAAGTAAATCAACGTTAGAGAAAAAAAAAATGTGTGATATACTTTTCAACGTTAGGTAAATCAACAATTTTAATATTATGTCGTATAATTATTTATTATTAACTTTATTTTATATATATCACAAATAATTGTTTCTCTATGCTTTTATTGTTTGGTTAAAAGGAACTATGATTTCATGAGATGTAAAACATGAGCTTTACACAAGAGAGGGGGGGAGGGGTTATAACAGGAAAAAAAGACTTTCAAGAAACGAACATGTAGTTTTACTTTTGATTTCATAAAAATACAAGAGAAAAAAAATGGATTAAGATTTGAGAGTAACAACTAAACAAAAATAATCATGTGTCAAATACAATATTAACTTGTGTGCTGAAATTGTCTTTATGTCATGTACTTTAAAAATGATGTAATATAGATAGATTGTATAGCTATTATTGTTATTATTTTGTCAATAGATTGTATAGCTACTATGAGATATATAGTTGAATAGTTTCAATGATAAAAAAAAATGTCAAGACCTACTATTTTGAGTGTCCTCTGTTTATTTTCTCTTTTGGGATTTTAAAGATGCTATTGGCACTTTAAATGGTAATGTTAAAGTAACTTACTATTTTTATAATTTTGAGTGAAAGTATGATATCAAAGAATAATTAAAGACAGCAGCATTTGGTGATCCAATAAAATGGAATAGATCAGTTTTGTTCAACTCTTTTTTACTTAATTTAATAAAATCAAAGTATATTTTTTTTCATAGCATATCTAGTTTTGTGTTATCTTTTAAATCCACCACAGATAAAACATAATCTATATATGCTGTATTCCCTATAGTTTTAAAACTTTTGTTTATTGAATACTATCCTACTATTATCCGTTTGGTGGGAGCAAAAAATATATTTGGTGGTTATAGGAGAAGACTAAACGTTTCCCAACTACTACATCAATTATATAGTCAAAACCTAATGCCCCTGTCTTCTAAAAAATAGCTAAACTACCTACTATGAATTGCTTGAGTGGTTGTGAAATGCTAAGTTATATTCCATGAACAAAGAAAATACCAGAATTTAATTCAGGCACCTGAGTTAATATTATCAATTAAGCAAGAAAAGACACTTTTTGCATGTGGTTGTTTGACAAATCTAACTAACTGCCCTTGTTGATTGAGCTTAGGGACATTAATTTCCTTAAATTAGTGACTTTAATTTGCAAGAAAAAGGGTGGTCATAGTCACAACAAACTCCTCAATAAACAATTACATTGTCCTACATGGAACTCCAAATTCAATTATACAAAAGGATACCATAGTCCAAGAAAGAAAAAACATTCTCCATTTTCAAAAATACCATATGGGAACATGTATTTATATGTGGCATGACTAGGGCATTATGTAATTTTAAAAGATGCTACGAACCAATTGGTCCCCACTGTGGCACTCTGTTTTGTAAGATTCATTGTCTGCAAGTTTTTGGATGTTTTTGAACCTTTTGGTTATTTTTCTTCCCCTTTCGGCAGAAAAACCTGAATCTTTGCACGGCTCAATATATTTGTTTTTTCCATTTTCTTATTGGACGATATTAACCTCAGCGATAGTAATCAAATTTATAGAAGCTCAAAACTTTAGGGCCTTCTATAGTAAGATTATTTTTCCAAGACGCTTTTGGCTTGTTTGTTTTTTATATTTTTAATAACACTGAATATTTTGATAAGAAAAAACATTATTTAAATTAATTTATATACATATTTTAGTTACATTTAATGACTTAAATTTACTTATATTACTTTGAATTAAACGAGTAGGTAAAATTATCCAACTTGAGATCAACTCCATGAATTTGATTAGTGGTTTTTCCATTTTGAAGATTCCTAGTGACCTTTGGTCTTATGGGGCAGGTTTACAATCTTAATCTTCATGAAGGGTCACCACGCTTGCTTGGATAAAGAAAAAACAACCTGGTTTGTGTTATGGCATGTGCATTGGGCATTTAATACAGAGAAGATTATTCTTACAGGGTTTTTCGGTTCTTTTTTTTAACACTCAAAACGAAAAATGATGAAAAAAAAAGTGAAATCCATAGAATTTTTTTAATGTAAAGAAAATAAGGTATTCATTCCATGTTCACTGTTTTTTTTTTCTTCTTTTAAACGCAAATACTTCATACAGGAAACTTCAAATATAATATCACTTCACATAAATATTAAGTAACATGTTTTCTTTATAAAAAAAAGAAAAGGCTTATAGCTTAGTTAGGTCGTTCACCAACTCTCTCCACCATATTGGGATAAGGAAGTATTTGATGGGTTTTTGAAGATAGGGAACATACTGAGGCTATGATTACACACAAAGTATAAATGAGTACCAAAGCAATATCCTTAGTATGATGAGGAAGGAATATAGTAGAAACCTCCCATGTTGCTTCTAAAGAAATACACCTAACCTGATTTCTGGTATTTTTCCAAATGTGTGGGCATTTTGGTAAACTGAAATCACTCTGCTGGATGCACAAATAGAGTTAGACGTATAATCCTTGGGTTTGGGGTAGACCAATACAATATAAATCACTTTTCAAGTGATAAATCAAAATGACTAAAATCAAATCATAAAAATTATATAAATATTTTATTGAGTCAAAATCACTTTTCTCATGCACTTAAAAAAATTACTCCTCTCTCTCTTCTTCACATGTGTTTACGCCATTAGATTTCATATGAGAACAGAGACAAAGCTCATCTCATTGGGTTTGAGCCGTGACCCTTTCTATCCCTCATTCTATTTTCTGGTTCTCCAAGATCCCATTCTTACCACACATATAATAATAGCCTTCAAATCAAATCCAGCCGTTGGATATCAGCACTGGTTAATCCGTTTTGTTCTTTTCCAATTGTCAATAAGAATTCCGACTATATCAATATTTTAATCTAGTGCACATATTATCTTCTCAGCATTTACATTACATGCTCCGCTTTGTTCTTTCCTCTGTTCTTCTTCATGGCTGCAACTACAACAATTTATCTTCAAGATCACAACAACGAAACCAACAATGGCAACAACGCTGAAATAACAAGGGAGGAAATTCAGACCGCCATATCCAAAGCGGTGGAACTAAGGGCCCTTCATGCTGCATTAACACAAGGAAGTAGCCCAGGCACAACCCATGCTAGATTCCCATCCCCTTCCCCTGCTTCACGCTCCGCTTCTCACTTCTCTGCTCAAGATTACCCTGTTTTCACACCAGTAAGAAGAAGCAATTTTACCTCATTTTTTGTCATTCAACTTTCTCTTCTACCTCCTCTCTGAAATGGGTATTCAAAATCTATTTCACGTATATGAAGTGGAACATAAAGCATGAATTGTGTTTTGACTTCTTATTAAAAAATGAGACCTTTTTAGGACTTCTGCTTTATTTTACCTTTCATGAAACTTTTAAGATTGTAAGTTCGTAACTGAACTGAACCTTGACTTTAATGAAACCAAACAATGATGTTTATTGTCTCATTCTTCTAATTTGGAAACATAGATCATGCTTTTATGTTGGAGAATTAGTCTCTAAATGTGAGAATCATTGACAGAGTTATGAAGACGAGCCACATCAAAACCCAACAAGGAGCAGAACTGTATCAGAAAGCTGGGATGAGAACATGGTAGAAGGAGGGAACAGCATAGAAATCATGGTCCCAGGTTACAAGGAGAAATCAGGTTCAAGAAAGGGACTACCTTTTGGTTTTGCCAACCATGACTCTCACACATGTCCTGCTGATGATACCAAATCTGTGACTGGTTCTACTGCAAATCACATTACGGTTCTTCAAACTTCACCTGCAAATGACTACTTCAAATCTAGGAGGAGAAGCAGTTTAGGGGACTTGAAGCCCTTATCTTCTTGCAATAGATGTAAGCCTGCTGTCATAACTAGTGAATATGAGAGCACCAGGAACCACAAAAGTTCCAATATTGTTGTTCCCCTCACAGATTCTCATGCTTCTTTTCAAACCCAACCAAAAAGTAAAGGGGTGATTTCATGGCTGTTCCCTCGGTTCAAGAAGAAGCATAGGAGTGTGAGTTCTCCAAACAGGACAGAATCTGAGGAAGTTTCTCAGGTTCTTAAGGACATGGGAATAATGTCCATTGAGTCATTGAAGAGGGAGTTGATGGAAGCACATGAGAGTAGAGATGCTGCATTGATGGAAGTTTCTGAGATGAGATCTTCATTGGGGGAGCTGAAACACAAGCTGGAGTACTTGGAGAGTTACTGTGAAGAGTTGAAGAAAGTTTTGAGGCAAACAATGCATACAAAAGAAACCACATTTTCTGAAAAGCTAAATAACCATCCTCAAAGAGGAATACCCTTTGATGGGAATGGAGAAAATTTGATGCCTGTGGCTGAGGAGGTTATGGTAGAAGGCTTCTTGCAGATAGTGTCAGAGTCAAGGTTATCAGTGAAGCAATTCTGCAAGACCCTTATATGCCAGATTGAAGAAACGGATCATTCTTTGATGGACAACTTGAACTTGCTCCTTCAACCATATAGGCTTTCCTTGAATTCCAAATACTCTAAGGCAGTTTTATACCATTTTGAAGCTTTCATAAACCAATCTTTCTTTCAAGACTTTGAGAACATTGTGTTCCAAAAGAATGGTTGCACAAAGTTCTTAGACCCAAGACAAGATCGCCAGGCACAATTCTCATCATTTGTTGCACTAAGGAATTTGAGCTGGAATGAGGTACTAAGAAAGGGTACAAAGTACTACAGTGAGGAATTCAGCAAGTTCTGTGACCAAAAAATGAGTTGCATCATCACTACACTCAGTTGGACTAGGCCTTGGCCTGAGCAACTACTTCAAGCTTTCTTTGTGGCAGCAAAGTGCATATGGTTGCTACATTTGTTGGCCTTTTCTTTCAACCCACCATTGGGAATTCTAAGGGTTGAAGAGAATAGAAGCTTTGATCCTCACTACATGGAAGATTTGGTCACGGATAGGCAAAGATCACAAGGTCCAAGCCGGGTCAAGATCGTGGTGGTGCCAGGGTTTTATGTTCAGGATAGGATCTTGAGGTGTAGAGTTATTTGCAGGCACAAATCTGCACCCTAAAGTAAAATGGAATTTGGAAATTGGTTTGATTTCACTGTCCATTTTATTTTCCTTTTATTTAGAATTTAGATTCTCTCTTCTCTAAGTTTGTAACTATCCAAATGTATGTGATAATGAATAATCGTTCAAATTGGTTAGTCTATTTCTAACTAAGGGATAAACTAAATTAAACTCTTGTTACCATTGTCTATAGCTTAATGTGAAATTGTATCTTTACCCGTTTGCTGCTTCTGTCTATTCTGAGTTCTCGTGTAAAGCATGTACTATACCAGATATACATTGCCACAATGTACGTTTCTTTTGATTCACCTTATTTAATTTTAGATGAAGAATTTTTTTAGCGTATGTTCATATTGTATTCCACGTGGGAAAGAATATAGTTGGAGGGGTCACTGTATCACTTTTGCATTTTGGATCTCTGATTTTCCATTCATTAGGTGGCTTACCAATGTGGCGACGAGAATTGAAAAGCTACAACTTCAATTGGTGGAAATTATCGCTGGTGAGACTAATTTTATTCGTAAAGACCAAATAAGACTCTGTTTAGTTCATCTTCCCTTGTATTATTATCATTATTATGTCCAATTTATTATATTTATTTTCTAAATTGTGTCTGTAAAAGTCCTAATTAATTGAGCAGGTTCCATCATAAATTTTGGGCTCGTTGTTCATAGCCCAATGGAGTAGGTTTCAGAGTCAATTAAGAATGGACTTGGTGAGAAATAGGATTAATTAGGTTATTGACAGCTATGCTTTTCACATTGTGTGAAATTATTGGTTCCATTTTTTTTTTCATTAACAAACACATTGTTGTAGGGAGATTAAAGGAAAGTGTCATGTGGCAGTAATTGCTACCTGCTGCCAATCATCCGAATTGATAATATAATCTTTTTGGGCCTAGGCTTTTGGCCCACTAATGCACCCCACCCCATTTTTGTATTTTTATAATTTGTCTTTAAGTAGTTGGCAAATAAATAAATAAATTATTTATTACATTGTTTAAGGCAATATGCATGTTTTTAAAACTTATTGACTATACCAATAATCCTTGTAACTGAGACACCTTTTTAAATCAAAATCCTATTAAATTAAAGTTTATTATCATTTGACCATGAATTATTAAAATTTTATTTAAAGACTATAATTAAAATTTAAAAAATTAAGTATAATTATAAATGATATCACCATTTAATTTATATTCTACATTGAATAAATACATTATAAATAAAAAAAATCAATACTTTCTTCAATTTTCAAAATAAAGAATATTTTCATATATTAAAACTCCTACATGGAAAAGCGTTCTAATTTCTCGCAGTCAAAGGTTAATTAAATTTCATTAATTAAAAATTAAAATACAAACAAATTAAAGGCAGCACCTACCAAGAGACTCCAACACCACGAAGAAGAGGAAAGAGAAGAAAACTTCTCTCAATCTCACCAACAACACAGCCATGGCAGAAAGAAAACAATCGATAGTGCTATTCCCTTTCATGGCGCAAGGCCACATAATCCCATTCTTGGCATTAGCCCTTCAACTGGAAAAAAGAAAAAACTACAACATCATCATAGTCAACACTTCTCTAAACATAAAAAAGTTAGCATCAACTCTCCCATCGAACTCCTCCATTAAGCTCATCGAGATCCCTTTCAACAGTGAACACCACAATCTCCCACCAAACACAGAAAACACCGATGTCGTCCCATACCACCTCGTCATTCGACTCATCCAAGCCTCCACTACCCTCCGACCAGCCTTCAAACAACTCATACAAAACATCATCAATCAACAACAACAACTATGCATCATAGCTGACATCTTCTTCGGCTGGACAGCCGGCGTGGCTAAAGAGCTCGGCGTTTCTCATGTCATCTTCAGCGGCTGCAGCAGCTTCGGCTTGGCTTGCTACTACTCTCTCTGGATCAACCTTCCCCATCGGCGCGTCGATTCCCACCACTTTTTTTTACCCGATTTTCCAGAAGCGCGTGCCATTCACAGAACTCAGTTACCCGCTAATATATCAGAAGCTGATGGCATCGATGCTTGGTCTATTTTCCAAAGGAAGAATTTTTCCGACTGGGTCAACTCGGACGGGTTTCTGTTCAACACGGTTCAGGAATTTGACTCGGTTGGGTTAAACTACTTCGCCCGGAAACTGAACCGGCCGGCTTGGGCTATTGGACCGGTTCTCCTCTCAACCGGAAGCGGTTCACGCGGGAAAGGGGGTGGCATCGACCCTCAACTTTGCAGAGAATGGCTTAACACAAAGCCTTCGAATTCAGTGTTATTCGTGTGTTTTGGATCGATGAACACGATCTCTGGTTCGCAAATGATGCAACTTGGAACGGCTTTGGAGCGAAGTGGGACGAATTTCATTTGGGTCGTGAGGCCACCCATTGGTTTTGACATAAACTCGGAGTTCAGAGCGGAAGAGTGGTTCCCTGAAGGGTTTATGGAGAAGATTCTGCAATCGAATAGAGGGTTGATAGTGCATGATTGGGCACCGCAAGTGGAGATCCTTTCACATGAAGCTGTGTCTGTTTTTTTGAGTCACTGTGGGTGGAACTCTGCGATGGAATCGCTGAGTCATGGAGTGCCGATTCTTGGGTGGCCTATGGCGGCGGAACAGTTTTACAACTGTAAGGTGTTGGAGGAAGAGGTTGGTGTTTGTGTGGAGGTGGCTAGAGGGAAGAGCTGCGAGGTGAGGTATGAAGATATATTGGCCAAAATTGAGTTGGTGATGGGTGAGAGGGACAAAGGGTTGGAGATGAGGAAGAAAGCTGGTGAGGTTAGGGACATGATAAGGAATGCTATGAAAGATGAAGACGGGTTTAAGGGTTCATCTGTTAGGGGCATGGATCAGTTCTTATCTGCTGCATTGCCCCCCTCTTCATGATGAATCAGTTTTTATTCTATTTTTCTCAAAGTCGAGTAATTCAGAATTGTTGAAGGAAAATTTTCTAGCCAATGTGATGTGTGTTTTGTATAGATTAATTGAGTCTCCAGGGCTGAATGTTTTTGTCGGTCTTTGATGTTTTTCTGAATGTTTGTCTTATGTGACAGCAACAAGTGACCAAATAATGTTTATGTACCTCGAATAATTGTTACTGTTGTATGTAGTCACTACAACGTTACAGATTTGAAGGTCTCAACAAGTAGTTCTACGATAATAATTGCAACTCCAAACCAAACCTTAATGCTAAATCCCAGGCAGTCAATTGCTGTCTCATTTTCCTTGCCCAAAGCCCGTTCACTTTCACAATTAAAGAAGAAATATAGAAATGAAGAGGAATGCTAGCTACAAAATTAGAAGTGTGACTCGTATATTTTTGTAATATAAATTTCAATCTGTAGTTAAAAAGTGTGTTAAAAAAATGTATCAGAGTATGTGTAATGTTATACTAGACATGAATGTTACCCAACAACCTCAGAATATAGTCGAACGTGATCCTCATTCCACCCAAACCTAGCTGGTAGTTAAAGACCACCGGGTGCTACAATGGGTAAAGTATGGATAGTTACTCATTTTTTTTCATATCTATATTTCAAAAAAAATATTTGTATCTAATTTATATTTATGTGGGTAGTATTTTTAATTCTTGTATTTTTATTCTCTAAATACTCGCATACTCATACTTGTTCCCATAAAAAAAAACTTATAAAGAATTAACAAAATTTAGGAATATAAATTGAAATAATAGATATAAATGAATTTTTTACTATAAAAAAATGGAAAGAAAACTTTCCTCTTTCTCTTGTTTTTGATAAATATTGATTAATAATAGTAATGATACTCATTTTTGTATATAAATCTGAATTTCTTTGAAAATTTTTTATTGAGTTTATTCTTTCTTATTAATCAGTCTAATCAAAATTTATATAAAAGATACTATATTTATGGATTCACCAAATAACAAATTGTATGCTTGAAAAATAAAAGATAATTTTGTTGATTCTTTTTTTAATCTAATAGATACATCATTAGATTAGTATAAATGTCACAATGTGTGTCCCCATTTATGTTATGTATATAACAATAAAAAGTACTTATAAAAAAATATACTTATATAATTTTACCGAACAAAGTTCAAGTAAAGATAAAAAACAATACCACTTCTAACCATTTGTTATTACCTATAGTAAGAACATAAATAAAAAATTTTATTTAACTTAAGTCAATATAATATCACATAATTTTAACCATTAAATTTTAAAACATTTTGTATGTGTTATATATAAATATATATTTTTTAAAAGTCAATCTAATATTAATCATGTAATAATTAAATTGTATTAGTCTAATTAAATGATATAAAATAGTAAATAAATTTTTTTATTAAAAATATGAAAAAAAAATTATATTTTATTTTATTGGTAAATATATTTTTATGTTAATTTTATAAAATAAATTTAATTAGATAAATTTTTATATTTTTAAATATGCATTTTTCTATTTGAGTAGTATAAATATTTATATGAAATTTCTCAACCTTTTATTTTGCATAATTTTATTTTTTTTTTGAAAACATAGAGTTATAAATTAATAGACAATATCACTTAAAATTTCAAAATAGAAAATTTGTCCATTCAAAAAATAAAATAATTATAACCTATAAATGAACTTTGAACTAAGTAAAAAATATAAGATATAAAATTATATAAAATAAAAAAGTGAAATATTTATCTTAACTGAAATTTAACAAAAATATCTTCAAAAAACTTCTAAAAAATAAAAGTAGATTAAGTTATTATTTTCTTAAATTCATAGTTGTTCCATTGTAAGTAAAACATTATTTAAATGAGATTATATAAAATTAGAATAATAAAGATAATTAGAAATAATAATAATAATTATAATAGAATTTTAGATTTACTTTTGTATAAAAGTTGTCATACTTAATCTCTGAAATTTATAAGTAATAATAAGTTAGATCTTTTTCTGTAAGTCAGACTCCTAAAGCACAATTCTTAATAGGGTAAATTTTGGAATAACTTATATGATCATATGATTGTTAATGATTATAAAAAAATGTATCCAAATATATAAAGTATTAACCCTAATTTTCCCTCATCATGAGCTTTTGAATTAAAACTTCCTCATATAAGTAGCATAATTAATAATATATATATATATACTTACAGGAATAGGGCGATGTGATCCATATCCACACAAATTTCAATTAAAATGTGCGGATATTTTTTTATATTCATACCTCTACTCGTTTAGTAAATAAATACCTTATTCGTTAAGGATAAATTTTGCGAGTACTTATCAAGTGTTTTACTCATTGTCATCCTTAGCTGTAATTTTAAATATTTCACCTTTCTCTAAATTGGATTGAATTGAATTTAAAATTTTATTTGAATCATCCAAATTTAATCTTAGTGTATTATTTATAGTTAAATTAGATGATTTTTTTAAATAAAGACCTCATTAAATTTTATCACTTGTATTATGGTTTCAGTTGATATCGGTTATTAGAAATTATAATTTTTCAACAATACAACATTTTTTATGTTATAATTATTTAAAAAGTATAATCATCAAATTTTAAGTTTTTATTTAGTAATTAATTGTATTCATATTTATTACTTTAGATTCATAAGTTATTTGAGTAGTTAATTTTGTTGTATATTAAATTTAGATACAATTTGTTATTTTAATATTTTTCATATCAACCTTTCATTCCATGATTGATTCATGTAAATAAACACAAAGTCGTGAAAATAAATATGAACTCATCTTCGGTTAACTAATTGTATTCTAGAAAGTTAAAATTATAATGATTATTAATTTTTATGATCAGCTCATATAACTTGTAGATTATAGTGATCAACCCTCCATAAAAAAAAAATTATAATTATTTTCTCATAAAATTTATTTTTTAAAGATTAAATTTGTATAAATTTAAATATACACAAATATATTATTTTTTATTAAAAAGATATTTTCCTTTCATCAAAGTAAAAATAAAATAAAATAAATAAATAAATATATATATAAATTATCCAATAAAAGAATAATTATCTTAATTTTGCTGTAATACAAGGAAAGTAAAAAACAGGACTCAGGTGTTCGTGAATTAGATTTTTAAAAAATTAATCTAGATCTATTTAAAATTAAATTATATGAATTAGATTATAAACCAATTCATTTTAATTTTTCTAAAAATTAATTTAAATTTAATTTTAAAATTTGAATTTAGTTTAAAACTGTTTTTAAATAATTTTTATACATGATAAAAATATACTATAAATATTTTTTTATTATTATTAAATTATTATATTAAAAAATATTTAAATTTTATAATAAATAATATCATTATATTTGCATATGAATACAAAGAGTATTCTAATTATTACCTCTCTAAAGGAATTAACAATATATGTTAAGAAAATATTTGCATATATTTTAATTTATTAATAAATTTTTTTATTTTTATATTTTATTAAAATAATAAATATTTAAATATATTATACTTTTTATCATCTATCCATCACACAACTTAATTATATGAATTAAATTTTAAATTATTTAATTTTTTTTAATATGTTCAAAAATAATTTTAAAATTTAAATTTACAGTAAAATTATTTTTAAATTTAATTTTATCAAAACTATTTTTAAATTTAGTTTTATGTTAAAGTAGTTTTAAATTTAATTTTTAATGCAAAAATAATTTTCAAATTTTACTTTTAAAATAAAAATAATTTATTATACAAAACGTTATATTAAATTAGTGCATTTTAAAAAGATTTTAATAATATTTATTAATATATTATATTTTGTAGAAGTGTATAAATATTTATTATTATTTTTAATTTATTTTTATTAAACAAAATTTATAATAAAAATATAAATTAAAATCTGTAAAAATAAAAATTAATAATATAAATAATAATAAAATATTATGTTATAATATTTTAAAAATTAAAAAATAAACATAAATATAAAAATAATAATAATAATTAATTTAAAAATATTTATTATATTTTACTATCTTTAATTATTTTAAAATTTAATTTTAATTAGAAGAATTAAGATTATTAAAAAAATTAGTGACAAAATATAATTATAGTAAAATTTTGTAAATTACTATAGCATGAAGGATTAATAAGTAAAAATATAAGACAATAATTTTATATATAGAATTTAAATAAATAAAAAAAGCTTATTTTAAAAAATAAATTTAAACATTAAATTAATTATATAAATGTGATTAATAAAAATATTAATTTATTGTATATCTAAATTTTTAAAATAATTTAATGTTAGTTATAGATTAGATTTATAAAACTAAATTTTTTAACACCCGTAATAAAGAATAATTTTTTATTCGAGGAAATATTATTTTTGGTTAAATGAAAAAAAATTAATTTAAAATAAAATGATTGATTGAAAACTTTCCTTTGTGGTCTCTGGGTGAAGTCGGTCGGAAGAGAAATAGAAGTTAGAAATCAAAAGGAGTGGCGTGCCGCCTCATTGCTTGCATCGTCGACGTTCGCATAACTATTGTGAATGCGATGGAGTGTGTAGCTTAATTTTGGATCCCTAAATTTCATATACTTCCTATTCAATTTCGAATTTCTCAATTTCTTCTGCTGCGTCTCTCGATTAGGGTTTTCGTAATGCGAATATACTTATTTGCTTAGTTTCCCTTCACTCTTCACTCGGAGAAGGAATCCGAATTGCTCTTTCGAAGATTTTTCCGTGTAGATTTTGACACTAAAATTCACATCATGGAGGTTAGTATCATATTCGTTTCCGTTGCTCATTGGTCAACGGTTTGTAATTCATTGCTTCTGATTGTTGTTGTTTGTGAATAGAATGATGGAGTCGTTGACATAGACAAGACTACGATGACATTGGAACCAGAGAAGCCTTCGGGTGGTGGACTCTTTGTTCCTGGAAAGGATGGAGATAGAGTAGTTTACGTGCCTCCAGAAAGAAAAT